CTTCCAAGTTTGCATCTTAACAAGTGCCACGTTCCTTGCTGCAAGCTAAACAAGATGCATATTTATCTATACAGTAAGCAGCATCTTCTCTTCATCCTCTGATTGTTAAAATTGTGATTGTGGGCAATTTGCTCCAAATTTCGGACAGAAATACAAAACAACAAAGGAATTCCTTTCCTTATAATTCCTTTCATTCTTGTGGAGTCGGTAACTACGTAAGTGTGTACTATTTTGGGATGTGGAAAGAAAATATTTGGCCCGTGGCAAGAAACCATTTAATTTTTAATTTCTCAAGGGTGCAACAAAACCGTATTGTTCCGGCTTGAATAAGAATTTGAGACATAATAAAAATGCATCTGGACTGTGACAAATTGATGAAAGCAATATTTCATTAGTTTGCCTGATACTATTTTACGTTGGTTGTGAAGATTTTTTTCTTGTCCTTGAGTTATTTATTTGATAGTGTCTTGAAAGTTAAAATTCGTAAACACTAATAAAATCGAAACATATTACTAAACTACTTACAAGATCACAAATATTGCTAAAAATCGACACTAAAATTAAACAAGGGCCAATTTCATAGTTAGAAATTTAACCACATGATTGATACTTTTTTCTCAATAAATTGCCACTGCTCATACATACATAATTCAGCGATCGAATCAACTCAATCCACTCTTTACATAAGACACGCACATGTAACATTAACTGCATCCAATGTGCATAAACCTTGCTGAAAAAAGCCTGAGCATGGCACACGGTAAAGAAGGTAAGCTACACGATAACTACGGCGGCATTAGTGTGCAGTGTCCTTATAAGGTCCAATTTATTACAATTTACTTTATGGCCCAATTCAATTACTAGCCACACCACACAGACGGGAACCTGTAAACTAATAAAATTTAATAATGGCTCCGGGCAAGAGTTGAATTATTCCTTGAATTTGTATGTACATACATGATGTTCGATACGGAGAATTTAATCTTAATCGTAATAATGTAATGGAGAGCAGCTACTACTACGTGCTTTGCTACATACGTATTATTGTTGTGATACAAAATGTTCTGCCCACGCACGTACCACGCCGCTTCTTGATAACTATCACTGCCATAATCGGTCTATGCCATTAAGTTACACGCAAAAATGATCAGGAGCATTTTTTCTACATATCACTGGGCACACGACAACAATAGCTGGACAAGTTGATCACTTGATTTTTTGCATGGTAAAATAATACGTGAATCGGTAAATGCTTTGTTGAAATAATAATACCTTATTTAATTGATTCGTATACTGTATAGTTGAATTAAGTTTTTACAGAAATGTTTAAAGAGTGATGTGATTTGTGTCAAGGTAGAATAATTTATGTGAACCTGTCAAGCAATGTTTAACTTGTACACCATCCCCTGTAGAATATATGCAAGTAAGCAATAACACACTATTCACGTAATCCCAAGTCAGCGGCGGTGACGACAAAACCAAACCAATACCGGATTATCATCCAAAGAAGAAGTGGCTTCATCTTGCTTAATTAGTGAATGAGTAATGTGATACACCGCCAACTGCGATGTTTAATTACCATTTTTGCTTCACGAGAAAGAGAACGATAAATAATTGGGTATTTTTTAACTTGGAGGCACAGGGCAGGTTAGCTGTATGCATGTATCTGTACATATATATGTATGTATGTACATGCATACACACTTCCATGTACTACACAAATGTAATATGGCCACAGAAACCATATCAGTTCATGACACTCGACCCAATAATAACCCCATCAATTTTATGCAACCAAACAATAGATGCATTTTCTAATACGTAGCTTGGTCAATTTGTGACTAGCCTACACGCATACGTATCGTATGCAAATACACATTTAGTGAACTGCACTGCTGAAGAAATAATGAATAATCTCATGCCAATATTCAGATCGAGTTATCAGATTGACTTGTGCCAAGGAAAGGAGAAAAAGTGCAAGCAAAGGAATTAGGGAGGGCAAACCAGGCCCACTTATCATCCTGAAATCCAATACCTGACCTGCCGTTGATGCAATATGTATTGACGAGTAGAATATCGCGCATGTGTCCAAATTGTTGTGCATTCTTATCCTCAAACCGGACTGGACCTGGACCCGGATGCTTGTAAATGCCTTTACTCTCTCAAACCTTAGCCAATAAGAAGTCCCAGCTTGCAACCCATCATTAATATTATCTGCATTAAATGAATGCGGCTTAATCGATCCACTCAAACCAATCAACTTTTTTTTTATTGGGTTGCTCATCACCAGAGATATTATTAAGAGTACTTTTTTACATGTAAAAGCCTAACTTCATTATTAGAATTAATGTACATTTGCATATTTATACCTGTATTATGCTTACTCACAACACTCAATACGCATATATGTACATACTTTTGTACATACATACATATACTACCTAGATTGTATCTGTCTATTGGGGCATATGTTGCTAAAACGGTTGGTTGGTTGTGCAATAATAATGGAATAAGTTTGAAGGCAGTTACACACTCTGATTTCTCAAGTGTCCTCAAATACAAACTGCCTCCAAAACAACAAGCAAAAAGAAGCCTTTCTCCAATGGAGATGTGAACAAATTGTTGAAAAGATTTGCAAAAACTTTATAGGTGACATCTGCTTCCAAAATTCATCAAAATCTAAATCTACCTTAGTAAGTATGTAACGCAGATAAGACAGATTATCTAATTATTCGCATCAAAGTAGTCGTCAGCTGCTCATTGAAGTTCATTCCTATATGCGGCGTTTTATTTTTATGCATTGTACTTCGTTGTGCAATTTATTTTACACTTATTCGGTATGCATTTTCAGTTATCTTCTGATCCTCAGTCAGAGGAAGGTGATGGTTCTGATTGTGGGAATTTTAGTCCCGATTTCTGATCACTGCGGGTGATACTGTCACTCATTTAACAAAGCAGTGCACAAGAACGGTGAATCGATTGACACATTTTTTATATTTTTAAATCTGAATTTAAAGATGCTGACTGACGTGACATTCAAAAAGGGGTTGATTTAAATTCTTGTCACAAATTAAATTAACGTTACATTTAAAAGAAGTCTCACTTTGAAGACAGATTGGTATTGAAAATGTTGGACTTTATGAAAGTTGAGACCCGTTGTTTTTGGCTTCTTCCAGACTATCTAACACCGAATAAAAAGCCATTTAAATTCAAATAACCATTATTCCGTGTCATTGCCTTGATTGGATTGTTGGTTGGTTGGTTGGTTGGTTGTCGAATTGTGGGTTGAGACACATCTATGCACCTGTCAACCACCTGTCAATACAATTGGCTATGTGCCTACGTCAAACCTCCCCTGCGTCTCAAAATCTACTCCTTCCTACTTTACAAACAAAAGTCATATCACTACATTACACCATTCATGCAAATGTAAAACAATCACACCTATTATTGCCAACTAGTATGCGACTATGGTACATACATCATAGATTCGCTCACTGCTAGTGCGAATAATTAATTGATCCTCCCCTTTTCATCCTCCCAAAAAACATGTGAAAGACTACTATAAATAAAATATAATTCAGTCATGCTTACGTATGCTTTGTCGAATTTTGAAATTTATTTAATAGCCGTTAGTGAGTTTTTTTTAAATTCCATATCCCACGACGTAACAAATTGAACGTAATAACGAATAAATATGTACAATCTAGCGGAACTTATCTATCATCTGCTATCCAAACCAAAACCTCAGAAAACTAATAAGTGGTCAATCAAGACGAGCATGATTTTACTTTTATGCATAATCAACTCATCACCTCACTCACCTCATCCTCACCTTTGCGCCAATAATCAAACAAATCAATAATGATGGATCAATAATCACTCAGTGGAAAAATTCTTAAGTCTTCTTCCCCACCAGTTAACAGTCAGTCAGTGCATGTGTCTAATAATTTGTTGGGTTTGATAGTATTTACAACACGTATGTACATACGTGATAATTTTATTTGATGTGAATTGATTCCATACTTTTACTGACAGTTCCTCCCATAAAGCACGATGACTACTCAACCCATCACTCATTCATGTAAAGAAGATGAGCAGAATTCTAATAAATTGGGGAGCAATAATAATAATCAGACACACACAAACAACTGGTTGATAAGCATAAGTGGTGGAGATTTACAAATACATAATTAATAAAATGGAGGCTGGCTGGTTACTTTTTTCCTTAACTTGCTTCAGTTATCTTGAGTAGAATGCTAATTTTATTGGTAATTTTATGACTTATTTCCTGCACAATTTATAGAGTTTTTTTTACATACATGCACAAGTGAGACGGCAAGGCAGGCGACGTTATGTAGGTACGAATGACAAGAAAAGATCGTGACAAGTTGAAATTTATTTATTTTATTGTTTTAAAAACTAAATATATGATGATTTCTTAAAAAAACAAGCTTGTAACCAACTTGTAGAATTGAATAAGCTTTTTTAAACCACAGATTTTCATTTTCCAAGTGTTCATTATACGTATGCATGCATGCACGATCGTTAAAATATTATCATTTCTTAGTTGGTATAAGAAACTAGAATGCCAAATCTGATAAATTGGAAGCCTTTGTCTGACGCGCATAGTTTTTGTGTAAAATGAAGAATCTAATTTGCTTAAGAATTCCAAAAAAGTGAGAACCTCGTTTCATTCAAAGTACGAAGCACAACATAACTTTGGTGAAAATTAATCTTCACCGGAAAGTAGTATTGACTTCCATCCAGCGCAATAAGTTATTTAAGAAATGATGCGAGATTGGTTATGACAGAGGACCATTAGTGTTTTCACACCAAACAAAGGATTTCTTACATTAAATGTAAATAACGTCTTTTGTACATGTAGCAAGTTATGGAATACACTGAACTGATAATGAATAAGTATTCCCAGTTTTGAGAAAAATGCATCTTTAGACTAAGGATAAGTATTGGATGCATCGTTTTTTCTTAATTTGTACCTGCACATTTGGATAACGTCCTGCATTCCAGCTCCTTCCTCGTCTTGATCCTCTGGAAGGTGATGATAATGCTGATGATTGTGATGATGCATAAAGTCAAAATTTCTAGTGATTCAAGTCTATAAAAATTCCGAGAAACTCGTATTTAATTTAGTATTCACAAGCACTTTATCTAATAAATACGTACATATGTATGTATATGTACATACATGTAGATCACTGAGGATGAGAGTCACAGGAATAAATCATAAATTGAGCAAATCTAACCAGAACTAAACTATTGAGTTGTGTCATTCAATCGTGGTATGCTCAAGTAATCAAAATTCAAGGGACGAAACAATCAATGCAATAACTCATCAATATATTTTTTTATGAGACGTGTGTGTGTTAAACACTAAACATCTCATTCCCTCAGCCAGATGAAATGCCAACCGTCAACTTTTAACAGGTGTCCAATCCATCCATCAATCAATCAATCAAGGAAAAGACAACTCTGTGGCATCTCTACTATTTCACACTGTGACACATTTTTGGGTACTTTCCCCACAAAAATCAAATCCACTTTTTTTAGTTCTCTCGTAAAATCATAATTAAATGCACATTTCTGTGCTAATTACTTTTTTATAGTAAAATACTTAGCCTTTAATTACACGTTAGGTTTCTGTAAAATGAGTGAATGTCACATTTATTGGGTAATTAATTAATAGGTTTATTCTTATTGGTCGTGTCTTGTTTGCACTGCGGGATACTGAGTTCCGAGTTTTTATGAAATTTTATATGTATTTTTTTTGTAAAGTTGTATTCAATGTCAATTAAGCTTTTTTATGTAATTCATCCCTTCAAAAAAGGGGATGAGACTATTCAAGGGGGATCGATCCTTTCCACAAAAACCGTAATGCACGCCGGCAACAACGCTCTACTAGCCAATTTTGATAACAATTTATCCGGTCAAGCGTCCGGTGCTGTAAAAATCTGGGTGAAACCCGGTTAAAGGTATGAAAACTAATCGGTGTAAAAGATCCCCTTCCTTGTTCTGCAAAGTCTGGAGCGTGACTGAGTTGGCTGACGAGATTTTAGAGTTTGGATGCATCTCGTCGTCGTTGTCGTCGTCGTCATGATCATCTCATCCCACCCAAACATTAAGGAAGATGCAGCAGTAAGGAGCATCAGGGGAAGCCACGACGAGAAGATCAACAGGTAGTTCACTCACTCCAAGTCAGTGGAGAGAAGAAATCTGTGCGTAACTTGATCGGAAAGGGTTGGACCTTCTCAGATGGCCGCCCATCATTTTTTAGTAGAGATGCTTCAGAGTGGGAGGGGAGGATTGGGCGTGGAGGCAGCCAACGTCAGATTGGGCGAGATCTTTCTGTAGGAGGAGAGGACATGCCAATCCGCAACGGCGACGTTTTTTATCCTGCTGCACATTCGCCTTTTGTGCTCTTAAAGTGCAGCAGGAACGATAAGTTTGCAGATTCTTGTACACATTGTTTAGTGAGATCAATTGATGTATTGTTGGTGGAATTCATGTTGGAGGAAAAGATAAAGAGGAGAAAGAAAAGACGAGAAAGTAATTTTCGACAATTTATTGTCTAAATCGTAGACAAATTGTAGCTAGTTTTATGCTAGAGGACGCTAAACAATGGAGAAAGTTAGTTAAAGTTTCATTTTGCCTCACAGATTAGAGTGAGCAGTCGACATAAATCTATCATTACTATGTATGTACATATGTACATCGTAATGTTGAGGCAAATTGATACTACTCACCTAACGCTGCATTGTTTTGAGGCAGATTGAGACTAGTTTGGATTATGCCAAGTGTGATAAAAAAAACAGAAATAATAATTGATTTAACAGTCTGTTAAAGTTTTAATTTCATCAATTGCATAATATTTATATTCTACATTAAGAATATTTTGTGAACTCGTTCAAAGTAATGTAGTTGCGAGAGTAGAATTGTATATCTAAGGTTAACGGAGTAGATACATAATAAAATAACATCACAGGGAATTGAATTGCAAAACTATGCATTGCATTCGATTACAAGGTAAAACAATGTTCAAGTGTTTAGCTTATGCCACAATAAATAATATATCTAAGATATAATAGGGGACCGCGAACGTTAATACACTATTAAAGGTCTCACTCGGTTACAATTTCATGAAAATAAATACAACAAGGTTTCTTGACTTTGGTATGGTAGTAATAAATGAGATTTTAGGTAACATACGAACCTTCATTTCATTTAAATACTTTGACTGCTAAGGTGAAGAGCACGATACAATATAATTTAAATCTATGCAGGTACAAAAATATTGCTGAACAATATTATAAAAACCTAATTACGAATAAAGTGAAAACGATTGCAGTTGTTACATTATCCAGCGTTAAATAATTCGAAGTTGAGCTAGTTTTTAGCAAATATCATCCACTTCCTACAGGCATCCAGCCAGTGTTTGTGTTTGAATTCTCCAGATCCATCAGTCTTCTAAAATTTTCTAGCTCGAAAATACTATTTGATAGTCTGTCAATAAAATTAAGCAAGTATTAAATTATATACTATACTGAGTATGTATAGAGTAATCATATATTATACTAAGTTTCAATAAGCAAATTAACATACCTTCCAAAGCCATTAAGTAATGCTACGATTTCAGGTCTTGACAAGAACTCAGGACCACGCCTAAATGCGGATGGATCCGAAAACAAGATTTTTAGTGCGGTACCCAATCCTTTAACCTGAGAAGTAAACAATTAAATTAGAGATTTAAACAATTCTCTTTCAATTTGTTATGCATACTACATACTTGAATAGTTCCCCACAATCTACACTTTTGGCAACCCACGCAATCCATTATTTTCGTAATATTGGTAAATCTTGCATGGAAATCAGCTTTCAATTTTGGTCCATCCTTATTGTTGAATAGTGCACTCTCATTAAAATGCGAGGGAAACCCATCAATTGTTCTTAGTAAGTCAGCAACAGCCAATTTCATATCTGCATCCTCTTCCTCATTTCCCGTGTAAAAGTTAAAGTTTCGGAGGAAGGGAGCTGCTCTGATGACTGCTTTCAATTCGAGAAGATAGAGAAAATAGAGATTTTTTAGCCATGAGAAACCCTTTTTGTGGGCTTCAGGCTTATCAAATTTGTTTCTAAATTCAGTCACATTATGGCCCCATTTCCCGTCTGAAGTTGTGGACAGAAAGGAGTTTGCTTGAGACCCTGAGAATAAATAATAACATGGTACTGTATTAGCATAGAGAATATGATGAATATTGATTAATTTAAGTGTCACACCAACAACATATTACATATTTATACGCTGTAGGAAATTGTATACATATCATGAACACTTACGATCCAACAAGTATTTGGCACTAAGGTGTATATTTATGCTAGCGTGCAGGCCAGATATCGCTCGATAAAATGCTCGCTTCTCAATACAAGTTTCTGCAAAATAATAGACAAAATATACTTTCAAGACAATCTACTCCGTAGTTTTGTTTTGACAACTATTTTATAGCCTTGATATTTACTTACCATTGGATTTATTAAATGGTTCCATAACACTTGTGGCAAACCTACACCAAACATTTTATAAAACTTTCTGTTATAAGAAAACTAATCGATATCTTCAACTCACGATTGCTTGAAACAATTCTCGTTATAAATTGAACCCCAAATTCGATGAGCAGATGGCCCAACGTACCCAGTAAAACGTTCTGGATTAAGAAGTAGGTCAACCTGAATAAAATAAAATTGAAGAGAATGATTAAAATGAACAAGTGAATTTTTGTGAGCGAAAGCGAAATGATATGGACTAGACTTACATATTGTGCATCAGGGTCAATATCATCTTTCACGGTACAGAAATCCACTAAATTCTCATCGTGAGATTTCCAACGCTCGAAATCTGCTTGAGATTCCTCGCTTTAAAGGTTTAAGCGAAAAACAAATTACAATTAAAATCAACCATCATAGACGCATTTAAATTTGTGATATGACAAACAAACCTGATTGTCTCGTTAATTGAGCCTAAATCTTCAGAACATTTTCTCTCAGTCTGTAATTCGCAAATAAAATCAATGAACCATTCAAGTCGTAATAAATAAAGCGTATCCGAATTACAACTGCTTACTTTGGTCGTTGATATTTTTCGGTTCTGCCCTTTCAGACCAATCGGGATTTCATCCTAAACATACGCTTATGGTTATTATTATGAATATAAAATTATGTTGCATATATTGTACTGTGAAATACCTCTGTACATGCTTTGACCTGACAAGATTCCAAACCGCATGCACCATCATCTGTCCAAAAAGGACATGGCTTCTTCAAATTTACCTAAATAATATATATATATATATCTTGCAATTCTACAAATTGGGATTGCTCTAAACGTTAACACAACTGAAGTCTAACCTGAAAGTAGCGAAAGTAGTCTTTGCTTAGCAGGGATTGAAGCCTGGGGTAAATCTTCAAATTGTTGAACTTGTCAACTGTTCCAATTTGGCAGGCACAGTCATCAATCGCCCCCTCCAACTGATGGTAAATATAAACAGGAGAAAAATGTCATAATCTATTTATAACTCGAACTGTTCTAAGTACTTTTAAGTAAATCAATTACCTGGCAAAAACAAGTATCTTCCGCCTTCCTGTCAGCTTCAGCTTTCAAATCTTGAAAAAAGTTTGGCGACTTTGAATCCCAAGCGCAACAAGAGTTTCGTGGCGACCACCCCACCACCACAAAGACCACCCCAATTATAAACCGCTTAAGCAGGAACATGATTACACTTGATATCTGATGATAAAATCCTCTGATAGCGTGGTCAATTGTTTAGTTTTAGTATTAAACTATGAAATAAATGTATCAGTAGATAGAACATTCTTTTTTAGAGCCTTTGACTACCCCTAAATTGCATTCTATACGACAAACCAAAACGATGCTCTGTTGCTGTACATTGACCTTGAACAAGTGAATAATAGTGTTGGTAGTAGAAATAATTGTTTAAATATTGTATTTTGAAATGTGGGCCAACAGAGAGGAAAGACGACAGAGATAGAGATGACAGCTTAGAATACCTCATGAAGAAATACGACTGATGTACATAAACAGACCACGTAAACTAAACTGAAAAGGTGAATCCCGCAGCGAACCACTCAATGATGAGTGGACGATGACGAGCGTCAAACCACGTATGTATTTATGTACGTATGCAGAAGGAAACGAGCTAGAAGCTACCTAAAATACGTGGACAAGATCAATAGTTGTTGGTGTCATAATGAATTGAACCCATAAATAATTAAAGCATGAATACTACCGGAACCAGATGGCAAACCATAGACGTGTGTATAATATAAACTATGGAATAGCAAACTAGCACAAACAATGGTTTGGCTGATTTATTTATTGTACAAGTACGTATAAATAGTAATGTGCTTATTCAATTAGTTCCTAACTTATATAGATTTGGTTAATACATATTTAGTTAATGATGCTGATAGGCTTGAGGGATGTTGAGACCACGCATCTCGTCAGAATTTAGTGGTTTGAGATTGTAGCCCTTAAGGGCTGGTTTTTCCTCAATGTCACGAACTCTGTCCACCTTCTTCTTCAAATTGTCTCGTATCTCGTTGATGGAAGTGTCCAGTTTTACTTGATCTATGCGAATAATCATATTTGTTTGTATGTACTAGGAATCCTCATTTTGAAAGGTCTGAATTTATTAATTTAATGAAATACGATTAAATTAATTACCCTTATGAATCATGTCTTCAACCGCGACTTTTTCCAACTTGAAGAAATTATTTCCCATCGCTATCCATGTTTTCTTTTCGGACGAATTTTTTAGGTGTCTTAAACTTTCCCGATTTGCATTCCGTTTCCGATCATAGTCGATTATGGTTTGACGATCCGTCAATATTTCTTCTGCAGCTTGTTCTAGGTCAGTGAGATAGGTGACGATACGTTCTGATTGTCGTGGCACGTTCATATTTACCTCTTTAGCTGAGAGATGTGGTTATTTAATTTATAATGCAATTATTTAGTATACAGATAAATTGATTCAATGTTATATCCAATTACAGTGAGCTGAGTTGCCTCCTATACTTAATTTCTTTCCGCGTTTCTTTCGACTTCCTCTTGAATTGTTCCTTTCTCTCTACTGTAGCAACTCGCTCAGCGCGTTTTTGTCCTTCGACGGCTGTGAGATCAAATGGAGCAAAATGAGTTATTCTCGCCAGCTTTTTATCCCTCTCATTCCCAACTCCTTGTCGGTCCCTTTTCAACACGGTTTTTATTGGAAACTTTTTTCCTTGTCCGTCTGGTCCTAATCCGGAAGACTTGTCCCACCCCGTCTTTAACATGAGCTGGAAACCCCGATTAGATTCTGGAATTCCGTAGTGGACTTTTCCTTCTGTATTATGTAATTCACCAGAAGATAAAAGGTGTGCGATAGATTTGAGATGCGTCTTTTGATTGGTAAATGCTTGGTTACATGCTTCACAAAATATGGGGCGTGATTCCAAACAAGCGTCATTATCATCATCTTCGTCTATGTCGATAAGTATAACACTGCCATTTCCATAAACTTGCTTCCACTCGTTCAGAATCGATACAGTTTCACTTCTCTTATTCTTTTTGGCAAGGTCGACAGCAGTTAATCCTTTCTTGTCATTGAGAGAAAGGGATGCTCCATTTCGAAGGAGAAAACGAACACAATCATCCGCTCCGGCACATGCAGCAGACATGAGCAAACTCCAACCATAAATGTCTTGCTCGTTTATATCAAATTTTGTTGATTGGGTGGACTGTTGGGAATTGATGTAAGCTTCAAGATATGAATGTTGATTGGATTCACAAAGTGCCATTAATTGGTTCAAGCTCTTTTTAGGGGGCGCCGGAGGATGGTGTGCGGTAGAAGAGGTTAAAGAACTACTACGAGATGATTTCCTTCTTAAGGCGGGTGACGATGGGACAGTAATTATGGACTTATTATTATCAGAATTTGTAATTTCCCAATTCCCAGAGGATGGCGTACTGATAATGTCCTCATAAAATTTCTTTACTTCGTCCCCACTCAGACTCAATTGTTTAATGTGTGTCGCTGGTGCTGTGTTTCGAGCGACGGATTCCTCGTGCAGATTAGGACCTTGGACAAACCGTTTCATGTTGAAGGGAAACATGTTTGTGCTGCTGGGAGTGAGAGGGGGGCCACAGTAGTACCTCTCAATATCGAAATTGGTCGATTTCCAGTTCCTAGGATACTATTTTTCTTGCCACGTCACGATCCACACAAGTTTGATCGATATCAATTTAGTCTATCAGAGTCCAGCAGTTCCACTACTCCCTGCAAATAGTAAGCAAATCAATTAAATTAACATCGATAGTTATAGTTAGTACAAACTTCAAAAATGGAATCGGGAAATCGTGGGGGAATGCATGAAACGGAAGAAGTGGAAGAGGACGATACGGGAGAATCTGAAGAAACCTCTGGTGAGGAGGACGCCGTAGAAGCCGCCGACGATTGGGAGAGTTTGCCTAAAATGTCACACCAGAGCATGAGATATGCAACGGCGGCTGGTTTTGGGGAAATCTTTAACACAACAACGCAGCCTATCTACTCCAAGATGGATTTGACTAAATTGGTAATCTGAGTAAATTCAGATCAGACGCTATCTAAAATCGACGGTCGAGATAATTATTTTGTGGTAGCGCAGGTGAGCGCGGTCGGTTCCAGAGGTGAAATGCCACCCCTTCCAGAAACTCCGTCAACAACTTCGACATCCGATAAGCATGAACAGTTTGAAAAAATTTACGGCAAGTTGAAAAAAGTAGAAAAGGAAAACCGTGATCGAAACGGTCAACAGGCAACAACCGCAGATCCACTTCAAGATGTTATGCAGTCAAACTTTGTCAAAACCATTGTCGTATTAAACACACTACTTAATCCTTAAATACACTAATTCATTTGATTTTTTTATCCGATTATCTGGTTTACGTTTTAACAGAAAACGTGTCTGTATCGTCTCGTTCTCCTCGGGTCTCATAACGAAGATCAAGAAAAGCTTATCGAGTGGATGAAAGATGTCGTGGAGGATATCAACGTTCACAGCTATTCGGAAACTCTAACGGGCGTATTTCTTAGTTACCCAAACCATTTTGTCCATGTTCTCGAGGTATTTAGAGGTAAAACACTTGAGATAACTTACCCGTTGTACAATATCTTTCTTAATGACGATTCCAGAGTTCTGAAGATACTTTGATGAAGTATATTCGTCTCGTTGCCGATCAGTTTGAGCCTACAGGTTTCGATTGGAAATTGGAAGTTAAAGGCGGTCACGTTTCAGTTCGTCGTCCAATAATATTCACCACAGTTAGAGCTGTCGTTGTGGGAATTTTCCAAATTAAACATGTAGGATTGCATTGGCTTAATTTATCAGTAATTAACCCGGACAGTCTGCAAGACAAAAAATTACAAGTAGCCAATTATATATTTAAGTTAAAACTTTTGACAAATGGTTGAGTTGCAGTTATGTTCTGACGATGGCTGGTGGCATGGTGGTGGTGGCAGGTGGAAGTGGCATGGTGGCATGTTTGTACTATATTGATATGGTTGGTGGCATGGGGTGGCAGTTTGGTGGCATGTTTTCAAAATCTCCAATTTTTTCAAAATTTTTTGGTAAGATAATGTTCGTATTTAAGCGAGGTTAGATTAGAAGGTATGGTTCTAGCCTTCTGGACCACTCTTTTTTTCATCAGAACATTCTAAGACTTTTATTTTTCAGTGAAAAAAAATTTTTTCGTCGAAATTCTACTCTCCGTATTGGGGTATCGTTCGTTTTTAGCGAGCGAAGCGAGCAGGTTAGGTTAGGTTAAATTTGCGTACCGTGTGTCCTAGAAATTTGCATACCGTGTGTCCTAGAAATTTGCATACCGTGTGTCCTAGAAATTTGCGAAAATGCGAAAAACGAGTGGTCCAGAAGGCTAAACATCAACCTCTGCAGCTTATCTAGGCTCGCGCCCCTAACCTAACCTGCTCGCTCCGCTCGCATAAATACGAAGTATACCCCACCAAAAAATTTTGAAAAAATTGGAGATTTTGAATTTTTGAAAACATGCCACCAAACTGCCACCCCATGCCACCAAAGTGCCACCCCATGCCACCAAAGTGCCACCCCATGCCACCAAAGTGCCACCCCATGCCACCAAAGTGCCACCCCATGCCACCAACCATACCAATATAGCACAAACATGCCACCATGCCACTGCCACCATGCCACCAGCCATCGTCAGAACATAACTGCAACTCACCCTGACAAATAACAATGATACGTAGGTCGTTGCAGTTAATAAACAACGCAATAATTTAGTCACCTTACAGAATTAATTTTAACTTGACCTCCCCCGGAACGTTGAAATGCCTGAGAATATTTTTATTCGAGCTCCAAAAAAGACCCAATTTAATTTAAAGGGAAGCAGTGCAATGTTTCGTTAAAAATTGGGTATTACGAAAACAAATAAAATCTTGCAATCTCGCGGCTTTATACATTTCACTTGTCTCTTTGTCTTCGTGAACTACAAAGATACGTGTGAAATCATAGAAATCCAATCCAATTTCATACATCGCTCGTTAACAACTTAATGTTGATTGCATTTCGACACCAATGAATACATTAATGTTTATTTGACTACGTTTAGCGTGGGGTAACGAGCGGGTGGAAGGCTGAGCGTGCGATGGGTCCGTTGACCATGACGCAAGACCAAGTCCCAGCTGGAGACTATCGAGAACGTCTCTTCCACGTGACCCGACAATGCATCATCATGGCGATTGCACTCTACAAGCTGAACCCTTTGGTAACCAAACCAAAAATGCTGTAAAATTTGCCAACTTCATGATCAGCCTTAAGATAATATTATTAAAATGTATTAGCGCCCACCTGCAGGCGTTCAGTCGACAACCACAACTTCCACCAAGAAATCTGGACATCGTTCTCTTCAAGCGTCAATCAAACCTTCTTCAGCCGCACTCAATCCTACCATGCAGATCGGAGCTGCGGCCGGTGCAGAAGCGGAGGCAACAAGAGTCCGATATGAAGAACAGCGGAAAAGAAGGGCAGCATCAATTGCGCAAATTATTCCGAAACCTGCCATGATTGACTACATTATGAGAAAGGTGAAGTGTAAAAACCAAAACGTGCTGAATGAATTAAAAAAATGTATATATTTCTTAACTTCACGCAGAATGAAAAACGTAAAATACAATTGAGGACAGTGAGGGAACATTTGGATTTCTTTTGGAAAATTCCCAAAGTTATTTTCAGCCAACAAACAGATTGGCCGATTGCTAGTAAAATTGCACCATACAACTAATCCAGGAAAAGAGATTATGCAAAGGTTAATTCTGTAATAAATTAAAAATTTACTACTTATAACATGGTCAATGAATAAGTTTATTAAACCAGTCTCTTATTGTATTAATTCCTATTAAATGCTTCTCTCTGCACCATTTTTAGTACCTATCGACTTATTTGAGAAGCTATACAAGACGAATCGTCATCTGAATCATATCTATATTTCGCATTTTTATAGCATACAGAAGAACTTGGCCTAACTTACTTAAATACATAAACCTGTAAACGTAAAAAATGACTTTATATTACCCCATCACATTTTTACTGAAGTCATCTAACGCATGATTTGATTACATAATAGATTTCTGTGGCAGTAGTAGAATGCATTACGATAAGTCCTTGAATGAGTCAGATCATTAAGTTTTCGATAAAGCTGTCTTGATCAGTAATAACGGTCAGTTCCTCATTATTACGACGATACCTAGTTTCCAGCAGCCGTTGCAGTTACCATTGAAGTTGTCGTTGACTGAGCGTCATTATTATTATCACCAGGCTGGAGTCGCCGCCGGAATAATAGAATATGAGGCTCTATGATAACGTCAAATATGTTAATATTGTAGTGCAAAAAACGTTGCTACTTGACTGCTCATTACTGCATATTACAGAAATTATCTTGCACTCACCCGGAATGTGCGACATGTAATGAATCCACCCAGGAGATTGCTGCACACCTAGATTGCGCCATTCCGTTTCTGTTAAGAGATGTGTACGAGGAACGACTTTGGCAAGATCTGGAGGTAATATGACGTGTCTGTAATTGGTAAATACATTATCTTATTTAAAAAACATACAACTTTAAAAATAAAAAATATTTTATTATTATTTTGAGACAGAATATGATTGAGCTCACCGATACTCATACTTGTCATCAAAATACTTATCCGAATACTGGATCTCAGCAGGAGGCATTTTTTTCAAAATGCTTTACACTATCACAATTTTATTTTTTGGGTTGTGCCGAAATTTTCAAGATTGAAGATTTATTTTTGTTTGTTGTTGAGCGAGGGACAGTTGTTGTTCGGCGGATGATTTATTCAAAAAAATTGGGGCACTTTACACCGCTTTCTGAACGTGGCAGGTCTGAATTTGTGATGTGCCATGTGTTTCTCTGAACGTTTGGCCAACATCACGCCAACAAAAACATTAATATTAATTTTTTGCTAAATTCTAGATATTCAGAAATTTGCAACCAAGTATTGAGTAAACTGAGATGAGTACGCTTACCCCTGCCGGTGAGTTTTGTAAAATTTTGATTTGACTTGATTTTGATTAGTGAAATGTAATCTAAGATTACTAATCTATAGCATTAATTATTGTAGGATCTGAAAGCTCCATTAGCGGTCTGCTAACGTGCATGACTTGTCGAGTCGGATTTCGAAATGCAGAGTTACAACGTGACCACTATAAATCCGATTGGCATCGGTACAACTTGAAAAGGAAGATCGTCTCCCTTCCACCTGTCACTGCCGACAATTTTGCAGAACGGCTCGCCGCCCAGGAAGCACAAGCAGCACAGTCAGCAAACGATACTTCTCGTTATTGCTCGGGTATGATATTAGTATATTATTATTTATTATATATTTTTGATATTATTATAATTATGTTATACTTTTAGTATGCAAAAAAGCGTTTGGAAATGAGAAAGCATATTTGAGCCATATCGCATCTAAGAAACATTCCGCGGTGGTCAAGGAGCAGAGCATGAAAGAACTTGGTGGAACGCAGCAGGATGTCGAAAGCCAGGGATTAGAGAATAGTAAGAATAATGCGAGTAGTGGTGGCGTCGTATTAGGATCGTCTCCTGGAAAAATGCAACAACAAAGTCCATTGGCAAAGAAAAAGGTTGTCAATTAAAACAATGATTTTCTAGACGAGTAAATGGTAGATCAAGTTGATAATAGTGTTGCTATTATGACAATATTTTTGTTATTTTTTTATAGACTCAGAGTCCACAAATCGCTGCAAAGTTTCCAGGTAAGGGCTCCAAACTGGGAGGAGGATCGGACATGGAGGTGGGTGATGATGATGACGATGATGATTCTTGGGAGGAGATTGAAGGAATTCAAATTCCACCAACTAGTTGTCTCTTCTGCGCTGTCGAATCTGGAGATATTGAATCCAATTTGGAACATATGAGCGTTTCTCACTCCTTCTTCATACCAGACATGGAGTACTGTACAGATCTCGAGGGATTGCTTGACTATTTGGGGAGTAAGGTGGGAGAAGGAATGATGTGTCTTTGGTGTAATGAAAAGGGGAAATCTTTTTACGATGTGCTTGCAGTTCAGGTGAGTCCTTTTGATTAATAATGTTAGTAATAATAAATCATGTTTCTTGCTTTCTTATTATAGCAACACATGAGGGACAAGGGACATTGCAAAATGCTTCACGACACTGATGCAGCCTTTGAATACAGCGACTACTACGATTTCAGTTCTAGTTATCCTCAAGATTCTACAGAAACAAATCCTGACGAACTCTACACACCTGAAGCACTTCGGTTTAATGAGCACATGCAGTTAGTTTTGCCGTCCGGTGTGGCGCTAGGACATCGAGCACTCAAACTTTATTACAGGTTATTTATTGATAGATGAAAATAGATTCTATGTCCAGCTACCAACTATTGCTTAAATAATGTCTTTAATTGTTATATTTTGCAGGCAGTACGTTCGCCCTGGCTCTCGTTCAATGTCTGAGATAAAAGCTGCAAAGAAGAACAAGATCCTATCCCAATACAAAGCTATAGGATACGGAGGAACTGCGCTTGTTGTAGCTCAGCAGTAAGTTTAATTTCGTTGTATATTAAGGACGCTGAATTAATTAAATACTTATAAAACAGTGATATATCTTCTTTTCTATTTGTAGAAAACTTCGAGATCAGCGATACTTTAAACATGTTAAGGATAAGTATGGTGTAAAACTAGGAGTTCAAGGCAACAAGACGTTACAAACTTACTTCCGACGTCAAGTTCAGTTCTAGGCTGGAGTAAAACTTGTCTACGTTTCTTTCTAATTATTTGTAAGTTGTGTTAACGTATAACTTGTCAATTATTCTGATTAAATGCATAAAATATTTACGTACTTATATTGTACATTCCGCATATTATGTGTGATGACGCATTTTATTTGTCCAACTACAAATTTTAAAATATTATGGACACTTTCAATTTTTTCGTGTTGGACTCTACTTCACATCAGGAAGCTAGTCATCTTGATTTACTAATCTCGCTTCTAAAATTTCAAGCTGTACATCATTTCCATTTTCTATAGCTAATTTTCTTGCATGTTTCAAATGGTTGCCCAGTTTTTTGTCCCTCGCGTCCAGTCGAGATGTACTAAAAGTAGCACTTTTTCTGCAAGTGAAATGTGTCAATTGCAGAAAAGAAAAGAAATTTCATTGAGACGAAACAATGTACTTCTTACCTTAAAGCAACAAAATGAAACACAGCACCCAAGCCCATCACCATTACCGCTGCCGCAGCAATCCACAAGTTGTTGACACGTTTCAGTCCTCGGATCCCATAGTAGGGTTGGTCTGTATAAAATTTATCTCGGTCCTTGTCCCTCATTTCCCAAATTGTCTCATCCCTCCATCTAGAACATTCATTTGCATCACTCCATCTAACCACAATATCAAAAATACTTTAATTACTACTTACCTTGGGGCATTACTTTGTACATTCCAATGGTCAAAGTCTGTTGTTGAGTCAAATGTAGAGCCGGAATAAGACTGATTGTGTTTTTGGGCAGCAGCGAGACGTGAATCATACGTGGACCTTAGGCCTGGTTTGGAAAGAACTGTGTATGCCTCCATAATCCTGACAAATGTGTGATGCTTGGAAGGGTCGTCGGGGTGAAGGTCAGGATGATGGGATTTTGACAAAGTGAGGAATGCAGACTTTATGTCTGCAGTTGAACATTGGGGACCTACTCCTAGGATTTGGTAGTGTGTCTTTGTTCTGTTAAGAGGAAAATATCAGTAATACTTAATTAGCTCTAATTAACAAATTAGTTGTCAAATGATAAGTGAAGATAGTGATATCATCTTATTAACCTGACCTGTCTGTCTGAGAGGGACCCAATGAAGGACTCATAATAATTCAGCAAGCCAAACAACGGTCGTAATTGTAGCAAATACGACGTGTCACACACAGTGATTCTAATTAAAGTGATCCATCATCCATTTTTATCGTTCGTTTAGTTTTATATCCATATACTAGAATAATACTCTGATCAATTGTTTCGAGTCGATTGATTTATTGCAAGATGACCTGCACCTGATTGACAGAAAAAAAATGTCAGCAACTTAATTTCAAATTTTTCGTTTAACTTTACTAAATATAAAATTCGCCCATATCTTACCTTTTATGATTGTTATGATGTGATGAATTTAGAATATATCAAATGAATTAACAATTTGAATTCCAAATATTGGTTTTGAACTTAAAATTTAAATTCCTAATTTGCATTGTTTTTATTGTTTGTGTTTTGCTCCCGGCTCTATTTCTGTTTACGGAGTCAGCTGTACTCCACATGCTCAGCATATCAACGAATTAGCGAAATTGTCGGCTTCCCTCCTCACTCGCCGATTGGCATGGATTAATTTACACTCATTAATTATTTATTAAATTAATCAGTCTTTTAAGTAATTAGTTAGTTTAACTGGTTAGTTGGCGTGTGATCTTACTTATCACCTGCTTATCACATAGACCAGACCAGAGTCTAATTTCTCCGTCTCTCTTCTCTGACCCGAGCTATCATATTCCTCTATGTAACCATCCGATAAGCCTGCTGAGCCGCAGTGCGGATTTCCATTTTCTGGTATGTACTAGATTTTATTAGTTGTTGTACTGTCGTATTATGCTCATAATTTGTGAACTCAGGATATTGAGCATACCGATTAATCATTTCACATTTATATCATTTGTAATTTCATGTTCATTTCATACAGAACTACTAATTGGAGAAAAATGGCTTCGACCACAACTACATATTAATACCATTTGTGATAATATTCTGAATTGTTTGTGGTTGTAGAGTTTGTGGTGATTTTACAAAGACAGTAAACTTATTGGACCCTGTCCTGGTGTGTAAGTATGTTTCCAATATTATTTTAGCATAATAAGTGTGCAGTCTTGAAGAAGTTGTTAGATTGGCAGAGGTATTGATGAGGTATGCGAGATAGGTATCGTGCATTTTTCATGATAAGTTATTAGTAGGGGGTTGTTTAGTTTGGTGGTTTGGTTTATTATCCTTTTTTACCTAATTTCGTACTTGTATAGTGTAGTTAGTGTGGTGGGTAGTTTTTATGTGGTAAAATATAGAACGAATTCGGTTGGTTACTGAGTACATACATATAATGTCGTCTTCTACATTCACTAAATTTAATATGCAATAAACCATATTAAATTCAGGTTCACGCAGTGCACTTTCGTCATTCACTCACATTGGAGCAATTCTTATTATTCATACGCCGATTTAAGTGCTAAAGTGAAGGCAATCTTTGCAAGAGGTGATGGTTATGTAATAGGTGAAAAATTACATGATTTTTTTCCGTGTAATTTCCTTCCATTTATTTCAAGGTTCAAAGTTTATCCGATTTGTGAGCCCCGTGTAGTCGTTAGCCATAACTAATCCTTAGATTGTTAGCTGCATTTTCGATTAAACTTAGATTTTATTTATATGAAAACGAACCGAATGATTGGTTATAATTACTTACAGAATTTTTTGTCATTACAGATTCAAAATTGGAGTAGAAAATTTCAAATATAATAAAAGGAGATAAGACTAAGAAAGGATGGGATACTACTCAACGTGGCTTGCAAAGGCAGCTGCGTCAACGCCATGGGGCAATGGCGTAACCTCGAAGATTCGAAGCAGATGTATCCCTGCTTGCAGCCCATATTTCACCACCAATGTTCGACACAAGCACTCTCAGAAAGTGGATTATCGGCCAATCAAATCTGTTCTGGTCGCCAATCGGGGTTTGCTTCACATTTTTTGTTTGAATTTATTTCCATTCTTAGCATTTTTGATTGACTGGCAATATATTATATTTCTGTTGAATAGGAGAAATTGCCATTCGAATTTTCCGAGCCTGTACAGAACTTGGTAAGATTACCAATGGATGATTTGATGACCTTGTGAAGTGTATATGATGGTACTTTATTCTTTATTATTTAAGGAATAAGATCGGTCGCAATATATTCGGAGCAGGACAAGATGCATATGCATAGACAGAAAGCGGATGAGTCCTATCTGATAGGTCGAGGATTGGAACCAGTTCAAGCCTATTTGAATATCCCTGAGATCATCCAGGTTGCAAAGGTATTTGCAGTCTAATTATCTAAATACATAAGTATTATCTTAGTTATCTAGTGAAATAGCTAAACCGTTGCGAATCCTTAACTATTAGGAACACAATATAGACGCTATTCATCCAGGATATGGATTCCTCTCGGAACGATCAGATTTCGCTCAGGCTGTGATTGATGCTGGTAAGATCGTAGCAAAATACGCTAGTTTAAAATCAAATGCGTCTCTAACCCATACGAACTATGTATATGATATGATGACACAATATGGCTTATATAGGAGTGAGATTCATCGGTCCCAGTCCTGAAGTTGTAAGGAAGATGGGAGATAAAGTAGAAGCACGAGAAGGTATATACTATTAAGTATTTACGAATTTTAATTGATAATTTGTATATGTGCATATATCTATATTAATATGCAGCTGCTATTGCGGCTGGGGTTCCTATTGTTCCGGGGTAATGTTCCTATTACAGATAATTTCGGGATTTTTATAAAAATAACTATGATTGAACATCATTTTTACAAAAAAAATAAACATTTAATAGAACGGACGGTCCAGTAACTCATTCTGAGGAAGCCATCAGATTTTGTCAGAATCATGGACTGCCCGTTATCTTCAAAGCCGCATATGGTGGTGGTGGTAGAGGGATGCGAGTCGTAAGAAAGCTGGAGGTAACCACAACCGAGTATTTCAATAACATGACTATTTTAATTTGTACACATTCGATTTTTAAACAGGACGTAGAAGAGATGTTCAAACTGGCAAGTAGTGAAGCCAAAGCAGCTTTTGGGTAAGTCGTAAAGGAAGGGAAATACTAGTTTTCGAAAAGATTCAACTGAAAAGATGCTTTATCGTCCATTTTTTCAGTAATGGTGCCATGTTTATTGAAAAGTTTGTCGAGCGACCTCGTCATATCGAAGTCCAGATTTTAGGAGATCAAGCTGGTAACATAGTTCATCTCTATGAACGTGATTGTTCGGTGCAACGAAGACATCAAAAAGTGTAAAGTTTTTTGTCCATTTTATTTAGGTTACATAATGCAATTTATTATGCTGGCATTATATATTTTGTTTTTTTAATAATCAGTGTAGAAATCGCCCCCGCTCCAAATCTTGACCCCAAGGTTTTCGACAAGTTACAATGAACTAAGCATGAAAATCGTTTTTATATAAATTATGTTTTACACTAGATTCGTGATAGAATGACAGCAGATGCAATTAAACTTGCTCAACATGTTGGATATTCTAATGCTGGCACGGTGGAATTTCTTTTGGACCAATCTGGAAATTATTTTTTCATCGGTAAGGTTTATTAGCATATTGCCACAAATTGAAATTATTATGATTCGGCCCCCTTCAAAAAATTATTATGCATATTTCAGAAGTTAATGCCAGGCTCCAAGTGGAGCACGTGAGTTGAAATATAAAATTGCACCCTGTACATGCTCATAGGAAGATATTTAATTAATTTTCTCAAATTAACAGACAGTTACCGAAGAGGTTACTGGGTAATGAGCAACTGATTTTACTCTACATTACCTAAATTGTTTACTGTACTATATAATAATGATGTTTCTTATTATAATTTTCTCAGTGTTGATTTAGTACAATCGCAAATAAAAATAGCTGAGGGGATGACTCTCCCAGAGTTACAACTAGAGCAGAAAAATATTGAAGTGGATGGCTGTGCTATTCAGTGCCGAGTAACGACAGAAGATCCTGCGAAAGGATTTCAACCGGATACTGGACGAATAGAGGTTTTTAGAAGTGGTAAGGAAAATAAATAGATCACATATACATATATTTGCTCAAATTAAGAAAATTCACCCTGATATTTTCTGCAAATTGTTATCAGTTTCTTTAATAACGAGAATACCTCCTTTAAAAACATTTTTCGTGTCAAATTACAAATCTGTAGGTGAAGGAATGGGTATCCGATTGGATGGGGCGTCTGCATTTGCCGGAGCTATAATTTCACCGTATTATGACTCCCTTCTTGTCAAAGTCATATCGCATGCAAAGGATCTCCCTACTTCTGCTGCCAAGATGGACAGAGCATTGAGAGAGTTCCGTGTTCGAGGAGTTAAGGTGAAAACAAACTAGGAAATAAATATGTTAGATCAATTGTTCGATAATAAACTTTAGCATTTTTTTCCTGTTATGTTTAGACCAACATCCCTTTCCTCCTCAATGTCCTCGAGCACCAACGTTTCCTCGCTGGTACACTTGACACCAACTTTCTCGACGAGCACCCACAACTCTTCACCTTCCTCCCGCAGCAAAATCGTGCCCAAAAAATTCTAAATTATGTCGGCGAAGTCCTAGTGAACGGACCCACGACACCATTAGCTACCGGCTTAAAACCCGCCGTTGTCGTCCCCGTCGTCCCATCGACACCAGCGGCTCCGGACCCGACCTCGGGGTGGCGGAAGATACTCCTCGATCAAGGCCCAGCCGCTTTCGCCGCTGCGGTGAGGGCTCATCCAAAACTTTTGTTGATGGACACTACCCTTCGAGACGCACATCAAAGCCTGTTGGCCACTCGCGTGAGGACGTACGATCTGGAGAGGATTGCACCTTTCGTGGCGCACCGGTTGAGTGGCCTCTACTCGTTGGAGAACTGGGGAGGTGCGACGTTCGATGTTTCCATGAGATTTCTGCACGAGTGCCCATGGGAGAGGTTGATCGCGCTGAGGAAGTTGATCCCGAACGTACCGTTTCAAATGTTATTGCGGGGGTGAGAAATTTTAAAGTCCAAAAATTTGTACTCTGCGATGCGAAGAAACCTAGTTTCTGGCAGGTGTTATATTTTGTTAGCTCGGCTTTCAATCACAATGAATTACAAGGTACATAGTCAGAACCAGCAACATGTAGATAAATACAAAGAAAATTCAAAATGAAAGGCAAGGAAATAATGCGGTCAACTGTGTGTGACTTGCGAATCTCTGTCGCGCATCGTGCAACATGTTCTCACTAGGTTTATAAATCTCTAATTATGTCAATTAAATAATTTGACTTATTTATTGTTGATTTTAGCGCAAACGCAGTTGGGTATACAAACTACCCGGATAATGTGGTGTTCAAGTAAGTGAGAAATGTTAATTACTTTATGAAAGCGGTATACTAATTTTCGAAAGCTGAACGTTTAGATCCACATATATCTAAAATTTATCGTCCGGTAACGATTTCTGGCATTATGTTGTTGTTTACTTTTCAGACATGTTAATCAATTGGATTTGTGTCAAGTTTTACATTTTTTATGAAATTTTGCTTAATTTTCAGATTCTGCGAACTGGCTGTTCGAAACGGCATGGACATCTTCCGCGTCTTTGACAGTCTCAACTATCTCCCAAACCTCCTCTTGGGCATAGAAGCAGTCGCGAAAGCAGGTGGCGTCGTAGAGGCGGCCATTTCTTATACGGGCGATGTATTTGACCCATCCAAGACCAAGTACGATCTAAACTACTACCTCCAGCTGGCGTCTGCCCTAGTCGACGCGGGTACTCATGTTTTGTGTGTAAAAGACATGGCAGGACTTTTGAAACCACAAGCTGCCCAACTATTGATTTCCGCATTGCGTGCCCAACACCCCACAATGCCAATTCACGTTCATACCCACGACACATCGGGAGCAGGGGTCGCCTCCATGCTTGAAGCAGCCCGAGCTGGGGCAGACATTGTTGACGTGGCGGTTGATTCGATGTCAGGCATGACCTCGCAACCAAGTTTTGGCGCCATAGTGGCATCTCTTCAAGGAACGGAACAAGCAACGGAATTCGGTCTGGAGGAAGTTTCACTCTACTCGAGCTACTGGGAGCAGGCCCGCACTTTGTATGCCCCTTTCGAATGTACGACGACGCTGAAGAGTGGAACGGCAGATGTTTATCTGCACGAAGTATGTAAACTTTTTCAAATGCAATTTATGCATGTAGCTCCAAAATACTAAAAATACTAAAATATATGTAGATCCCAGGGGGACAGTATACCAACCTGCAGTTCCAAGCTTATTCATTAGGATTAGGCAGTCAGTTCCACAAGGTTAAGGCGGCCTATGCCGAGGCGAACATGCTTCTCGGGGATATCATCAAGGTGACACCGAGCAGTAAGGTGGTCGGCGACTTGGCCCAATTTATGGCGCAGAATAAGCTTACTTCAAAAGACGTCGAGGAACGGGCGGAAGAATTGTCGTTTCCCAAAAGTGTAGTGGAATTTATGCGGGGGGAAATAGGCCAGCCACATGGGGGGTTTCCGGAACCGTTGAGATCCAAGGTATTACCTTAATAATTAATTCCTTATCGATCGATACATATATGCAAATACTAATCTATTTTGATTGACCCCAGATTTTGAAAGGTCTACCTGGTATTGAAGGACGTCCTGGAGCTCAACTCGCGTCGTTCGATTTCGAAGCGGCAACAGTCGACTTAAAGGAAAAATTTGGCGGCCGCATTCGTGAAGAAGATGTCATGAGTTACGCCCTCTATCCAAACGTTGCTACAGAATTCTTCGAATTCCGTGATGTCTACGGTCCAGTCGATAAGTTAGACACGAGAATTTTCTTGGTTGGACCTAAAGTCGGAGAGGAATTTGAAGCTACGATAGAGAAGGGAAAAACTCTGAGTTTCAAGACTTTGGCTGTTGCTGCGGATCTAACTAAAAACGGTCTCCGTGAAGTATTTTTCGAGCTAAATGGACAATTGAGATCTGTATTTATTCGAGATAAGGAAGCCGTTAAGGCACGACTCTAGTCATCATAATTTTGAAACCGACGTCAGAAATTTATTTGCTGATGTAATATATGATTTATTTTTTATCTTTAGGAACTACACATTCACCCAAAAGCAGAAAAGAATAATAAAAAGCACGTGGGCTCACCTATGCCCGGCAGTGTGATTGAAATCAGGGTAGAGGAAGACAAACATGTCGAGAAGGGAACTCCATTAGTCGTTTTGTCTGCAATGAAGATGGAAATGATTGTTCAAGCCCCTGTTTCTGGAACACTCAAAGCAATCCATGTCACCAAAGGAATGAAGCTAGAGGCGGGAGACTTAATTATCACTATCGAGTAGTTGTTCATATTATATTTTCCAAAGAAATATCAAATTGTGAACTAAAATAATGAAGTTTTAGTGTGTAGATCAGGCGTACATATGTAGCCGAGATGAAAAAATGAAACTTTGATATTATTAATTACTGTATATTATGATGGTGCTATAAATGTATGTAGTAGAAAACAATTATCGAAAAAAAACCCCATATCTAACAATTTCAGTTGCCTAAACCCCAAATTATATGTACATTGTTTCAATGCGTTAAAATTACTGACTTGAGTCTCAATTTCATAACCCAACCATTCCGTTTTCCCTTGTCTGTGGATATTATATTGTGTGTGTCAAAGTATCTTGCCATTTATATACTATATTTGAACATGTCTTCCAAAGAATACCATTTGAGCTTTAAGGGCGTGATAGCGTCGTTACTGGATAATTTTATTCATAAAAGTTTTAGAAAAAATTCTTGTCAATTAGTACGTAACCAAGTTTTTCAGTGCATGTTGCCTGTTCCATGTGCGTGCTACTGTGGTGATCAAAGTCAATAAATAAACGAGTTACAATTTTGAATCACGAAACACTTGTTTAATCTTTTGAAGGAAAATAGCCGAAATTCAAGAATTATTGTTACATATCCAACTTCCATGCATCATTTTGTTACATGATTTATTTCCTGTTGATCAAACTTTCTAGTGACGCCAGCGCATCAACCCTTCCATGGCCAAAGACATGGTTCGGAAAAACAGAATCGATAACTCCATCGCATACCCTTCCACTGGTCATCAAGTTGGTAGCAGCCCCAGTGAAGAGGGTCCCCTTAACTTCCTCGTAACTCAATGTCTCATTGAACGCCAATATAATGGCAGACACACCAGCAACATGGGGGCACCTAAAATTCCAATTAATTCAATTCAATGTATGTATTTTGTCAAACTACGCCTATGACTTAGACTTGGAATGTCATAGCCCCCACAAGGTCAAATATTTGACAGTGCCTAATGAAATAACTTCAAAATATTGTACCCTTCAGGAGCAACGGACACTCTGCATTAGTATAATTATCATTTAATACTTACGCCATTGAAGTACCAGACAGAGTCCTGTATGCATTATCAGCCGTATGAGATGCCGAAACAACAGCGCTGCCAGGAGCAGAAATGTCAGGCTTCATGACGGAGTGAATACCTAATTTGTAATTGCAAATTGTGAACTAGCATATTTATTAATAAAATTCACAATTATTAAAATTCACTTACTTGGTCCGACGCTGCTAAACGAGGAGATCGCATCAGCTGTGGTCGTGGACCCCACTCCAATAACGTCGAGACTTCCAGGATAACCAGCCGTGGCACAGTTTGGACCAGAATTTCCGATGCTGAACACAGGCAGTACGTGACCAACATGCCATGCCTCAATTACATTATCAAACCAATCGGTTCCTAATGAATAATCAAATCAAAAATACATTTTTTATTGCATTACCTATTAATGCATGGTGATTTTTATTGTCAGTGCTTGAGAAATAACTAGTACCTTGGATATAGTCAATTCCCCAACTGTTCGAGACCAGATGTGGGGCTTTCGAACAGTCACGTCTCGTCCCGTCAGCAAGGGTTGGGCAAAGTACCTAAATGGGTGGAATAACATATCAGAATTGCATTAGTTATCGGTCACAGTCGTTGATGGAAAAGGTAAAACTGAAGAAAAGTTGAACGCGACAAGAAAAGTTATTTATTTGTGAAACTGTTCAGTACCGTACCCATTGGCCGCATTTGATAAGGTCGTACATGGAACAAAAGTTGGTCGCGCATCCCTTACAAGCCATCCATTTAGCATCAGGACTTTAGAAATAGGAAATAATAATTAAAATTCTAATAATAGATGATTCTAATAATAATAATTCTTACTAGACGCCGATTCCCAAGGAGCCTGCTATAGTCCCAGTCGTATGCGTGCCATGACCGTTGCCGTCGTTGGGCATTGGTGTCCCTTGACTCGGATCAAACCACCCCCAGTCACCAAGATAGTTGTCTCTCAAGGCCTCATGAGTGTATCTCACTCCTGTGTCAATCGTTGCAATGCGGATAGTTGGGAGATTTGGGAGGACGGACTTGAGGAGGACAACAGCTTCTTCTGCCCTCACCTTGGCCACACCCCACTCTGCAAGAGGGCCAGGTCGTCCCACACATAAATTGTCGGACGGTGAGGAAGGTTTACGGAAGAAGGTATCTTCGTCATCAGAGATGTCAACGACTTCGGGGAATGCTGCGAGAGTTTCGACAAGTTCTAATGTTGCATCTTTGATCCACAGTTGATCCGTTACCCAGAGAGGATCAAATGTAAAGTTGGTGGTTGAGAGATAGCTCCGAACGGATGACTGGGATTGTGCGGAATTGAGGTCGAGGGCCGTGGCGAGGGAGAAGAGCAACGTGTCTCTGTCGGGGTACTCATTTTGAGACACAAAATCCAGAACGGCACGTGTTCCGGTGGCGAAAGTTACAAGGACTTTACTTGTGGGTCCCTGGCGAAATTTTTTTTGCAGGCCGGGAGATACTTTTGAGGATATTGGAGTGGAGCAAATTGACCCGATGATGGCCAGAAAAGTGAGGATATGCATAAGAGAAGCCATGATGAAATGGTCACACGATCTCAGAAGGCTTACTTTGACACAATGAGTGTCGAATTTAACATTAAATCTTGTCAGATTCAGTACATTCAGTACAATTCTGTACATCCCTTATCTATAATTACTAATTTAATCATTCTGATATCTCGTTTATGTAATAATTAAGCAGTGATTGATCCGACAAGTCTACATGAGTATGTCATAGCCGAACAATGAGCAATTGTCCTCAAAAATTGACAATTATGAAGATTTGGATTTCATCAGTCCTCAAATGATATGCTTGATAGGCCAAGTATTTAATAATATTCGGGACATGATAATACATATGTGGCTGTTATGTAATGTGCTTATACGCAACGGCAAGTTACATATATCAGAAATCATACACACGAAAATTGCGATACATGGAAATCCCGTCATGGTACTTGTTACTTTAAGCATTATTAAGTATAACTCAATTTTATATATCTGCAAAACCTATTTATTTGCTAAATATGATGCAATCAATTATTAACTCAATTTATACAAGGCCACTTCGGATCAGATTGGGGTAGCAATAAAATAGGTAAATGCATACACAAATTTACTCCAAAGTTATAAGAGTAAACAATGTGGTCAAGGAAAGGCCTTCCTAATCTGTTGCATGCAAGGAAAATGATAAAGTATCTATTTCGTTTTATCATTCTTCACACAATTTATTATAAACCAAAACCACATATGTGTACGTATATAATAAATTGTGCATAGGCACGTATATGTACCGATAATCCAAACAATACGTTATACACATGTAATTGTAATTAGATGTTGAATTTTACAATCATTGTTGTAAGTACGGCCTAGTTTGATAGCTTCTAAGTGATTTAGGATCATAAATTCCTCGAATCTTGAAGAACATGTATCTAAAGAAGAAGAGCAGATTATCATAATCTCCACCATAATCAGGGGAGACGGCCGTCTTGTGAAATGCCACGCAAAAATGGTACATGGCCTCGATAGTTGATAAATGAGTGATGGGGTTTCCTCTTTGATAACGCCAAAAGAGGGACTCTATCCCACATAATTTTACTCGTGGCAAATCTGTAATAAGTACAAACAAAATTCCATTGAGTTAAATAAAATTCATATAATGCACAAATAATTAAAAGATACTCAAGTAGATAAAGCTTACTGATTAGTTTCGGATCATGACAAATTTTGTAGGTCTGTAATAATGTAATTATAATAAATATAATCGATGTAAATATAATATTTATAATGATCATAAATTATTACTAAAGACCTGGTTCCAGGTTGAGTCAACGAAAATGACTTGATTATACGGAAATATTCCCTCATTTTCAGACTTTATCCGCTCCACGAATACACCAACGTCTTCGGCATCATCCGCAGGAAATACGAGAATGCTCTACAATTAAGAATAAATCCACATTGAATGCTTAACAGACATAGAAATACGAAAACTACAGACATGACTTGTACAATCAGGTAGTTTTGTTACCTTGTCCGTATTGGGAAGGTCAGGATAAGTAAACATCTCAACAGACTCTGGAGCCAAAATTTTTCCATGTATTGCAGTAGACTTGCCGTCAATTTCTTGTGCATGTTTTACAACAGCAAGGCTCAGTGGCAACTACATATATTATTTTTTAAGTTAGTACCAATGGATAAAATGGCTTTATAATATAAATTTATAATAGATAATGAATGAAAGAATACTGCATGGCCTTAACTCGAGACTGACCTTAACTTTCGGAATTCTCGCTTCCAATAACGGCATGGGCACATAACACGTGTAGCAAAAAAATTTGCGTGACTTAGAGCACCCTGCACAACGTTCTCTTCCGGGTATCTCGTCAAGAAAAGTGGCAGAGTCGATCTTCATTCCTTGAAAAGCTTGAAACTTTGGAGAACCTGACGTCTGAAGAAATTTTTTCATTCCATCGTTTAATTTTGGATTATCCATAATGGCGATGTTGTTGTAATTATAGTGTTCAATGAGCACAAATTGGTAGTCAATAATTGTAATTTATGAACGTATGCACACTCCCTAATGTATAGACTAAACAACTTAAAAAGTCAGAATAAACGCTCAGATTAATAGAATTCAGTAATTCAGTTGCAGATGTCTTGTATCAATCTGAAATTCAAATAGAACACGAAATGTTATAAAAATATTGCATATATTTGCACGCATTATTAACTAAATTCTAATTAAAGTATTATATGAACACATGCAATGAACACATGCTAAACCATCAGATGACATTAGCGGAATTTAATTTGTTGTACAGTTTTATTAATTTTGTTCGATATATTTATTTGACGAGAAATGTCATTTACAATTTCATTTTTGAGAGTTTCAAGAAACCGGATGCACAAACTTATACAGGGATAATGAGCTTCGACTATTTTGTACGTTTATATATACGCAATAATAAATTAGTAAATAACTATTGCCTACTGAATGGCGATATGCTAATATAAATATATATATGTAATCCAACGATTAATAATTACACTTATTTAGTCTTTTGATCCATTTAAGCATAAACTATAATAATAAGTTTATTTGTGGAAACGATCGAGAACGACCGAAGGACATTATATTATAAGGGCAATAACAGTATAATGACGAACACGAAGTCTATGTTTTATATGCACCATTTATCGTACTGTAATTAGTGGTGCGGCGATCCGGTTTTGAAAAGCCAAGCACAGGTTTTGTATGCAACATACAAAATCCCAGCCATGACAAGGTAACGCTCTCGCTCCTTACGTTCAACAGAATCTTCCTCTACGGCTAACAATCGTCTGTTCATACGACTCAACTGCTCTCGAAGATGATCAATTTCGTCATTTTCATCCAGATCTCCATAAGAAGCATTTGCAACGGATCGTTGTCCTCTGCAACAGAGACAGCAAATTATAATCATTCAAACATATCAAATAGTTAAATGTTTAATACCTGCGAATAACAGCGACGGATGAATCGGCACCACCGCCAGCCCCACTGCTAATTGCAAGTCCTACTCCATAACTATTATAGCCCATCCCCCCTCCTCCACTACTAATTCCACCACCATGACCACTAGTGAGGAGTCCAAATCTACCAGAATCATCCTTTTCCACAGTTAACGTTTCGTCATCATCATCTGACTTGTAGTTGGAACTGTCACTGTCCCCTCTACGAGAATGTTGGTTTTGATGGGGTCCGTTGCTGCTTTGACTATGCAGAGTGATTGATCTCGGAGGCGTCTAGTAGCAGTAAGAATTTAATTAAAAAAGACTATCGAGCCAATTATTAACAAAATGAACAGTTTACCTGAATTCTGATGGTTTCCGGGTCTGGAGGCATCACAACTGTTTCCAACTGCAATTCTCTGGGCATCGCTTTAGCCCCAACATGTTGCTCTTGGCCTTCATGCCATTAAAATATTATATTATGATCAGTCAGTGAGCTTTGAATGGACATGAGATGAAAGTAGATATTTTGATAATTCATTGACCGAATTTCATTCATGCACAACGAATTACACACCTGTGACAATGATGCGATCCGGTACTTGCATTTGGGCTTTGTCACCCCCATCGCGACGTGCTCTCCAATTCCCGTTAACCTCATTTCCACCGCCGATGCCCGCGCCACTCCCCCCAACATTATCATCCCCACCCTCCACCTCATGTCCACCCACTGACGATCAACAAACAAGTATCATCATAAGTCATAAGAAGATGAATGCTAAGAAGATGAATGAATGGAAATTATTAAACATGAAATAAATCCATCAGCAAATGGTTAACCATCAATCAGTGCAGTGCCTTGTGTCCTTGCGTAAATGGTGGTCGTGTCGTGTCGCAAAGCATATTACAAAATGTTCCACTTACCCACACGAAGTTTTTTCGGAACTCGCATCCTATTGGAAATCTCGGCAGTAAATGATGGATCAAACTGATTAGAGAAAAAGTCCAAATCACTCCCACTAAAACGTGATTTCACAGGAGAGGTGTCCGAGCTGGACATGGTAATAACGGTGTCAAATATATTCTAGAAATGGACAATAATATTTAAAACTGTTATCAGATAAATGCTTAATATTATCTTCTGTATGGATTTCTGAGGATGGCGAAGGCGAAGGCGAAGAAGACAGTGGGGAAAATCTCAAGTTTGTAGTACCCACTACATAGTGGGCAATGTAAACTCGTCCCCATGTTGGAAATTATTATGAAATTAATATGATGACCCGACCCGACCAAAGTTGCATTTTTCTAAAAACTCATGAAATTGAGTCTCTGGGGGAAGTTAGGGACGCCGTACGGAAGGGGTTAAAAAGAGGGGTCAAATAAATCCATCCAATCCATTAGCATTAGCATTCCCAAATAAAAAAAATTGCATAAAAACCTACTATAGTCCAACGAATAAAAAATCTATTCAATCCATGAATTTTAGTTTTAATGAAATTTATATGGATTTTAAAAATTCACCCCCATTACAACGACATTTTATTTTATCCTCAATCCACTCCATAGTTTAATAAATCCTACTCGCCCATTATCTAATGGTTTTCTTTTCATGGTCAACAGACTACTCTCTTTTTTATTGAAACACATTGATAAAATAATCCAATGATTGTTTTTTTTTAACTTTTTTATGGATACCAATTTCACCTTATCCGCAAAAAAAGTAAAAGGGCTATGCGCCTATGCAACTTGCATAATGCAAGACGCAACTCGAGGGAAGTCCTAAAAAACTTGCACTGTAAGCTGGTTACATATTTGCATGCATAATAATTAGAGATTTCACTTACCAAAACCTTTGACTTATCTTCTTCAAATTCCCAGTGTATCCAATTTTCCAATTTTTGTATCCAATTTTTTAGCCGTTTTCCAGTTTGGAACGAGTATTTCTAATAATCCATAGTAATATAGCTTCACAATTACTCTACTCCCCAAGCTAACTACTACTAACCAGGGTGCATAAACTTTTTTGTTGTCCGTGGTTTCTCCTAAGGGGGTGATGCCAGGATGAAAATTTTTATTCAAAAATTAAAAGTTGGAGAATTGCATGCACTTTTGCCATAACAACCACCCAAATCCATGGCAAAAGTGCATGCAATTCCCCAACTTTTAATTTTTGAATAAAAATTTTCATCCTGGCATCACCCCCTTAGGAAAAACCACGGACAACAAAAAAGTTTATGCACCCTGACTACTAACATTTAGTAGTGACTAATATTTAGTAAGTGTACCTATTTTATACATATTTTATGGAATGTATTTCTGTTTAATAAAATACGGCTACGGCTTTTACTGTATTCAATAACTTCACATCTAAATGTGTAGGTGTAATACGTAAAAATGTGTTTATGAAATTATGAATTTTAATTTTATACATATCTTACGCTTCATTTTCATTAAATAATTGACATACATTGACGTACATTTTCATTGCATACAACATATCATATATTGTAGGTATAGTGCAGTACAAATAATTATTTTCATTTAAGACACATTTTTTACAAAATATTTTTGTCGGGAGACAAAATAGGATACTCATATCTATACATGTAGATATATATGTTGTATGTGACTAATATCTACATACATAGGTTCTATGATGACTACCCTAACCCTATGTTTTTTACGAGGAATACCCCGTAAAAAACATACATCCCATAGAATAGATTACCAGACTAATTTTTCCTTTGCTAGACTAATTTTTCCTCTACTTCAATTTCAATTTACCTTTATTCAAGTGTTAGTCACATTCAGTCAGTGTAAACCAGTCGATAAGACTGGTTTACAAGTTATAACACATTACAAAATAAAAACTCTGTTTACACAAAATCATGATTTTCCACAAATGACACGTAAATCATAGATCAGCTATAGAGTAACCATCTCATAACACCAACAGTTAATATCCATTATATTCCAAATCAAAACCGATAAAACGAGTCAATTAATAAATTACAAATTATCCAATACCGAAGTTATCAAAAAGTTTGTTAAATGAAACTTGAATTTCCATAAGAAAGGTGGTAATATCCAGATTAAAGGTATCTTGATAACATAAGTGGTTCAATATTCTCACTAATTTCAATAATAGCTTGTCATAATTTATAGTTACCACATCAACTTTTCCCTTAATTACAAATGAAGGCACACATCTCGGACAAGTCCAATTTTTAGAAAGTAAAATATTGAGATATGATTGATTGGAAATGGAAATGTTACACTTATTTTTGTGGTAAAAATTTAAACAATGTACGCATTGAAGGGCACATTTATTCGTGTGATCCAAATTGAAATGGTCCTTGAGGACAATAGAGTAAGTTGTTCCTTTATTTATAAGCGAATCCGTGATGTCCTCAATGATTTCTTCACATAGATAGCAGACTGGACCGAGTGATTCATCGTCATCCCAATTTATGTAATCTAACTTGAAATAGACCGTACGGTATTTTTGTTGATCTAATTTCCCGTCCAGAATTATTACATTTGTCTCGGGCTCGGCTTGAAGAATGAAATCCTCGACTGACATGGGTGGGGCCGTCATTTCCATTAGATGATGAATTCTTGATATTCAAATGTGTTTCATATTGCATGGTTCCAGGTCGACATGTTACATACAGAGGAAAAGTTACACGAGATTAACCAGAATATTGAAAATAGCAACAATATTTATAGGGTCAAAAGTGTAAGGTCTACTTTCCATTACTCCCCACGCCAACTCGTTGTAAGTGTATACACTAATACACTTATCCTTAGTTGGCTAAAATACATTTAGTATTTTATGAACAAATTATGTGTTTTGAGTCGGACTAATCGTCTTTACTGTATGAATGGCTGGTCTGAAATGCTTTGCTAAAATGTAGCATACTATGAAAAATTGTGTTTAAAATGTTGCATGTACTAGGTTCGGTTGGGTCATTTAAAAGTTTCGCATAACTAACCAACTAAATAAAAATTTGACTAACAAAATCCGTTAAGTTAAGACTTAAAATGGTCACTAAGAATTGGAAATAAAAGATTAACTGTAATTATTTACAACCATTAACCCGTATTCAATGCACTTTATTTATTTTTTTTGCTGGGCATACATTTAGGACATACTCTCCAATGATGTGTGTGATTCTTTTGTTACCGTGCGCTAGCAGGAGAGCTCTGGAACGCCTCAACATATTCCAATGCGGTCTTTGACATCGTGTTTCTAATTTTATAACCTCGAAAATGGGGTCACTGAGGTCACTGTCACGGTGATCTTCGAGTAAGGTCAAATGGCAAATTGGACCTTAAGTTTCATAGGTTGTGTCATTTTAAAGGAAATTTTCTCCCGAAGCCAACGCCGCCAATATTTTTGTCCCCCGAGTAACTGGTGACCGCGTAGACGAGGTCAAATAATTGTCATATGTGGTGTCGTGTCATTTAAAAAAAGAAATTGCAATCCCTTAGACGTTACATCTTTGCTTGCTTATTAAGTTTCTTCCTTTCTACTACCAGAAACAGAAGTAACTAAACTTACTTGAGTTCAATTTGTTGGCTGTCTGCCCATCAGCACGAAAACTTTTGAATGAATCGATTTTTTAGTTCTGGAAGAGGGAGATCGTTAGCTGACCTTGTGGGTCAAAACTTCATTATATCTGTTGCTGTTGCTTAAAGTTTATTTACATTTCCAACGATGGAGTTTAACCTCGGTACCCTCGTTCTCTGGGGGGCAAGCATAATATCCATCTATCTTGTTGTGATAATTCCCATCATAAATGTGCTTAAATTCCGGCGAATTCCTTCTCACGAAGCCTATCCCATTTTAGGAAATCTAATAGCAATGTGGAAATGTCACGACGGTAATTCAATTATTGAGTATTATCAACTTCCATGCATATGATAACATGTAACCATTAATTTGATTCAATCTTCACAGAATTTAACAAATTATTTGAACGTTGGGCATCCAAGTATGGGAGAGGCCCAGTCGTCGTATGGGGGACATATTGGTTTCCTATCGTAGTTCTAGGGGACGCTAAAGATGTCAAGGTTCATATATTTTAAAATTATTTATTTACTTTTGCATAACACATTGCATAGATAAATACCTGTATCTAGAAAGTGTTGTGCAGTAGAGATCATGTATCAAAGGGCTTGTTTTACCGAGCATTGGACTTGGCAATTGGAACGGGAGCCTTCAACGCTCCAGGTAAGTAAATATATGTATGTTCATTTAATTGTCTTGAACATATTTTTTATTTAAAAATTGATAATTCAATTAGTTGGAATATGGAAGCAACGGAGGCCTCATTTAGAACAAGCGTTTCATTCTAAAGTCCTTCAAAGACTCCCATCAATATTTTACCTCAGCAGTTGCGAACTTATCCAAGCTCTGCAGAAAGATGGGCACGACACATCTGGTCAAACTTTTGATATTCATCCTTACCTTAGTCGATGCTCCATTCAAATGCTCATCGGTAATTCACATGAAAATAGTTATAACACAATTACTTAAAAATAACTTGTTCTAACTCGCAGGAGGAGCCCTAGGATTAGAGGTAGACACTTTTGGAGGGGCTTCAAAAGAATTTTGGAAATTAGCAATACAAAATTACACTAGGTTATTCCTTGCAAATTTTTGTCGCGTATGGTTTATATTCATATTTATGATTAAACTGAGCATTGCACAGAGGAACGTTCCTCGCCGAATACAGGATGCTTCGTCCTTGGTATTTATTTTCAAGCAAGATATGGAATCTGACCAGATTGTCGAAGGAAATGAGGACCTCCGTGGAATGGCTGCACAAATTCCTCTTCTCACAGGTCAGGTCGTTAAATGCATTCCCATCGCATGCATGTGCGTGGTAATTTAATATGGCTTAATATAATGAGACGAATTCTTAACAGTTCTTAGCCGACAAGAAAAGAGTGGACCATGAAAAAAACAGCACTGTGCAAAGTTCAGACAAAATTATGCCTCAGCCTAAAAACTTTTTAGAATTGCTCCTATATCTTCAAAATACGAAACCAGAGCTGGAATTATCAGATCAAGAATTAATTTATGAAATTTCGTCCATATATATTGCTGGCACCGATGCTACAAGCAAAACTTTGAGCTTTCTTATTTTATCCTTAGCCCTGCATCACGATATTCAGGTATTAATTAATACCGTAAGCAAACTACTTACGTAAAAATCATACATATGTACAATTTATGGACAATAATGGGTAATTATACACAGGAAAAGGTTAGAGAAGAATTGGACGCTATTTTTGCCAGTGATGATAACACTAAAGGAAATTACCCCATAACAGAAACGCATTGCAACAAAATGCGTTACTTGGAATGCTGCATCAAGGAAACGCTCAGATTATTTCCGCCAGTGTCTTGCATTACGCGCAGAGTTGGGAGTGACATTTATTTGGGTAAAGATAAGTATTTCTGTACCATTTTACCGTTTCATACTTTTAAGTCAATCAACGCTAATAATTACTTTCGTAATTATTGCTATCTTGATAATTTTGGTCACGTAAGACGATGGGGGACATGTTCCAACTGGTACAGAAGTCGTGATCTCGATATTTTCCGTTCATCGCAATCCATCCGTTTATCCCGATCCAAATATTTTTAACCCGAATCGATTCCTTCACCCCCAGGATAATGCAGAAATGTCCACAATAAAAATCGGTCCCTTTGACTGGATTCCATTTTCTGCAGGACCCAGAAACTGTTTGGGTATTCATCAATTAAATTGCTCGCTATTTATACGTTGGTATCCAATCATTTATTCATTTACTCATTCATTGTAGGTCCAAAATTCGCCATGGTGGAGATAAAAGTCGTTGCGGCAAACATTTTCCGGAACTATAAAGTCATGACGGGCTCCTTTATGAAAATGGAGGATTGGGTGTTGCACACAAATATTACCCTTGATTTACAAGGAGGTTGGAACATCAAGCTCGTACCAAGATAATTTAGACCATATGGACAAGTGTATATTTCGTATATTCACATGCACATTTTTTTAATAAAAATCAGATATATATTTTATCACCCAATAGAAATTGTTAACGGTCGTTCGTTACTGTAAAGAACATTGACTTTGAATGACACTAATTACAACTATTAATTGTCCCATACACCTCATTTGCATATGTTTATTCTCATGAAAAAAATGTTATGCAATGTTTTTTCTGTACATATACAGAGGGTTAGGCGAGATTACAGAACGTGTAGCAATTGCCCATATAAATTAAACAGTTGCGCTAATTCCAAATATTGGAAACTTTTCTCGAAGCTTGGTTCAAGCTGCGCCGTGACCCAAAAGCTCAATTTCGAAAGTTTGAAAACGGGTCCAGAAATTGACCCCACAGAGCTCCATGCTGATAAAACAGTTTGCCAAGCAATAATGACGTACAAAAAAATACTAAACAAACTCCATGATGAAAAAACTGTCATTTCTAATGGCCCAATGCCTAATATAAAGGATTCAGTTGAAAAAAGGAACCAGGCAAGAAATTTGACGGCGCCACATCCGTCGAACGCATGCTCCCCGCACTGTAAGAAACCCGACGCACGTGAGAAAAATTGATGTGGACAAGGCAAGAATTTTTTTATCAATCCAAAATCAACTGGCCACGAAGTGTCAGGTCCCTGGGCGTACACTGAACTGAATTATTCACCAAGATATGCACAACTTCAGCGAGGATCATAAGATATGAGGTCGACGCGAAACTTTTTCTCTGACAACGCTCGGATTACTACCCAGTTCGCAGCCATTCTTTTTTTAATATTCGGAATTTAAATTACTTTGCATAAAGATAAACTAGTTACGTCCGGTTATGCGCCTCCAGTGCTTTAATTTTGATTTGAAACTTCAGATCGACACTTTTTCAAATGGACATAAAATTTTTTTTATGCATTTTGCAAACTTTTAGATGAACAGTGGTTCAAAGAAAATCTGCTGCCGGCTTTAAAAGCCCGGCTTTTTGGAAATGATAACTTCATTCCTCATGAAAAAAGGATGAGGAATACGATGAGATCATTTAAAATATCCAGCGATGGATATTTCGGCCAAAAATTAATAATTTTCGACACGTTCTGTAATCTCGCCTAACCCTCATAATGATCATGATACCACATTAAATGCCTGTAGTGATTGATTGATAACACACTCCTCCGTCATTCCCTTATCTGATCCACTTACTTTTCATGAGAATAAATAACTTATTATTTGTACACTAATCTCTGCTATGCATATGTAGCACATGGCAAGGATATAAATAAGCGATGGTAAAATGAGTGCATGCTTTTTGGATCAAATTTGATGAGCTAGATTTTCTTTAAAAAACTAAATATTGCGAGGAGGATGATGTTCAAGGTAGGGGAACGAAATGAGTTGAAGACGAAATGTTGACGGACTCAAGATGAGAAAAATTAATAAATAAACTTAAATTAATTATCGTTCCCTTTTTTACTTGTTTTTTTTATATTTTAATTTTCCTTAAAAAATATTTAGTTTATTTATTTTAATCAAAAGAATTTAATCATTTTATTTGGGTACTGATTTAGAATAAAACGGGTTTTAAAAAGTTCAGACTGCATCACGAATTGATAGCAATAATTATCAAGTTTTATATATAGTGAATGAACCTACTCACTTAATAAATAGCAAATAAAACAAACATAACTGTAAATTAAGTAACTTCCGTCCGTTGAAGTATAGAAATACTAGGAATATTACAAAAAGTATTAACATGCCACTCCGGATTTTAAAAAGGAACTCGAAACAATACAATGTGGTTTCAAAATCTGCCTTCGTCATCTCCGTGGAACTGCTTGATAATGGGGTTATGGTAAGTTTGTGACCCACGGTTCAATTTTAATTAAGAAATATGTTATTAGTTTATTATGAACAGATATTGATTGTGAAACTTATAATAACAATTAACAGGAATGCACCCTGGATTCAGATTCAACGGGAAGAGAGTGTTTGCTCAATATTTCTCAACGATTAGGTCTCCATCAGGTAAAAAAATTGAATTTATAAGTATCAGTCTGATACTATCAGATCAATAGTACGATTAATTGACTTTTAGTATCGTAATCGTAACGTTAGCGGTAGGGACGATAACGTTAGTGTCCCTTATAAAATGATAAAATGTCAAATAATATTGTATCAGCAGTTATCAAATACAAAAATGTCAAATGATACTGTTGTCAGCGTTGTGATATGTATTTGTGGGTTTTTGAATTTGTAGCCTGAATTTTTTGGTCTCCGCTACATTTCTCGTGGCGTTCCTCCTCGCCATCGATGGGTGGATTTGGATCGTCCGTAAGTTTCAAATGCCAACACATATACAATTTTATTAACAATTTATTTTGGGAAAAACATGAACGATCCAAATTTGATCATGCTATATTATAGATTGAGGAAACAATTGCAAAAATATGCACAAGATTCACAACTTAGTTTGGGCGTCATGTTTTATGTGGGGGATGTGAACCTTTTGAAAGATGAGATGGCCAGGTAGATAATTTGAAAATAATGATATAATTTATTTTGACCTGCCTTTATTAATGATGTTTTGTTTACGTTGTAGATATCACTACTTTTTGCAATGTAAATCTGACGTAATTGATGGAAAGTTAAACTGCAGTATTGACCAGGCAATCTCACTTGCGGCATACAGTTTACAAGGAGAGTTTGGAGATTTTGATCCAGGTTTGGTAAAACTTTGTCTAATACCCAAAAGCATAAATTTATTGGGTACTTCAACCCGACGCTTCTCCTTATCAGTTGGGGAGCGTCGGTTCTTCCAGTTTGAATATAAAAATAATGAGCAGACCCCAGGCGGAATTATTTAGTAGTTAGGCATTGTATACAATGCATGTACATATCTGAGGAAACCGACCTTCCTCGGCTTGCTCAGTTAAAAATAATAATATACATATTTCATATGCACTTTGCAGACATCTAATCCTCATGATATTTTATCTAATTTTGGCTTAATATTTTCCAGAGAGACATACTGTGGAGTATTTAAGAGATTTTGCAATACTCCCAAAGGTAGGTTGAATTTACATATACAACTAAATAAATCTAAAATAACTTTGTCTATGCATTTAGGATTTGATCTCAACTGGAAAGTTACCTCAAATCAATGTCGATGCCTTATTTGAAGCCGTGGTTCGTCAATATCATTCAATGATATCTTTCCCACCACCATTAGCAGAAATTTATTACATCATGGTGGCTCAGCAGTTGGACGGTTATGGACAAGAACCTTATCCAGGTTAATATAATGAATATGTATAACAATTGTGAGAATAATAGTATCTATCAACCGACTCAGCCATAGATTATGTTATCCAGTTAGAAATGCGAAATCTTGACAAAAACAGTTTAGGAAAATTTTTGATTTATTTGTTTCTCGTGTAATGGCCATTTCGAAAACTCCAATCATTCCCACTTTTATTACTTTTGATAATCCGATTTACCTAATCCAAGTATTTTGCGAATCGAAGCCATGCTACATTCAGGAGTTCTATGAATAATACTTCATTGTTTATTTCACATTTCTATTTTTTTCACAGTATTAAGATAAAGTTGTTATTGTTATAGCCAAGGATGACGCTGGGAATGATATTTTAATTTGCATTTCCGCTAATGGGTTAATCATCCGACGTCGGGATTGGACTCACATTGCTGCATTTAGGTAAATAATCGAAAGATAAAAATATGAATGATTTGTACTATATTGAATTTGTTAAATTTTGTACAATTGCTACTCTTTCTAAAGATGGATAGATATCAAGTCTCTTCTTGGCCACAAGAGACTCTTTGTTGTTGAAAGTTCACAATCTCATCGAACAATGCAATATCACTTTTCTGATACTGAAGTCGCTAAATATGTACGAAAAATATGGTAATATAAATAATATAAATATATATTATTATATACATAATATAAATATTTATGTATAAAAATATAAAAACATTTTTTAGTCTCTTGCAAAGCACATTCTATAAAGAAAACATCCAGTCGGAAACAGTAGGACCACAACAACAAATTGCAACAGATAATCAACATATCATGCCGAATCAACAAGATCACCATCCAAACAGAAATATAAACCTGAACAATCATCATCATCCTGGTGGTGCTCATATGGGAAACATGGATCAAGGAGCCTATTTTCCTGGTACAACAAATGCATACAATTTTATTTTAAATTTCAAATATATTATTTAAATGATGCGATTATCTTTGACTTTATAGGAGTCCCTCCTGATCTTCTTGCTCCAACCATGTCCTCTTCGACAATTGGTGCTTCGTCCAATTTCTCGTCGTCTATGAACAATTCGTCATCATCATTCAATCAAAGTGGTCTTAGTTTAAATTCCTCGTCGGCTTCAGCGCTTAATGTAAACCACCAACTTCATTTCAACCAGAATCATGGAATGTTTCCTTCACAGCCTCAGTCACATCTTTTTCAATCTTGTGCCCCTCATCTGCTTCAACAACAAGGAGTAGCTGAACCACTCATGTTTCACCATCCAGGCGAATTGTATAATCAGGTAAATAATCATGTAACTGATAACGTAAACAAAACAGTTAAACTCATTTAGAACTGGATTATTAATTCACTCTATTTTTAATAGATACAAATGATACCTTCTGTTAGAACAAATCCACTGGCTGATCTAGGTGGCGACCTGGAATACTCTAATGGTTACGGCAGGGCCGTTTCTGATTATACGGCTGCTCTCCAGCAAAAATATGGGAGCGTGGGAATTCCAGATTTGTCGTCAAGAAAAAGTTCATCGCAGCTCTACTTTTCCTCATCTTCTGGAGGCGAAAGAAGTCGAAGTCAGAGTCAAACTCTGCAACAAATTAGGGCATCATTAGAGGTTACAAATTTTACAATTGTTTTCCTTTGTATATTAGTAGCGTGGGTGCTTGCTATTGATACATATATAATGATTCACAGGAAGAACCAATTTATCAGAATGAAATAGTTTCGCAAATGCATTCCATGGAGTTACGCGACTCTGCATCAAATTCCAACAGGTACGACAAATATCGATAGATTCGATAGACCACACAAAATTGTGAAAATTTGTACTTTTAAAATCTTTTATGCTCTTATATATCTTATTTATAGTGCATCCGATGTCAACGGAAATGGACAGGCCTCATCCAGCGATTCTGCCGGCGGCACTATCGCATTGGATAACGAGATATCTGCAAATACTGAAGTTTCAGCAACTTCTTCCCCTTCATCTTCAATGATATTCAAGGACAAAATTACCGATGCATACCCAAATGAAAGTAGCTGGCTAAATAATCCATCAACAATGAACTTTATGCAGTCTCAACCCCTCACAACCACTCAACCCCCACAATTACAAAATGAAACAACAACTCCTTCCATCTATGTGTTTAAACCCCCTCCTCCTTATCCTGGTCTATGCTCAACGTCTTCAGTCTCGAATTCTGCTGGATCCATACAAAACAAGAGTAGTTCGGGGTCAAATCAGGAGATTTCTACTGATTCGTCTGTCTCAAATTCTACGACTTCATTGTCTAGGAATACATTTTCGCAACCAGCAACAACAGATTTAACTATAGCTCAACTCTCGCCTTCAGCCACTTCGTCCATTGTTAGTGCTCAAATACATTCTGAACCTGGACGTCAAGAAGAGGAAGAAGAATTACCAAGCAAAGAAGATAATGATGAATTGTCAGAGGTGGGCGGAGAGGAAATATTGGAAGTGGAAAAAGTGAAACCTACTGTTATGGATGATTCAATTGCATCGGTTACTTCTTCGACTGCTACAAGTTATACTGAATGCTCAACAAGCGCAAATAGCTCATCAATTTCAACTTGCGTGGATGAAGTTGACTCTCCAAAACCTTCCTCAAGTACAAGTTGCTTCCCTGAAATTCGAATACAAAGTAGAATTATAGATGATCGTTGTCCAGCTCAAAAATCTACGAATAAAGTAAGCATGTCTTATATAACATTGTCGGTATTGCTGATTGTGTGTTAGCATAAAGTTACATATTTTCAATATCAATCAGGCTGGACAACTATTTGGGAAGGCCATTGACCCAGCAGTTCTTCGTGAGTTTCAAGCAATTCCAAAAACCAAAAATAATCCTAGTTTTGCCACAGCTTTGAAACGTGAAAATTCCAAGCGGAACAGAACCCCGGACATCCTTCCATATGAAGATAATTCTGTTCGGTTAGGTCCCACGCGACAAAATCCGAGTGGTTACATTAACGCTTCACCATTGTCGGCAATAAGAGCATTCTTAATTAATTAATTCAATAAATACCAATTAGCCTAATTCTCATTGACTATTTAATGTAAAAATAGGTGAAAATTGGCGATCGCCAGTGGCTGTATACCGTAGCACAATTGCCTCTGCCTGGAAATGGATCTGCATTTTGGCAACTTATTTGGGAAAAGGAAATCAAAGTTATCGTTGCACTTGAAAGAGATTCATCTGCTCTCTTCTATCCCCTTCAGAAAGGAGCCACCTTATCCTTTAATGATGTACACATGTTCATATTTTTTTGTGGAATTTTTGGTAGATGTACATATGCTTTATTTTTTCTTATAATTTTCATCTAGTTTCAAGTTGTGGAAAGCAAAGGCGAGCGTCGTAATAGTTCCAACCTGACAATTGCGAGAGAGTTCAATTTGATTTATACTTCGAAAAAGAAGCAGAGGAAAGTTTTCATACTCCCGTATGAGGAAGAGTGGAAAGATGACGTTCCAGTTCACACAGAACATTTTCTTTGTAAGCATAGAATATTTTTTATGCAAAATTTCTTTTAACAAGAGTTATTAGTAGCACATTTATTTTTGCAGGCTTTTTGGAAGAAGTAAATTCAATTCAACGAAAAGTTAGCGAACCAACATTGCCTCTGACCGTGCTTTGTGGAACGGGTGCTGGCCGAAGCGGAATATTTATCTTATCCGATCTCCTTCTTCACGCTGCTGATTGCGGACATGTAAATAAAATGATCCCAATTCAAATATTTGTTAAAAGTGATGTATATAAAATTAATGGTTGTTGTTTATTTGATTGATTAGAAATTACGGTGCGATGCTCTGCTCAAAGTCCTGCGTCAGCAAAGAATGTCCCTCGTCTCAAACGCGTCACAATATGCCTTTGTCCTTCATACATTGGCGAAATATTTAGCCCAATCAAGGCTTATCTAAATATGTATATGCTAATATTTGTACTTAAATTCATTTTATGCACAAGTTGATTATTCTTAAATCTTGACTGAATCAGTTAGGTTACCAATATTTCTACTTATCAGACACTCCGACTTTATGTGATACAAGAACGATAGGTGGACATGCAATTCGTAGTGTAGTATTTATTTTGCTTTGTGCTGCAATATTATTCTATTACTTATGTACGTACTACGTAAAATTTGGCAAGTGGAATCAAGTAGTGTGTAATTTCTCACCCCGCAAGAATTATTTACACGGAAGTTGGTCGTCCAAAATGACTTATGGTAGAATGCACATATATTTATTTATCTGCATTTTTATATTGGATGTAATCGATCAACATATCATATTGTGCTTGGTACTTACACTTACACGATTTCGTAAAGTCTGGCAATCTCCCTTTCCAACGATTGCATTTTTGAATTTTTACACATTGCACATTCGCCGTCTGTATGCACTGAACTTTTTTTAATTTCCCAGTTGTCCAATATCAGCACAATAATAATTTAATGTTTTATCAGTTTTAGGCCGCTTGTATTATTTACGTTATTTTTAGTTGCAGATTTTTTAGTTCACTTAGCTCCGACCGCACGCAAACTTTTACATGAACATATATACTCTAACTTAATATTATTTATTATATGAAAACAAAAGACCTGACTCGCGTTGAACTGCCGAAAAATTTTACCAATCATTTGTATGTATAATGGACAATAAAATGAAGCCAAACTTCTTCAGTAAATCGGTTATCCAACATCCTGACTTTGGTATTTATTATTATTTATATTTGTATGATGCTTTTTTATAACATGATAAATGTTTCATTAAAAACCGTTGTACAATAAACATGCGACCTTCTTAATAATATTTACACATACGGAGACAATTATTACTATTAATTATGACAAGGAGGCACTTAATTAATTATCAATTAATTACAGGATAAGACATCTGCACTATCATCTATGCAATTAATCGATAAAAGATTAAAATGAATCATCCACATGACAGGCAGACATTTATGTTTTAAATAATAATAATAAAATTATACAAGGTTTCCTTACTTGTTTGGATCACAATATTCCCAATATCTGACTGACATCAATACTGAGTGACAACTTGGGTTCTTTAGTTAGTTTACAACCTATTTATTTATATGGTTCGAATAATAATTTATATTCCTAGGCTTTGATTTGACGATAATAGTGAAGAGTGAAGGTGGGACAACAAATATTCTCTCTTGATACCATTGACATGATGTGTTCCTGGGGCATACGTAAAAAAAATTTGGAGTCCTTTTGTTTGTCTTTGTTAAAAAAAAAGACCAAGAAAGGTTTAAAACAGATAACTATGAATATAGTCTAGCTACTACAACCCTTTGTTAATTATTCTTTTTCCCTTTGATTGCCTTCTTCTTATCCTCTGAACTTCCAGATCCACCTCCAAACCAATTAGCCAGCACCTCCGACATCTCGGGCATCTCATATTTGGGCATTTGCATAGCTTCCATTTCTTTCCTCGTTTCTGGGTCAGACATCATCTTGGGAAGAATAAGGATGAGTACAAGCGGCAAAACCATCATTAGCACCATAGGGGAAAATAGAACGTCTGTAACTCTCCATTGTTCTCGAGGAATAAAATATTTATAAGGTCCAGTAGGATTGAGTCGAAGAGGGTAAGGTAGATGCGTCACCTATGTTCAAAAATACGATGCATTCAGATTGTTTCGTATAAGGTAGGCAGGTTTTTGGTTAATAATTACCAGTGCAGGTTGAATATAGTTGACCTTTCTTGCTCTTAATTTTCCTTTTGATGTGATATCCACACGAGCAGACTCATATTGAAAAAGTGGATGAAAAACTTCAATTACGAACGATCCTGCGGGAAGTCCCTCAACAACAAAAGATCCGTCTTCTTTCAACAGACCAATGTGTTCGCCTCCATTGACCTACAAAAAAATGATATGCCAATTAGATAGATGATTCAATCCGACGGATCTTAGTATCTTTCTTAAAATTGTTGAAAGGATGAATTTGACATTGTTTGTTACGTACGAAAATTTGTGTATTAATAAGCCAGTCATTAGTCTTCTTCTCCATTGGAGCAATTACTTTTCCCTCAATCCTGTTCCAGGGATGACTAACACCACGACCAGTTGTACTAGAAGACGACGATGACCCTGAAGACTCTTCAAGTGAACCACCGCCCACAAGTGGTTCACTAACACCAAGCCCAAGACTAAGGCTGGAACTGACGAGGAGAAGTAGAATTATATGTTGAGGGAATCCCATCTGTAATTATTTTTATAATTGATTAAAAAGAGATTCAATAGAAGAGTACTCAGAATGTAGTGCAGCACTACTAGTGCTGCTGAGTGAAGGTAACAAAAATGCAAAATTGAATAATTAATTTGGTAAATGGTAACCAAACCATCTCCGTCAAATCTCACCTTTATGAAGTTATTATAATCAGATAAATATACAAATTCCAACCAGATCGGCGTTTTAAAAAATCAAAAAACTGTAAAGAGTAGTTTAGTAGTATTAATTTTTCGAAAATTTTGATTTTGAAAATATTTTCTTTTCCTTGGGGCTGAATCTTCTCGTCACTTTGCTTCAACTTTGAATTTCGCGGTAGAATTTTTATTGGGGTAAGACTGGACAGGCGCTGGCTTTGAAACACTAATCGATTTTTAGTAAATAAAATAAACAACGCCGGTCGCATCTCAATCGCGAAATTGAATTCTTATCAAAACACAAAAGGGATTTAAAGTTTTTAACTATCAAAGGTTAGATTGACTGAAATATGGACTCTGCTGTTTTAAGCTCAGGTAACAAGCTCTGAATTGAAAATCTGAAAATAACGTACAAATTACTTTTCGTATTCTTTTGATTTATTTTTGTCAACTTAAATTACGCATTCTATATATATTATTCATTAATTTGTAGGTTCAGGAATGGCCAATTACTCTTCCGGCGTATATGTTGATCCATTCTTAAAGCGACAAAAGATTGAGGACATGTCTCCCGAAGAGTTCCTCGTCGTTCCCATCGCTGATCTTAATCAGAGTGGTCCACTGACGGCAGGTCCAGGTGCAAAACGCGACGTTGCTGCTTCAATTCTGGGCGTTGCACTACCAAAACTTGAACGCCGGGATCAAGATGATATTGCGAGGGCAAAAAAGTATGCTATGGAACAAAGTATAAAATATGTCTTAATGAAGCAGACGCTAGCTCATCAACAACAACAGGCCAAATCTCTTCAGAGACACCAAGCCCTCGTCCTAATGTGTCGCGTCTACATTGGTAGTATTAGTTTCGAGTTGAGGGAGGATACGATTCGTCAAGCTTTTGCTCCTTTTGGTACGAAATTGATATCATGAATGAATTCATTTTTAAATAAATCTATTTTACTGTAATATCTGACGTGTTAATTCCCTTTGCTTAGGTCCGATCAAAACTATAAATATGTCCTGGGATCCAGTGGCACAGAAGCATAAAGGATTCGCCTTTGTGGAATATGACCTTCCTGAAGCGGCACAACTGGCGTTGGAGCAAATGAATGGGGTTATGATTGGTGGACGAAATATCAAGGTAGTAGAGATTTAATTTTGAATTAATAATAGTTTAGAAGAGTATAGTAGTTCATTAGAGTGGGTCAAAGGGCCAAAGTGTGTAAAGCATTAGCAAATAGTGGAGTGTGAATAAGAAGGGGATCGGAATTATTTATTTAACTGTTTTCTAATTTAGTGTGGACGAGATACAAGGATAAAGTTTTCGCACATGGATCAAGTCATTGACGAAGTTATGGATGAGGCAAGAGAGTACCACCGAATTTATATTGCCTCAATTCATCAAGATTTGACCGAGGATGATATTAAAAGGTAATCGGACAGTGACGGACGCATTATATTACTCTTCTCTGTTACTCGTTTGAATTGAAATTGGTTCGTTTTTGGTTGAATGTTTCAGTGTTTTTGAGGCTTTTGGAAAAATAAAATCCTGCAAGTTGGCTCCTGGCGCTGCCCCTGGAAAGCATCGAGGATATGGTTTTATCGAGTACGAGAATGCCCAATCAGCAATGGAATCTATTGCTTCCATGAATCTTTTTGATCTTGGTGGGCAGTACCTTCGAGTTGGGAAAGCCATAACTCCACCGAACGCGTTGCAAGTAGTAGCCCCTGGACAAAATCAGATGCCAACCGCAGCCGCCGTGGCAGCGGCTGCGGCTACTGCAAAAATTCAAGCGATGGAAGCAGTTACCAATACTGCTGCGGTTTTGGGACTTACTAAGGAACCTTCAACTCCACCCATGGCAGTGGCTCCGCCCGCACTCATTGTTCCGACGATTATTCCAACGTTATCCAACATGTCGGGTTTGGTCAATCCACCTCAATTGGTTACCCCTACACTTGGAAGACTCAGTTCGATAACTCACGCTCCCAAATTGTCATCAGTTCCTCCACCTGGAATTGTATTGCCACCCCCAGGTTTGGTTACACCGGGGACAAGTAGTGCTTCCGGTAAACTACTTTAAACATGCATAAAAACACACGTATAAGTCGCTAAGTACTTACTTATATATATATAAACATTTTCTACTTTTTAAGGATTTGGACCAGCGGTTCAAATACCTCCCCCTAGCATTGCCGTCCCCACAGCAATCGGAGGAATGCAGGTGGGAAAGGCAGCAGCACTAGCTGCAACTACAGCGGCCGCCGTTGCAGCAAATGCAGCAGTTGTAAGTTTTGTTCATTATGTTAATCATTGCATTAAAATAATCGACTTTATATGGTAATGTAATAATGGCTTTGTCTTGTCAACTACAGAAAGAAGATATTATGAAGAAATTGACAGAAGTTGAGAGTGAAAATACCAGCTTGTCGTCACAAGAAAACATGTCAATTAGAGGTCAAAGTGCGAGACACATTGTAATGCAAAAACTCATGAGGGATGAAAGCTCTCCTGTTATTGTCCTCAAGAATATGGTAACTCCAGAAGACGTTGATGAAACATTGCAGGTAAATTATGTAATACTTGTAATCTGAATCATTATGTAAATATATATATAGACATTTATACTAAATCACTAAATATGCTCTCTTGTATGTAAATTATTTGCAGGATGAAATTACAGAAGAATGTCAAAATTATGGGACTGTAAATCGTGTCATAATTTACCAAGAAAAGCAGTCTGATGAAGAAGATGCTCCAGTGATTGTGAAAATATTTGTAGAATTTACATCCCCCGTTGAAGCAGACAGAGCTAAAGCATCGCTTCATAATAGATTTTTTGCCGGTCGTAAAGTCATCTGTGACATTTATGATTTAGTCCTGTATCGAAATGAAGATTTGTCCGGGTGAACAGCATGAGTGACTGAAATTATTGTATGTATGTGTGTACTTATATGTAGCTATTTAATAGATATATTTTATACTTGTACGTAATATTGAGACAGTTTTAATTTGTATTCCCTATACCGCTGGAAGTAGTTTAAAATAAAAATTAATCACAAATTCATTACTATTTAGCAGTTCAAAGACAACTTATTGAATGCATAATTATATTATCAATACAATGCAAATTGACCAACCTGTCTCTAGAACGATTTGCATTTTTCCGCTGAATAGTGATTTCATTTTTGCATTTCCAAGCAATCCATCATTCTGCCTACATATTATTGTGTCTATTCAATTTCTTTATGTTTTTGGTCTTTTTCTTTAGCTGGTTGATTTGCTCTCATCATTTTTATTTTATTTTTATATTTTTAAAGCTTTTATGTTGCATTTTCTTCAAGTTTTTAACCATGATGATGAGCACTGCTAATAAGACTGGTACATCTACCGGAAGTGTGGAAAATGGATGGTCCAAGTACGTCGTTTTCCTTGTGGGACCTGAGAAAGAAAAAATGTTTGGTCTCAAATCCCAGCTAATCGCAAAGTCGCAAGCGTTCTCAGAGATTGTCTACGCCCAAGGTGCACAAGTTGATAATTTATAATTATAAAATCTGCTTTAATTAATAATATAGTCGTTCTTAAATAATATAGAGGAAGTTGAGCATCCGGAGTACGCTGCAGCCTCGTTCGGCATCTTCCTTAAGGTATCCATTTACAAAGCAATACGGTTTTCATTTGATTATCTGGGACATTAATAAATGTGAAATATTACTTGGTATATGAATTAGTATATCAACTCTGACAACCTGTGTTTCGCCGAGAGTCATGTTTGTGACCTACTGAAACTCGCATTTGTGTACGAGATTCCCCACATAACGAACAAGTGCAGAGAATTTGCAAAGGCAACCCTGTCACTGGAAAATTGTCTAAAATATCACCTCTCCGCCATGCTCTATGAATTGGATGATCTTCAAACTCTCTCGTTTCGTTTTATGATCAAGTATGTCAAAGTAAATGTTTCATGATTTGCATAATGTTAACAAATCATTCATTTTTAATTTTTAACCTCTGTATGTACGAATTAATTGACTTATGTCTGATCCATATTTAGACAAGGACCAGCATTTCTCCATCATCCAAATTTTTTAAAGTTGGATGCCCTTACTTTGGGAAGCATAATAAGTAGGGACGATTTCATGGTTTTGGAAATTGATCTTTTTGTCCGACTTTTAGCGCAAGTTTTTATTTTACTCGAAAATTGTATTAGAAATGATTTCGTTAATTATTTCATAATGTGTCTCATGTAACTTCCAGTTGGGTAGAAGCAGAATGTCATCGCTTACACTACCCTTCAGACAAGAAAGAGTTTAATCGTCGCGTAAGAAGTTTTATTTATGCAATATGTTTTGTTTTCATGTCAAGAATAACTAACAACATTTTTAACATATTATTTAGGTATGTGGAAATCTTTTTCAACACGTCCGATTCACCATGATGGGTGCAAAAGAGTTTAGCAATGTGGTGATACCCACAGAAATTTTGAGTAAAAAAGACATCGATGCTATTCTACTCAGACATTCGACACCGTGGCAGCTGTGGTAATTTAATAATATTTATGCATTTGTATTATGCACTCCTTTAATATACTTATGTAGGCCGACTTTGCCCTCGTCGCCGTATATTGAACGACCACGTGTACTTCGACCCTTAATAAATGTTCCTCTTTACAACCAAGTTCAATACAGTTATCGACGGGTCCATTGCCCAAATGCACAAGAAAGTTTGAGGTGAGTTGTGTGGGTATAAATATGAGCGCAATTTAGAATTACGAAGGCTCAAGGACTGAATTTGTGGCATTTTTAGGTTCCTAGCAAGTCACGACATTTACTTGGCTGGGATTGAATTTTTTGGGCCAATTTTAAACGGACCTTTAACATCGTACAAAATTAAATATCGTTTGGAAAATGAATTCATGAGTTTCTATTACAAGACACCATCAGAATCGGCAAGCCTTTTAACTGCGCACGATTTTGAAGTGGAATTCCCTCATCCAATGAAGATTACTGCACAAATTCCCTATAAGCTAGTTGTCTGTTTGGAGGTACACTAAAAATCTCACCACTCATGACACATTGTCCAAGTTTTCAATGATGACTTTGAAAATGCGTTTAACGACAGGGTCAAATTAGCCAGTTTGCTCTGTTTCCGGTACCACAAGCGGTAGTTATGTACAACAACAATCAAATTTCCATTCATATGTCCGACAACCAGAAAGAAACGTGGTACTTAATTTTATGTTGCATTCTATGTTGGGTATCGAAAACTGTGACAACTTTTCCTTAAATGTTGCATTGTTTATGTAGGGGATCGAATTATCACATCAATTTCAACATGGACCAACAACCTGAATCTCCAGGCATTATCAAGTCACTTCTTTTTCAAACCATGGATTGACAACGGAACTCAATTTATAAAGTCATTATATTTTTCTCATATGTTATCGGTATCATGTACACTTACGACTACTTTTAATTTCTCAAAATGGGGCATTTGTCAGAAAATGTCCTTTTAACTTTAACCTTAGTTGGTTTTATTTTTATTTTTGGTTTTTAACGCAATGTTTTAAATTATGTTCGTCTGAAGGCAGATACTTCTACTCTAAATAGAATATACTCGTACAACTACACTGACAATGTGCATATCCAGCGCATAAAAAATGTACACTGTCAAATTATTGGGAGTTTAAAAAAATTATTACCTTGTATGTAGGCTATTATTTTGTATGCAGAACTCGTATTTGAAATCGTCTCAGTGATTTTGGTAATGATCATGACTTGAGTAAAAATTTTGCTTTTGATACACCAATTTAAAATATCCTGATATTATCAATCATAATGTGTAAAGTTTTTTGCAGATCGAAATTCAATGAAAGAATAAAACATGTATTTACCATGTACGTATTTGTCTCTTGTGCTGACCGATTTTTGACACATTTTTCATGAACGACTTACAATCAGGGTTTACGACTACAGATTTCATTTTTCGGCAAACAATAAATTTGGACAGAACGAGTTGACTCCTGACATGATAATGTTCATTCCGATGGCTATGATGTTGTCACTCTACTCGTGTAAAACTAAACTAACCCGACCACTGAACAATTTTATTGTCTTGACTGTCATTTCATTGTCTTCTTTTTCAAGAAGAAGTGTGTATGGTTGGTGGGACACAAATATACGACTATTATCAAACTATCAAGCAGAATCGGTAGATGACTTCTTGTTATGTTCCGTATTTGTTTACGCGTATAATGTCTCCTTGTTATTTCCTGACCATGACCATGACCGTGATCAACCACAGTCACCAAGCTAAATTTATGTCGAGCCGGGTACCAAAAAACAGCATAAACTACTAACTCCCATTTAATTTGATTCTACCATTTACATACATACGTAGGTTTAAAAAAACACACGTTCATTACACAAATACAATTCTTTTTATTTGTCTAGAATTTGATAATAAATAACGGTTCCTTTATTTCATTGTTTTTTCGTACTTGTTGGTAAGTAAATCGTCAGAATTCCTATAAATTGTATGGATTGCCCGAATTTCATTCAGTTCCTTTTTTGCAAGTCATCTCGAAAACAAACAAATATTAGAAAAGAAAAAAAGCGAGAGAATAAAATGTGGGTCTTACAACGGGTTTCTTTGCAGTGTTTCTTAGTACTTTTTTGTGGGCTCTATTTTTCCATAATTTCGTGTCAAGAAGAGAATGATAATGTAGGAAGCGGAAATGGTGGTGTCAAAAGAAAGAGCAAAAGGGTACAAGAATCAAAGTTTAAGAATAACATGTACGATCAAATTGCACAAGAATCAGATCATGATTCTGGGAATGGTAATATTAACAGCAATAATAACAATATTCATTTGTCCTCCGTCCCCTATACGGCATACGGTATGAGAATCCAGAATAATATCCCGAATAACAACAACGACAATAATAATAAGGCTCGGAATCCTAGAGCGGAACCAAACTATATGAGAAATTACCATTATTCCTCGAGAGGTATTTTACGGCGTGTGCTATATTTTTAGGTGATTAATGGTGACCGATTGGAGACGAATTTATTGAATTCCACTTATTTGATTTATAAAGATTCTCCTCCTCCTCCTCCTGGAAATTGGGGAGGTGATGGGCGACAGATGAGCTCATTCAGCTTGGGTGGACTCCAAGCTGCTGCCTCCTCCGCCCCCGCAGACTACGCATTTGGTGGTAATTTACCATCTGGCATGCAATTTTAGTAGTATCGTACGTTTTGAGTTGCGAAATATTAATAATTTTGGACGCTTTAAGATGCTGAAGATAATTCGGTAGCAGCTGGAGGACATGGGCATCAAAGTTATGGCCATGGTCATGGCTGGGGTGGAGGTCATTCTTCTGGGGGTCATGGTCATAGTCACGGGTAAGTACAGCAATCTACCTACAGTGCAGAATGTAGTAGGTGTGTATTTTGTTAAATGTCCAAAATAAGTCACACCAAAGGGCATGAAGAATCTGTGAACAATTCAGCTGTGGGCCTTCTCGGGTTCTTAGCCTTATTGTCTCTCATCCAGGTGAGTAAAATGAGATGTAGGTTCAAAGGGTTGAGCAGGTCCGTCGATTTTTACCATGAACAATAAATAAGTTTCATAAAGAGGGTGTGCACATATTTACTAATGTAAGTGCATGAATATATTTATAATAATTTCATCCGGCTCACAAACACAGGAAGGACTGCAATTCTGCACTGGGCCTTCTGGGTGTACTAGGACTGGCATCATATTTGCAGGTCGGTATAGAATTCATATTTGTTTCATTTTATGATTTAATATGCAAAGCTTTATTGGACAAAATATATTTTGTTGCCTTGTACAATGCCCTGTATTGCTTACATTGCTTCGTATGTAAAAGATGGGAATTAGCTGACGACGCTTTTTTATTGCATTTTCAGACGACATTAACAAGAAAAGTTTATTGACAGTCTTTCCTGACTGGTGGAACATTTTCAAGGCTTGAATAGATTTACAAACATACAGACTCTTTTCCCATTGGAAATACATAATAATACTGACCAATTAACGGACCTGCCCAACCTAAGCCTCTACAAATTAAATTATTGGGCATATTTATATGTGTAGTAAGAAAAATTATGTTGGTTTTGACAGAATGTCCTTCGGCAGATGTCTACAACTGCAGGTAGTTTAAAAAACAATTATCTTAAAAATAATTGACTAAACTTTGATATAAATAATCCGTCCATAAAATAAAGGGTACAAATTAAAGCTGTGTCATATTGAACCTAAAAATATAACCAAAAAATCAAGTGAAGTCAATTTTCTTTATGACCTTTAGCACCGGGGCGAAAACGTCGTGATACGTCCGAGGGGTTTATCGACATAGATGAACAGACCGGACCAACGGATGATGTTACCCCTACACTCCTGCCCCTTTTGGTAATTCCACAATCTCCGTTATTCTGTATCTTGAAATAATTACACATGACCGAGTTATTTGTAATGCGAAGATGTCCTTGAGTCATGCTCGAGATGGAAAGGTGCCCTTTAAATGTGCTTACCGACCTTACTGCATCGCCAACTCCTTCCTAACCAAACGACTTGGAGATATGGGCAGCACGGTGTGCGACCAGTTGACGTACGCGTTATTTTTTTTTTTATTATTTGTATCTACAAAAAATATGGCATATATTCCTTCATAAAATTTGTGCAATGTTAGAGCGGTGATGGAGTCGTCGGTAGAAAATGTTGGGCTGAAGCCGAAGTGGCGGAGGAACAATGCGATGCGAGAATTGCGGCTCGCAGGCAAGACGGGAGCCAAGGGTCGAGATTGTTACAAACGCTATCCCCACTGTTCTCAATTGGACCGCATTTCTCAGCCAAATTCGACAAGCTCAACGTCGCCACCTTATTTCCTTCCATTTGGAAATCTTGGCGAGTTTCTAGGCTAATTTTAACACGTCATTCATCAACGTCGTTATACATATAAACATATATCATATTTATGAATTTAGTATATTTATATATTTATGTATTTATTTATTCCTGGCTATTCAACGCAGTATTATGTGTAGATTACAGTTTATCGACTATTGCAAACTGCACGTATAAATAAAAAAGTTTAAAGAAGCGTGAACACTTGAAGGTGTCATTGTTTGTGTAGTAAATAATGCAGCTGACCAAAAAATATACCAAAAAAACTCTTAAAATATCGGTATTTTATTCAAATCTGGGAATAAGTAAGTCGCCGCAAGTAACGGGGTTTAAATTGAAAATTACAGGTTGCGGATTCTATTCTTGTGCGTATCGTTTTTCATTCGATAATCCCACCATGACCAACAATTTTATACAGGCATTTCTTCAAACTAGATGGATGGGTAGCTAATGCGACAATAGGGCAACAATTACATACAACAAGAACAGCTATACAGAATTAGTTTTGGTTGATTTGGTGGTCGTTTTTTGGATGACAACAGGACAAGATAACGTGCTTCACCGCATTCTCAAATAAAATAGCATAATGTGCACGCATGGTTGGGTAAGATAGATCAGGTTGGGAACTTGAGACTTAAATTATGTATGTGACTTTAGTTGCGTAGTCTCATCTCACTCACGGACCAAATCTACTTCACTCCTTCTTCAACGGCAATGAAGTAAACTCATCTTCTCCCATTAAATATCTCACCTTCCCCACTTCAAAAATGTTAAATTTTCAACATTTTTGATTTCGACTTTTTTTCGGAAATCTTTCGAAACCATAATTTGACAATGTTTTACAAGAATCAACTATCTACAACTCACATCCTTGTTGTCATCTTGTTATCCACAACTACAACATTTTATCCATCCTCTTGTGATTCAAATTCTCAGCCTGAAAGCAAACAACAGCAGGACACTAGTAATAGCGACATTGTTTACAAATCCACCAAAGATAAAAACTTAGCAATCAAGGACAGACGGGGGCCCAATTGGCAAAGAAACAACGCAATAATCGACTTTGACCTAGAAGGTTCTCCAAGTTCAGAAGAGTTGGAGGCACAATTGAGACCAAAACGTGGTGGTTACTATTTCTACGGACATCCACACAGTCCCAACTTTTTTGACCGATACTTTGACAGAGATCGTGGAGGCCATGGGCGCAGAGACCGTGAGATTAGTTTTTTTTAAATATAGAAACTATATATAATCGAATTGGGGGATAATTAATTATCAATAAAAGTATAAAAACAAAATTGTATTCAATATTAGAGCAGCATCATCCACGACAGCAGGAGAATTCATGGGGTGGCAGAGTCATGAATAAGTTTCGACATAGGACAAACAACTTATTAAATGCAGCTAGCTCCGTTGCATTTGCGCATGAAAATTATGGAAATGAAGATGACAGTAAGATTATTTGTTGACATTATTATTCTGTGCAAAATATTTTAATTAATACGAATTATTAATGTTTTATTGATGTAGTTCCTGATAATGAGGCAGCCGGTTCGAGCTCTGGGGGTAGCTATGGGGGTGGTCATAGGGGAGGCTATGGGAAAGGGGTCAACAAATCAGCTGTGGGGCTGTTAGGTGAGTCAGATTGTGAGGTAAAAAAATTGTCTAAAAATTGCTAAAAATTGTTTTTTAAATTTGCTAGGTTTTCTTTCTCTTTTGTCACTGATACAAAGCGGACTGACCACAACAACGGTAGCACCTGGACGAAGGCGTCGAGACGTGGCTGATAATTACTCAGAAATTATAGATTCTGAAACCGTCAAGCTTGGACCAGACGCTGAACGTGAAGCACAGTCGCAAAAGATCGCAGATATCGTTTTGCCACTCTTGGTTGGTGCAATTCTGATGTTATTAAATAATCAATCTTCAATAGCACATAAACTAATATGTATTACGAATACTTGGTTCAGACCTCATTCTCATTTGCAATGCAAGCAGATCAAGTTGCAGAACAAAGAATGAAGTGCGTACTAAATGATGTATGTGTCTCAAACAAGCGTCTCGTAGTGGAATTTGGTGAACATGGGAAAGATGTCGGACTGATGTTGGGGTATAATAAATTATTAACTATTTAGTATTTTATTTAGATAAACCATATATTTATGTTGACAATACAAATTATTTCAAATTATAGAAATGTGTTGGAAAGTATGGCAAAAAAGAGGATGAGCAAAGGTCCCACAAGTAATGAACCTTTCCTCAAACTACGGTATGCTGCAAGAGCTGGTAGAAATCAGAGAAATTGTGAAAAACATTATCCAAAATGCGTATGATTATGGTTGGGGTACTTGATAATAATTAATTATGATTAGAACACTGATACTAAATATATACGTAACATGGTGCGTACAAACATAATATTACATACATAAGCTGTATAATAAACTTATTCTAGTTAGTATAGTGGTTGTTCTGTAGTGTAATTTAAAAATATGCTAAATTTGATGCTATTTACCATCAAGATAAATATGTAGTATATGATCCCAGAAATTCTTATCTGCGTGTACGACCAAAATTTACCTGATTATTATGCACGTTGGGAAATGTTTCTGCTAATTTAATTGCCCAAAGTTCATATCCAGCCGTATTTTCTGGATAGTTCATTTTTAATTGTTGAATATTTGGAAACATCGTCCCCTCCGTAACTCCTCTCAAGATTAAGTCATCATAGAAAGTTGCTCTAACCGTTGGACCTGATGAATCCGAAATCCATACATTCAAAATTTTGAGACGAGGCAACTTGTCACATATTGTAGGCTCAATTTGCAATCCCTGTAACAATAATTTTACATCGTGGTGAAAATTATTTATATGTATTTAGAAACTGTAAAATTATTTTATTTCACCTCGAAAGAGAAGGGATAAACATAAAGCGTCAAATAAAACAGAATCTGGAACATATTCAACGCCATCACTGCTCAACGAATCCTCGTACTCTGAAATATGGAAAATTAGACTAATTATGAGTAATCTGTTCAACTAAAACTAAATGCTTTTATAGAAATAAATTTAATTTATATGTGTCAATATGATTAGTCCACCTTGTGAATATGAGTAAGTCACATCCAATGTTTTCAATTGCGGAAGTCTTGGCATATTGGCAAACTCTGAACGACAAGACATAAATTCCGATCCAATGTAGATATTTATTTTAAAGCTCTGCAACGTTTGGGAATGTTTTTCCAAAATGAGCCGAATAGTTTTGACATAAGTTGCATTTACAGATCCCAAACTGATCCGTTTAAGCGGTTGACTAATTTGCAGGAGTGGAAGGAGTTCCCTATTCCATGAAATTGGCGTTAAATGAATTTCTTGCAACTTTGGCATAATCTGAGGACACTTGAGTAAAATTAAGACACAATCCTCATTAAGGCGACGATCCATCCCGTACACGTTGACCGTCAAGTAAAGTGCATTATGAAACAATTCAAAAATATTTTGGACCATTGCCATAAAAATAATAAATGACGATCTGCTAGTAACGGCTATAATGATTTCGAATTTCTGCAGATTTGATAATACTGACGATAAGACCTCTTTTCTGGGGAAATAGGTACGAAACGCCATCTAATTTGTTTCTTGTTCATTGTGCATATGACACTTAGGAATCGACAGGGTTAATTCTTTCAGGTGTGGGACAGAGGCCAGAGTACCGTTAAGAAAGGTGCAGTCTGAAAGAAGTGTCATGTTGCATGGACATTCAAACATTAACTGAAGAGATCGAATGTGTTCTCCATGATTTGAAAATAATGTGGAAACGATTGACTTCTGCTCTTCAACGTTATTAATAATTCGGACTTTGATGTTCTGGTGGAGGTATTTGTGGTATTGGTCCACATACAGCGATGGTGAGTCATCCTCACCCACCTTGATAACACCAACTGCCAATTGAAGAAAGTACGATTGTGCCTCGATTTTCCAGAGAGAATTCACTCGTCTTGCTGTTTTCAGCTCTTCTAACCCAAGAAAAGAAAGAATGCGATTCACTATCTGCATAAAAATTGCACCATAATTGTAATTCCTTATTAACTTCACCATTCGAAATTCGAATCAAGGTTAAGGTTAATTTATTACCAGTGGAACTCTCAGTGCAATTACTGATACACCTTGGTCCATATTTGTGTAGTTTAGTTTGTTTAAGATATTTCTTTTTCGGACGTCTCAGTTGATTTCTACCAATTTTTACAGGAATTTATACATTGGCTATGAATTACGTCATATATGATTCCCGGATTTCTTGAATGGAGATATTGGGGAATTAGAAAATGTAGAACATGTTTATAGACAGCAAGAATGTCGAAAATATGACAAGACTTCATAACTCCTGAAATGATGCGCATCATTTCAAAATCATCATGATTTTGTGTATTGATCAGATATGGGCATGGCATAAAGCATTACATAGCACAAGCTACATAAACACAGCAAACCGAATCTGCAGACATCCTTAGTTTAATTCGGTGGAAGAAACGGTAGTTAGCAAAGCTTGTGAATCCCAGTGAACCACATGGACTTTAAGCACTTTTATTATCTTTGGTACCATTATAACACTGTGAATTCTTTGTTAATTAACCGAGTCATTTCAGCTCAGCCATTGTATAAATGACATCCGTTACTTGAATTTGCACACTCAACCTACATAATCCAAGCTCAACTCTGCACACATGCAGATTGGTACTACTGAGGATGAGTTACTTAATTAATCAATTAGTGTCTGTCTACATTTAATCGGGCAAAGGAATTTCTTTCTATCTCTCCCAATAATCCGGAAACTCGAGTGAGAAAAAATGCGTTTTTTGTTTCTCGTCATTTTGGGATTTCAGACAATAAGTTCCGGGTTTGCGAAAAAATCGCTTCTTTCCTCAGAGAAGAACAAAGATAAAGGCGACCCTGGTGTGCTACTCGCTGAAAGCGGAAAGGTTCGCCCTGGCAGAGATACATATCGATATTATGGAACAGGAAGTAAAGGTATACTCAGAAATTTTGCAAATGCTCAATTATAAAAAAAACTATTTATGATTTCAATTCTAAAATGGTGGCCTGAAAACAATCAGGTAGTTCCAGCTCACTTTTGCCCACATCCCCATCGAAAGGTCATTTTTACTCGAGTGATGCGTACGGCTATGGGACCCCCATGAAACAAGTTGGCAGTGGTGGTCTAAAGAAGGGAGCTTCAATTCAAGATTATCTCCAATTGGTCGACGCCATTGAAGAACTCCCCCCAGATTTTGGAGAAATGGCAGCTGCGAGTGGATATGGCAGCGGTGGTGGTGGTGGTTATGGTCATGGGCATTCAGGGTAAAAGTTTCAGTATTTTTAGTCACCTTCGATTAAAAAATTAGGAGATATTGCAATCATACTTGCAATCTTATCATCCTTCAGCGGCTCCAGCTCATTATCACACTACTTTATGTATACGACTCGAACTCGAAACTAGATATAAGCTTTTATTCAATTGTGTCGCCAACTTACACAGATTGGCAAATATCCAAATTTCGGTAAAACAAAAAACAATCATGCACACGACTACAACAACTACAGTGTAATGCTCCTTGTTGTATGTGCACAGTTGTGAGTGGCAAAATAAATCAATTCGTCAATCATTAAATTATTTCTAGCAGCAAGATGATGATATATGTAAGACGCGATAAATTACAAGAGGATGGAAAATGTCGTCTTTTGTTTCACCCAAGATGAGACTATACATAATCCTTAGACAAAACTGTAATTCGTCTGTCCAAGTTTTTGGACAAGTCCCAATAGTAACATGAGAAATGTAAGGAATCTGATTTTTTTGTAAAAATTCAGATAAGACCCTGATCACAACGTAAGACAACAAACATTCCGGGATTCCGGTTACTGCTCCCATTATATGTACTTACTTGTTAGTTGCATATTGTATACATATCTTCGTGTATATGTGGTAGTTTTCTTGGCATGACACAAACTGAGACAATTTCCTCTTGCTTATATTGAGTGAGGACATTTCTTTCAGACAAACAAGCCAAAACAAAAAAAAATAATGGTAAAATGTCCAAAATTACGAGAGGGGAAGGAAGTGAAAGAACAACTAACCTACATTCAATATTTGATCTCATGACTTAATTGTTCCTTAATATTTTCTTTCTTTCTTTTTACAAAGAAAGAAGCGTTTATTCAAATTAAGAAATTATCAATTATTTCTTTATCTGATACCAACCGGAATTTATATTAAAAAATACGTGCAAGTAGAGTAGACAAGTTGAGTGTAAGACCACACACGCATAACAGTGACACAATTGTGACACAATTTTCGCAACCCGTGCTGATGATCCTACATAAAACTCCTACATAAAACAGCAAATGCAGCTTAGTAAGTAATTGTAATTTTGTTTTTAAGCTACTTCAACTTTTATTATTATTGATGGCTATGTAAAAAAAATTTCACTGTGACCAGTGCCCATGTCCAATCGGAACTCGATGGATTCGACCCGATCATCAATGCCTCCCGCACCAGTCGCCCCACACCCGTTCTCACTTCCCGTCGTGGGCACAGGTTATCAAATCCCTGGCCCACCACCTGCACCAGCACGCCACATGTCCACGGATGAAGAGCGAAAGAAACTGTGGCACGCTGAGGAAAATTCACCATCGAGGTTAGGTCATTTTTGAAATTTTTAGCATTCTATTTATGAAATAAATGCGCTTAATTTGCATAAATATATGCCTATAGATTCATCGAATATGTCGCAATCTTTCTATCGTGGATACTTACAATACTATTTTTCCCATTTGTGGTCTGTACATGCTACAAAGTTGTTCGAGAGTACGAAAGAGCAGTAATTTTCAGAATGGGTCGTCTACGCGAAGGAGCAGCAAAGGGTATGGCTTATTAACGTATTGGATTGAATATTTCTAATGTTAATCAAACTTACATAGGACCGGGAACACTATTTACTTTACCGTGTGTCGATTCTTGCTACGTTCTGGACCTCAGGACGGTCACCTTTGACGTAATTTAATAATACGCTATATATACATATATGCAAATATACTAATAAGTAGTAAATTTTGCAAGGTACCACCTCAAGAAATACTCACCCATGATGCTGTGACCGTGGCTGTTGATGCGTAATAAATAGAGTCATCCATTTTGTTAAGAAATTTGTATCGTTAGTATAATATTTATACAATTTTATCAAAATTGTAGAGTTGTCTACTACCGAGTGTACAATCCCACAGGTTATACTTTTCACGTATTGACCGTTTCTTAAGGATGCATACATGTAATTAATGAACACTAATGATTTTCGATATTTAACACAGTGGCCGTTGCGAACGTGGAGGACTATAACAGGTGATTACAATTAATTAGTATGCAAACTAAAAAAACACTACTTAATCATTAATTGCAAGATCAACTCGTCTCCTGGCGTCTACCACACTGCGGAACGTCCTGGGCACCAAAGCGCTTGCAGAAATTTTATCGGACAGGGAAAGTATTGCTCATACCATGCAGACCTCACTGGACTTTGCAACAGGTTAAAATAGTGATTAATTTTATGAGAAAAAATACACTGAATCCACTAAATTGAAATTATCTCTCGTCAATAGATCCGTGGGGAGTCAAAGTTGAGCGTGTCGAAATGTACGTGTGACACCAAATATATAAATACATAATACAATGGATTGGAAAATTTTAGTCATATTTTTGCAAATGGGCATCCGTACAGAAAAGATGTCAGATTACCACAATCCTTACAGCGAACTATGGCTGCTGAAGCAGAGGCTACGCGTGAAGCAAAAGCCAAAGTGATCGCAGCAGAGGGCGAAAAGAAAGCATCAGAAGCGCTGAGAGGTATTGAAGATCTAAAATCAATAATGTATTTATGAATGCCAATATTATTAAATGTAAGGTTTTGTACTATTTTAAAATTGATTTAGACGCGTCTACCGTTCTCTCTCAAAGTCCTGGAGCCCTTCAACTACGATATCTTCAAACCCTCAACTCGATTGCTGCTGAAAAAAATTCTACGATTATATTTCCACTCCCTCTCGAATTAATGAGAGCATTTTATGATGGCTTGTAGACATTGTGTTTTTGTTTGGTTGATGTGCTTGACGTAAATTGTGGAATTATTGGAATAAATAAGTTTGGGTGGATTATTATAGCATTTTGATTTATTCATATTGTTACAAATTATCACTTTTAATGGAATATAGTTTAATTTGATAAATGTATTGAAATTTTAATAATAAAATTTTGATTTTTCAGGAAAGGGTGCAACAATGCATTGGTAAGTATGATGTTAATTCATAAAATTTCTTTTATGCATTTCTTGATTCCACGAATTGTCTCCATTTAATTCATTAGGGGTTATTGGGTGTGCTGGGCTTGGCTGCCTACTTGCAGGTAATTATGTACATTAAGCAACAGTATGTACATGCATATTTTGAAGAGTTTTCTTCTAAAACTTGCAGACTTTAATATATATTTTTTCTTATTTAATAGAATATTCTCAATCAAATGGCCGCACAAGCAGCCAACAACCAAACCAGAATTCGTATAGGACGGTCAGTTAGTGAAACTGAAAGTGATAACGCTCATCCAGACCTTGTAACCACTACTGATGCCTTAAACCCCAATATTGTCGCAAAGCTTTTCCCAGTGTTGGTAAAATTAATAAGCACTATGACCTGCTCATAAAAAAATATTGTTAACCTATGAATGTACTAGAACTACTCATAATATTTCAGTCCGTTGTGGCACATGCGAGAGATAAGCTTATCCCGGTTAATTGCACGTTTCGAGCAATCTGTGGAGCCAACAAGATGCTAGTGGACAAGTTTGGAGATGTTGGACGATCTGTTGCTGCACTGATAAGGTATTTTTTCATAGCACGTGTTAGCAAGCAAACAGATTTAACTTTTCATAACTACTAATTTCAGCACTGAAATGGGGAAAATGCTAATTAATTCAGAACCAAGGCGAGGTCCTATCACTTTAAAAAGAGTAAACAAAGTTGCTCAGTTGGGGAGGAGTGGTTTTCCATGTGACATCCTCTTTAAAGACTGCGAGGCATTATCCTTCCTTCCAAGATATGTTTTACCACCATCTGGAGGATACATTCCTGTGGACCATCCACTACTTCGAAAATCCGGAGTGGTCGATTTATTAGGCCCACTGCAATACCCCATTCATTCAAGGGGTCCACCCCCGAAATCGTTTTTATTTTCTGACCAGAACACCAACGAAACAATTTACAAAAGAATAGATGACAATCATAACGACTTGGTCCGGGGTCAGTAGTACATCATATTTAATTATTTACTTAATAATACTATATGCTAGTAATTAGTGTGTAAGTCTTTTTACAAATAAAGTATAAATTTATTTTCCTCTGTCCACATTTTCCTTGTCATCTGTATTTGATGACAAACCAATTGTTGTCGTGTATTTATGTGCCAAGAAAAACAGTGGGTCTTCCAGTCCTGAATTTTCTTTCTGTTTTTGCAGCAGAAAATAGAGCATAACTTTGAGATAATTAGCTATACGCATTATGGTTACTCATACATATTTAGTTAAGCACATTTCTGCATAATTTATATTTTGAATTACATAATTTATGTAATTTACATACCACTGAACACTCGAAATACTGGAGATTATGTTTTGCTGCAAACTCTTGCGCTGTCGTTGGGCTGATTTTTCTCCGCTCGGAGAGATCCATTTTGTTCCCGATTAGGATTCCAAGGACTTCGCTGCTACCCTTCGGACAGGAACTCAAAGCCAATTTGACCCTTAGAAAAATATATACGCTTAGAAGTCTTAGAGGACTTGAGTAATTTTTATTCAAATTATTCACCAGTCTTCCGCATTAGTAAGTGAGGCTGGATTGGTAAGGTCCACAACCAAAATGAAGCCGTCCAACTTGTCCCACTAATTTTAGTATGGCATACATTACATTTATGTACGAATTGGAATAATTTCATCTTACATATTTCGGGAGATAGTCTAAATACACATCTTTTCCAGAAGAGTCCAATAACGCCATGTTGAGACGTTCCACACTTGTTTCGGGATCACCCGTTGCTTGATCCGGTACTTTGACAGCTTTTGGGTATACGTTAACTCCACAGGTCTAACCAATAATTAAAGTTTACAATATAGCATCTAATTTAATGCGGCAAATCTACATTTGTTGAGATAAATTAAACTGTTCTTACGAGATTATAATTTTTGTTGAATGTGTAAGATTCCAGTGTGACCGCGTGACACAGGCATGTTTTTCCAACTGTAGAATCACCTGTAAATTATTACCAAATCAGTAATTCAAATTTCAGCCGGATATACACAATTTATAATTTGGCGAAAATTATACTTTACCAATCACAGCAATCTTTAAAAATTTTGGAGCTATTCCAGATATTTTACTAGACTCCTTTTCACGAGAGTTTGACCTGGATACTTCCCTATCGCCGTGTCCCCTGCTGCTTCTCGACGCGGGTGGAGGGGCTGGTCTCTGAGGCTCCAAACTAAGGTCGCCACCTCCTCTCCTGTCTCCTCCAAATTCGTTATCTTCGTCATCTAAGAGGTCAGCCGGTTCCATTTGGTGCTGCTGAGGGGGCGATGGTTGTGGTCTCCGTGAATGGGATGGAGGTCGTGGTAAGATACCGTTGGGTTGCTGCTGGGGGCCACCTCCATAAACATGATTGTCCATCTTTTACAAAATGCTATACAAAGTCCGGAATAGTTAGCAAAGGTGTCGCAATTTGATTTGTGATTTGATGCCCGGTTGATATCCCTTGTTGTGGGATCGTTGCCATGCCTGCAAATCGGGCATATGCACACACTCTTGTCCACTCTCACTTTCTACTCATGCTTTCTCCGATTAGATCTCCCCATACTTTATTCGGATATATGTACACATATTGCTTGCAAACATTTGCTCACACATACATCCAAACAAGTAGATATTCCCAGTTGCAGAGAGTCATGATTAATATCTTGATAAATATAATACAAGTGATCGGTTAATTTCATCAAAATAATCAGAATCAGCATATATTTTCATATCCTTCAGTAGTCATGAGTGGTCGAGATGGGAGTAGCAGTGAGGGATCCTGGAAACATTTGACGGACGCGAAACCGACAAAGCAACCCGATCCTCCTGCCCCCAGAGCCTTTCTTCTCCAGGTCACGGGTAGAATCGAGTCTGCAGAAATATTCGGAGCGAACGATATCTACTGCAAGTACAACTTGGCCATGGGTGGAGACTGGGCTGTCACTTCGGTACTTGTTACGAGAAATGTACTTATCTAATGATAAGGATAACTAAGATAAGTCTATGTGTACATTTTCCCACAGGGCATGGAAGAAGCCATCTCGCAAATTACTTCCAAGAATGGGGACAATGTTTTCGTGTGGAATTTTCCCTTAGAAGTCACATTTAAGAGTACAAATCCTCATGGATGTAATATAACATTCTATTTTTACACATAATAAATACGCAAGTAAGTATGTATCTATATATTTCACTATATATTACATGCAGGGCCGCAACTTATTTTGAGCGTGTACGGGGCTGACATTATGGGTAACCATATCGCTCGAGGGTATGGAACTACGCATTTTCCGGTATCGAAAGGCGTCTTCACCAAAATGTGAGAGGATTGGTTGTGTTGTGATTTATGGGCATTCGTATTAATGTGAAATAATAATATTTTCTTAAAATACTCTCAGAATTCCCCTCTTTGTTCCCGAGTCAAGTTCATTTGTCCAAAAAATCTCATCTTGGCTTATGGGACGCCACCCAGAGTTTGTGGACCCGAAAGTTTTGGCACAGAATGATGGACGACAAGGTTTGACCTGTTACGCAAGAAAATTATTTTGTGTTGTACTGTTTTTCTAACAAAATAATATTACAGTTGTCAGAGTCGAGTCCTGTGGTCACGTCGTCGTTAAAATGGAAATGGTTACAAAGGATATGGCGCAGTTGGGTTATGTCACGTCTGACAAAGTTTACAACCACGATTTTTAAAAACAATTGTAATAATAATTAATTTTCAGAAATGTTTTTTTAATTAACGAAATATTTAAGCAATATTGATTGAATAAAATGTCAAAACCGAGAATCGAAAGTTTACAGTTTTATTAATGTGTTTTTTTTATTTTACTTTCATTTTTACCACATTTTTTAATGTTTTTTGATCTTTTTACATATTATTTTTCAAATTTCCAGATTAACAAAGAGTTTGGCTGGGTTGTTTACAAAGTTACTTTATATGATATACATTAGCAAAACTGGGATTCGACTAATAACTGTGTAACTTTCACATGATAAATATTTTTCAAGCTTTCACAATACAGGCAAAAATTAAAACGGAAATTAAAATAATCTATTATATATTTTTTTGTTAAGTAAACCATATAGAGAGATAAGCTTGTACATATAATAATAATATAATAATAATAATAGTACTAGTAGTAGAAGTAAAAAGAGTGTATGCGTGTGTGAGGCAGTTGTAATATTTTTTTGTAACAACAATCATATACAATTATTGATAAATTATAACAAAGCATTATTAAAGTAGTATTGATCTGTCTTAAAATTTCATTGCTACACTTGCTGCATAGAATTATAACCATGATCGTGTAAATTGATTAGGTAATAAGGGTTTAAATTTGCATACTTATTAGTCGTCCGTTTTCTGTTATGTGTGGTATACGTATATATATAGTAGTTTATCTGCATTGGTTAAGTTTATTACCACTCTCGACTACTGCGTCTCTTAATGTGAGTATATACAAGATTATCATCAGATATATATTACTACAAATTTAAATATGTGAAGAGGAGAAAAATTCAGTCTAAAAGGCCGCACAAACAAACCACTTGTATAATTCTGAATCAATTAATAACATTTCCCTTGATCAGGTTATTATATAAATCATCATTCTAAATATTTAATTATGTGTGGTTTTTGAATGACAAACTTTTTTAAAATATTATTAATTAATATAATTATTTGTGGATATCTTTGAACTGCATGCTGCTGCGCAAGATAGATAAGATAAAATACACACTGTCATCGTATTACTCGTAATAGAAGTCAATATAAGGTCTCGTCGAAAAAAAACTAGTAACGGACAAAAAGAATAGTTGTGATTGTATCTTTAAAAAAACGCACACGTCTTGCTAATAATAATAATTAATAGGCGGAAGGTTGCGAGGATTAAACGGGCGACGACTCTTTTCTACTGGTTTCGGAAGAAGTAGTTTTTGTCTTTTTTCTTTTAATCTGTTTTGCATGGGGTCGGGGATGACTGTTATTTGGGGAGGTGGAAGTGGACGAAGTTTTATGGGTGGATGAACCGCCACTACCACCACTACTAGGTATACTTGTACTACTGCTGGTGGTAGGGTTGTTCAATTGTTGAGCACCGTCGCCTCTATCATTCAGAGTGCGCGTAGAGGAGGAGTTGGAATTTGCACCGGTTGAAGAACAAGAAGCGTTTGTACTGGTGCCACTGCTAGAAGAACCTAGTCGGTCTAGAAAGAAGTAAATGGAGTTAAAACTTGATGGAATTTAGTTTGCAAATATTATTTGACTTTCTATTATTAGGAATAAAAAACTCACTTCCTGGAGAAAATTGGCGTCGTTGTTGTGCATTATAGAATTCCTGTTGAGGTTGCGTCCTCTTGGTGGACCCTGTACTACTACTCGTTGCAGTTGAGGTGGGAGGGATAGTGCTATACACAGCAGTTCCGGTTGTCACCGTCTGTGTAAAGGAGCTGGAACCGGACGCAGTAACAGGCGACCCTGACGAACCAGATTGGACCGCATTTGAACGAGAACGAGTGGGTGATCTGAACAAAGGAACAGCCATATATTATACAATATATTGACAAAAACCGAAAACAATTTTCTCCACTATATTTAGTAAAAGTATGTACCTCGTGCTCGAACTGGAATTCACAGTAGTTTTGCTATCTTTGCCCCTTGTTGTGGCGGATGATGGAGAATTCAATGTAGTTTCCGGCGCAAAGGGGGGGACAGATTGCTTTTTGGATGATGAGCGAGGGGTGTCAAAGCCTCTACCTGAAGAAGAAGAAGAACCAACAACTCTTTCTCCACCTCCACCCAAAGAGTTTTTTCTACCCTTATCAAGCTCGTTCCCTGCCACTGCCTCCGCAACAACTTTTTTGACTACGGACGTATTAACAGAGAAAGGTCGGGGTGGAGGATTATTGGAAATGGTAGTATTTAACGAGGAGGAGGTTGTCGTCGTACTACTACCACTTGTAATGGAGTTGTTAGTGGAAGGGGAGGTTGAAATGGCGGTAGGGAATGGTGCAGTAGTTGATAGAGTGCGAGGTCCAGCTAGAGCAGGACTACTACGATGGCTTCCACTATTTGAACCGCCACCACTTTCACTTGCGATTGAGAGTGACGATACGGAACCAGAATCTTCCTTATTTAGGTTACCACAGGAATCATCGACTTCGTCACTGTCGGCAGATTGCATGAATCGGATAGTGGAGGCTGGAGGGATATGTGACACGAGTTGGGAGTTGTTGTTGATGTGATGACTCAAGATCATGACTTCGGGACTATTACTATTTCTACCACTGCTGGTCGTGGAAGTGGATCCAGATCCAGAGCGAGGGTTATTATGTTGAGGAAGATTGCCACCTCCCCGTAGTTGTTGTTGACGAATATATTCTTGGGGTGGCGGTGGCATTGTCAATGGCGTCGAAGGTGATGGAGTGTAGATATAGTGGGGGTTAGGATAAGGATAGCTACCTTGCTGCACCGTTGGAGCAGATACAGGACGAGAATAGGTTGTTGGCACGACACGAGCAGAAATGTGCTGCTGGTTAATGTGAGAGTTGGAGTTTGGGATAGGAAAGTTTTTATGAATCCAATGACGGTATTCAATCACTTCATCCGTCACACGGATAATTCGTCCAAGGATGGAGTGGCGATTGGGGTCATTGGACACAGGGGTGATGACACATTCTGAGAGTACAATGTAGGCATATTCTAAAGCTTGTTTGACTTGTAAAGCACCATACGAACTGCGACCAATATCGTTCCCTGGATTCAACGGATCCTCAATGCATAGCATGGACGGTCGATGACCATCCACCATATCTTTCGTAATCTAAAAATAAAACACGGAAATGCATCAAGTGAAATAAGTGAAGCAATGAAATTTGTTAAGTATTTAAAAAAAGAAGCATCTTAAATCAAGTAATAATTACATCTTCTTTGGCGACGTAAGCACCCCCATCTTTGACTCTAATGCCGGTCTTCAAGTAATTAAAATGTCTTCCGTATAATTCGCAAAATTCGATGAGTAGAACCCCCAAGTTGGCCTTTTCGTTACCCGCATTCACTCTATCATGCAACTACAAAAGACAAAAAATACGGTTCATGTATAGTTGTTCATTTCGCATGTACATAGTTGATATTCAAATGACAATAATGCATCTAGCATAGTCATACCTGGAGAAAACTGACGGTCATTAAAATTAAGGAGTATGAGCTAATTCCCCCAGTGAACACTTCCTGTTGAATATAAATAGAATTAAATATTGCAGACAACAAATCACAATCATTATTTTATTTATTGAAATTATAAATTCGTCAAATAAAAATAATGGTAAAAAGAGACTTGCATTGAGATCCCGCTGCAGTAGGAATTGTTTAAGAACGAAAACTAGTTTTGGTAGGGCTGGGAAAAATCTTCGGAATTTCTTAATGAGCTCAGCGGACCTAACACCGTTGCACATATTGAAGCTAATATCCACTCGTACATCAGTTACTTTATCTGTCAATTTGATAATGGGGACAGTTGCCTTGTCCAAAACTTTGATGGACGATTGTTCTGCAATTCCCTTTTCGATCAGTTCACCTTCCAACGATCGCAGGGGAAGTTCTTCCCACTTGCCAATGACGACGAGATCGATGTCACTAAAATTTGTAAATAATCAAATAGAAAACGAATCCTTAAACTGATGGAACTTGCCAGCACTAGATGATCAAATTCATAAAATGAATGCTCACCTTGTGGGAAGGTATAAACCGGTTCGAAAACTACCAAAAACTTCAACCGTCGACTCTGGCTAAAATAAAACAAAAGATCGCATCTTATTAAATACCCATGTAAAAATTATATACAATTTGGCAACAAAGGTGGGCTCATTATTAATATCAACAATACAAATGTGTTGACCTTACATAAATTATACGCCCAATAACTATTTTAAATCTTACCCAAAGGGAGTGAATCACACTTTTAATTCGATGAACCACGCTCAATCGAACCGAATGTTCTTCTTCAGTAGGAGACATGTAGTTGAAAAAGTCTTCCATTTCTTCGTGTAATCTGTAACACGAAATGTTATTATTATTTGTTAATACAAAATTGTGACAAATCAAGTTAGTGGTAATAGTCCGCTGAATGATTGTTATTTTTAATAATCTTACCCAACTGGACCTCTGCTGTACAACTTGCCCTGTACAATCCATGGGCACCCATGTTGATGGTTGATATTGACTTTATTATTGTGGAGACCCAATCCATAGATTCTGGCTCGATTATCAATTCGAGCAAGTTTGTGTGGACCAGAATTATTGTTACTAACACTATTCCCGTTGGGTGTACCACCACGGTTCCCATTCCCGTTCATACTACTATTATTATTATTGTTGTTGCCTCCTCCTCCTCCTCCACCACCAAAGTTGTTCATATCTTGAACATGACCTTGTTGATTATTCGAGGGTTGAGGTCCTCCTTGTCCCATGTCCTTGCTATCCCGACCTGGTCCCTGTTGACCCACTTGTGTTTCCCAAACACGCAGCCAAAGTTCGGCCGCTGGCCCTAATTGCTCTGGTTGCAACCACCCAAACTTAGGATCCATTCATGAGTGAGTATGAACACAATATTATTGGCGATTTGTGATTCACTGTAGTTAATTATCAGTCTGTAAAAAAACAAAGAGTACAAAACTATAATTAGTATTTCATGTTCAGCACACACATAGCATAACGGTAGGGAATATGCATTAAAGTATAATGGATGGTCTGCCTTGCTGAACAGTGTGTAAACACAGCATTACCCAATAACTAATTTAAGATCGCTGTGTTCATATGTAACTTAAGTTAAGGAATACATTTAACCCTTCCTTCCATATTCTTACATAACTACTTACTTTACTTAATACTGCAGTTTGTCACTACTTAATATTACCACTAATACTGTCAGCAATCAATGGGCTGCCTGCTATATATAATATTCATCGATGAATACTATAGGTTCAGTTCATCGTCACCATCATCATCACTCTTTATCAATTCTTTCTCTACAACGGAAGGAAACGAAACGAAACTCTGCTCGACCACCAGTTGCCTCGACCATAAAATTAGTATTATGCAATTTAATAAATATTGACTGGATGGATAACGATTCAGGAACAGAGGAAACTATACTATCGTGCCAAATAAAATAGTTGTAGTAGTATACTTACCTTAGTTTCAATAAAAATCCTAAATAAAAAAACAAAACGGTGTTCCCCACGGTTTTTAAGACTTTTGTCTTCTATCTCCTATTCTTCCTCTTTTAGTAAATTCTTCCAAGGACGCAGCTTCCAGCAGCAGGAAACGATGCACACAATTTTAGTAAATTCGGATTTTCACCAAATCTGTTTTCCGGTATTTAACGTGTAATGTTGAATCTTGTGTTTTATCTGTAATTAATAAATAAATGATGTAATTATCTTTTTAGACATACTTTTGATAACATTATTTTATCTATAAGAAACCTCTGAACTTTAGTAACTTTTCTGCGCCTTCATGCAGTCCATCATCATGATCATATTATCAACTTTCTTTGACGGAAATACAAAAATAAACCACTACACCTTTTACACTACAACTGCGACAGGCAGTTGTAGTGTAAAATATAGTAAAAAGTAGTGTGGAGTTTTGAGGCGTGGTGGTTTATGATAGTATTTTATTAACAAGAATCACAAACCAAACTAATTTGCATATTCCGTATATGGCAAAATCGAAAGAAAACGAAATCAAGAGATCGCCCAATTTCATCCACCACCACCACTACTACCACACGGTAAAGAACTAACTTGTCAATCACTCGCGTGTTGTTGATAAGGTAAAAAGGGCACCCAAATATAAAATAGTTTACCAACTAATCACAAACAATGTACAATACAATCAATACCTCCCAGCCACCCACCACCACAACAACAATGGGCTTGTGACAATTTGTATATATAAAATAAATAAAATAGTTAATAGCAGCGGACCTTTCTTTTTAGTCTTCTCCTGATGCGACGACGACTGCGACCGACCAAATTAAATAGTTAAATAGTTAAGTTTTAGTTGAACTGGACCCACACACAAGCAGCACACTAGTAGAGCAGCAAAACTGAAGAATTGGATGAATGAATGCTTCTGCTTTGCTGGTTACTTTGGCTTTTGCGAGAGTGGATGGAGTTTTTTTAGTGGAGCTCCCAATCCATGCGTGCCGTGCCTTTGCCACGTAATGTCCAGAAATTCCGTCCCCCCTCTCAAATCCCCAACCTCGGAGGGATTTAATAAATGCTACGAGAATTTCCCTATAAAAATTATAACATGTGAATTCGAGATAAGTTATAAAAGGGGTTATAATAAATATTTAAGGGAGATGTGATTTCTGGTTGGATATTTAAAATTGAGGATTTTCATACGGCTGAATTTGTTTAACATTTAACTCGGAAATTAAAAATTAAGCAGGAGGAGGACACATTCCAAACATTTGTGCAATTTGGCATGCTTCTGTATGCATTTTACTATGTCTGTGTGACACCCCCACAAGTATGGATGGAATGAATGGCACACTCTGATCTTGGTGGTGGTTATTTTGTGTCGCGGAGTCTGGCTGGTTGGTTTGGTGGGCTCTTTGATATTTGAGATCTTTTCTGGGGCGAGCTGGCTCGTTTTTTATGAGCGTGTGAAAAAACCATACGAAAAAATGAAAAAAATCCATGCAAATAATGCCATGATGCTTATTCTCATTGGTGCCTCATTTTTAAATTTGCATTAGTTAGTTTTAAAGAGTGGCATTAATTAATGTTGGCTAAATAGCCAAAATATCTCCGTATCAAAGAGAGAATTTAAAGTAATCCTTGAAAGTAAGAGTAAGAAAATTTATGAAGAAAATGTGTGCTACATCTTTAAAAAATAAAAACAATCATGTTGCAATGGTTATAGGGTTGGATGTGATGTCTGTTATCAAATTAAACCAACCACAACTGTCAATGTTAAGCAAATATTGATGTTGTACTACATATATTGTATTTTGACGTTGCAATTCATGGGGAAATATCTATGTAATAGGAAATGTAAACACTACAAGATTTACTTTCATCGACGATATAATTTCCAATTTACTTTTGGTATTAACTTTTTCAAGGTTCATTGTAACTGTTATCATCATCATATAATCTTGGCTGTGCTATAACACTTTCTCGAAATAATTCTGGATAATTTCAATTAAAACATGTTACACCATGATTAAAACATTTGTTGTCCATGTTGGATTGTTATGCGAAATCAAACGGTGACGAAATCAAGTTCCTGAGCATACTTTTTTTTATTTTGTAACATGGTGGGTGGGTTACACCCTTTGACAATGTGAATTCTAGGTTTCAGTCTTAAAAAACTGCTCAAACGGGGTTGAATATATATGATTAAAAGTTCGAACATATTTAAAATTTTATTTCGATGCGAGTTCAAAGCAATCCGCATTGAGCCATTCATGATTCTAGGATAAGTAAGTTTGGAACCGTTCAAAATTTGTGGGATATGAAACATCCAGATGTAATGTATCATACATTATGTATGCCAATTTTTTACATGACTAACAGAAACACTGCGCGTGTGAATCTGTTTCAAACTGGGAGATAACCAACCTGTTTGACCGCTCATCAGGGATCGTGTCCAATGTCAACTTGCTATATTTACAACTAATCTACTAAACACTTTTAGCATTGTATTCAAGAAATTCGGGTAGTGGAGTAGTTTTGATTTACATACCGATAAAAAAGTAACAATGGATTCAAAACTGGATTTCAAACGAACTATGACAGCTTCAGGTTAATCAGACACTTGGTTTACTTAATTATTTTTTATACAATATACAATTTAGATCTTATCTGATGTGTGAAAATCAAAAATAGAGGTTGGATTTAATATAATCATAGTGATGCACATGTCATGCACTACAAATCATAGCAGATAATCATACTGCTGTTTGCATGCGCGTAGTCTTATCAGTGTGTAGCGTCCTATTGCCCTACTCTGTCACCCTGTTGAAATAAAACAGGTCTAACTGGCTTCCCTATAAGTAAAGCTGCTCATTAATTTAAATATGTATTCGTCACAAGTCAGTTTCAGTCACATCGAAAGTGCGAGTTTGTGCGTTTGTGATACACTTATTTTTCGGAAAAATTTTAGCACTTCCCAGCACTTCCTGTTAAGATGGGTCGTAGTCGGAAAATTTCACATTTTTTGGTAAGTATGCTCTTAACACTTAAAAGAGATTAATTGTAAGTGTAATTTCATAAACGTTCCAAATAACAGCGCCAATCGTCACTCTCGCTCCTCGTTGTAATGCTGTCCGCAGTCGTCGGTTCCAGCGATGAGATTACAAATGCCCCAACTACCGCAACTTCAACTACGACGACATCCACTTCTACCCCCACAACAGATCTCCCGAAGATGGCCAGCACCCCTTCCGAAGAAGACAATCACGTCGATGTGACTACGGGAAATGCAACATTTGACCAATTTCACCATGTTGAAGACATTTCCGACAACAACTTAGATTTACAGCTTGATCTCACCACAAATAAGACGGAACCTGCGTTTCATACAACTAATGCTACTACAACAACTACTACAAGTTCACCAATCACAACTACAACTATCAGACTCAAACAACGCGTCACAACTGGTCAACAAAGAATCAAATTGAAAACTTCGACCATTTCGACAATTAAACGACCAGGAAGTGTTATTTCATCAGGGAACCGACCTGGATCAACAAGGCCATCATCAGCGGCACCCTTCAAGAAATCTAGACCAGGAGCAACCGTCGTGCCGTCATTATCATCACTTTCAAATGCAACTTCAAGGGTAGGATCGGGGTCACATGACAAAAATACGGAATACGCTCAAATTTGCACTCTAGGTGCCAGACTTATTCCTGCACAATGTTTCAACTGTCAGTGTGGTTCTAATGGTTTTTTCAACGAATGGGCTTGTGTCATGGACGGTGAGTGCATGACCAAGAAAAAGTTTGATGACGCTACATCGTCAGCAGCAGATAGTATGCAGCGAGATGGGTTATTGTCGGGGTCGAATGCTTTATCAAACCGGAAGGGGGTGGCTGGAGGACAGTGTCAACATGGTCACCTCTACCAAGAAGGATGTCAGTCGTGCGTCTGTTCTGAAAATGGACATTACCAATGTCGTGACCTGTGCAGTCGTAGTAGTGCACAAATAAGTTCGTCACTATACAATCCCACCAATTTTTATGGGGCTTCTTCACAACAACCGTACAACTACCCTCTAACCGCTTATCCTGGATGGGGACCATGGGGTGGAGCAGGAAATAATAACTATCTGCCACCACCACAATCACCACACCTAACATACCATACAACCCCGTCCTCCCTTGGTGGATTTAACCCATTCCTTACCCGGAATACCTATTTGGGTTATCCTTCCTATGGACAGCAGCAGCAACAACCTTCTTCTGCAGTGCATTATGGACAAAGCAATTTAACTACTCAAACCAACAAGTTGACTACAAAGAGAAGGAGTAGGATGTACCAAAAGCAAATATAATAATGACATATCAGACCTTTATCCTTAAATAAATAAAGTAATAAACAATTTCTTTTGTAGAAATGTAACATTATCGATTTATGAAACTTTCCTTCAAATATTTACACTTGATAACTTTGAATACAAATTCATTTACTCCAAAAATTAAATCTAGTCATACAGTTAAAGGAAAAAAAGAGAGAAGTAAACAAAACATGCAATTTTTATATCTCATCCAACAGAGGAGTGTATAACACATCTGAATGAATTATTACAAATACATTGATGTTTTTTCATGTGCTAATTAAAGAAATGTCCATAAAATATGGGGGTGGAAAACGAGAGATTTTAGACTTAGATTGGCTTAATCTTGAAGTGCAGTCCAATTAAAGAAAATACGAGACATTTCAGATCTTGGACCAAATAGTAGAAACATCTAAGTCCTTCAGGGTCTTTGGAATTATTGACATCCACAAGTGATCCAATTTTCGAGGTTGTAAATGAAATGTGTTCGTCACCAATAACAATTTCTAACTCTTGACGCCCAACTCGATCAGGTACAGGCCAGGAACCGTCATCCTCCTGGTAAAATAATTGAATATTTATTTAAGAAAACTAAACCATGTAGTAAATTATAAATTGAGGAATAAGTTGCCTTCATTATGTCCGAGTCTTCTACGACACGTTTCAATTCGTTCAGCACGGCCTGACTCACATACGCCTCTTTCCGGATCATTGTATCGTTCTTGTAATTTGAATTATTGGCATATCGTAATTTGCCATCGGGGCGGAACTCAAATTCAAGAAACTCATGACCAAATTTCCCTTTGTGGCCAACGTAGTAGCGCAAATAGAATTCACCTTTTCCTGGACTCATTGTAGTTGAAATTAAGAGACGTAAGAAACCTGCAACATTACAAGTTGTTAAAAATTAAACATTTTAAACAAATCAAAAATTCGTCTCTTTCTACAAAAAGCGTAATTTCTTGTGATGACAAAAAACAAATATTATAGTAAAAAAAATCCACCGCGTTTAACCAAACATATCTTAATTACTTTATTTGTACTTACAACTTCCTAGATTTTATAGAATTTTGATTATTTTTAATTCCGTCAACGACGTTCAAAATTCAATGTGCAATTCACAATTGAAGCCGGGTGATGCGATGTGAATTGCGAATGGTTGTTGTATATTTTTAGTGAGCGCTCCAAGTCTTGTCTGCAGGGCAGGTGGCGTGCTCAACCCAATCTCAAAGTTTGTACTACTAACTACCAAAACAAATACTTATTGCAGAATCGACCGGAAGGTGAAAGTGGTTTCCTGATTTCACTTTATTTGTAACTTTTCAGTACGAATGACTACTTTAAAATTAGCTGTGATTTCCTATTGGTCTGATTTGTGAGATTACAATTAAGTCATAAGTTTGGACAAAATTAAGACAGGCATTCATTTAGCCTATAAGTTGAGATGTCGTTAAGTTTAAAAAGCTGATGATAATAAAAGGCTGGACAACAAACGGAACGGTTATGGCAAAGTCAAGGTCATTGTGTTTACTGGTAAATATTAACACGTTTTGTTTGACAAATTTTTGAAACTATGCAATCATCTCAATATTACACACTGTGGTCTCATCTCATATAAGTGTACAATTTTTGCTCAATTATTTTAATTAAGGGGCCGTCCATAAATTACGTAACGCAAAAGTCGCAATTTTCTAGACCCCCCCTCCCCCCCTTTAACATGTGTAACATAGGCACGATATCATTGGAGCCTTAGACCCCCCCTCCCCCCCTCTTGCGTTACGTAATTTATGGACGGCGCCTAAACTTATGTATTTAGGTTTTTCCCCTGCACACCGTATGAAGCATTTAAACAAGTCAAACTCATCATTGGGTTTGAAATAGAAGGATGGACCAAGATGAAGATGATGAAAATAGGAGAGACATCCGGGAGGTCAGCACTAGGGAGAGGGAGGTGGAGTTGGTGGGAGGACCGCCGTGGGGGTAATAGATTGAACTTGCATGAATATATGTATACGGTAAACGATTCCTCCAATTTTGATAACCTTTGTTATTGTTATTATTGCTGTGCAAAGGTTTCGCCTCGGCGCAGCAACCACGGCCACGGTCTGCAGTCCTTCAGGAGGAGAGAATGTGGATGGGACAATGTCAATTGTCGGTGCCGTAAAGATTGCACGGGTAAATTTGAGCCTTTGACCTTAATTGAATGAACCATTTCGATCGTCTCATATCTCATCTCATCAAAATGCATCATGCTGTTCTCATTCTGCTTGGTTAAACCATACGGATTGTCAGGATAGATTTTGTGTACATCTTCCTTGTCTGAGGAGCCAAGCACTTTATCAATGTCTTGTTTGACTCAAAATGAGAATATAATTATCAAACCATGTACAGATTAGGATTAGCCCACTTCATTCACGCCCTTTCTTGATACATGGTACATACTTATGCATTGTAAATAAGTTGATACTAAATACACCACCCTCTAGTGTTCGGACCGTTTCGTTTCGGATTTTAAAGGAAGCGGAAACGAAACGGTGAAATCATTTTGGTCACGGACGATCCGAAACGAAGCGGTAACGTAACATGTATTGAAATGCAAAGTGAAGAACAAGTTAATCATACATTTATGCAAAATTTGACGTAGTGCGAAAAATGTTTTTTCGCGCTGGTAAAATTAGGGTTGATAAGTGTTTATCGTCTGATACAAATTATTGAAAAAAGTTTCCTACAAGTTTGGATAAGCTAGCCTTGACATGTGTATTGTGTATGTTGATGACAAATGAAAAATTACTATCCCAATTATAAACCCGCAAACTTCCTCTAGGCAACTTACATATGTACAGAAAATATATTAAATACATTATCGCGTGGGTTCGATTTCTCCTCGGAAAACGGGGGAAAAGAATATCTAGGCAAATTCCCACGGCCCGGAAAAAACGGACCCTAAAAATGCTCGAACATTCCCAAGCTTTCAAAATTTCCGAAAAATGTTCCAAAATTCCCTACAAATTATCGAAAATTCCGGAAAACTTTCAAAATTTCGGAAAGACATCAAAAATTTTCCCCGCTTTCCCGGCAAACGCGTTTGCACCGCAAATCGAACCCACGCATTATCGTACCGATTCGTACCTAATATTTGTAAGACGATAATAACACAAAATATGCATACAAAATATTTTCCTTCACAAACATATTTTTACAACAAATTCCAAAATTGTAATTTTAACCATTCCGTGGCGTTTCCAAAATTTGAGAAGTGAAACTGGAAACGAGACCGAAACACGTTTCCGTTTCTAATCGGAAAAGGTCCGATCACTACCACCCTCGCACCAAAATAACAAGCTACATACTACAAGTTGATATTATCTTGTGCGTATTTAAACCTGTTCTAGTTTGTTTTGTCATCTACACCTATGTATGCATGTACTTTATATAAGTAGACTAGTTTCCTGTGAGTTCACTTGCTTTCATCGCCGCAGCAACACCGAGTTGGCTTGATGGTCGGACTTACCTTGAAGTCGAAAGAGAATTTGTTTAGTTTGGTGTGATAATGATAATGTAATGATGGAATGTGTAATTAACATGCAAATGATCTCTTCCTCACCGCCGCCCCGGCATGTTGTATATACAAGCAACGAGCTACAGACAGAGACAATTGAATGTCCACTCCATTTATGGAGGATGCAGGAAAACGCTATTAGTTTCCCAGTTATTTAGCTAAACCCATTTCTGATGATTAGGCGATATGATATCCTATCCAAACTAAAACGGAACCCACCAATATCGACACCATGCACCATGCGAAACTGAACTATCAAAGGTATCTGTTGACCTAACATGAACGGAATAATATCGAATTTCATTTGTACAATTTATATTAGACACGATTGCATCTGCATGCATTTCATTCAGAGCTTGTTTTGAGTTGGTTTGCTGGTTACATTAATCCAAGCGTATAATACTTGGTAGTTTACATAGTAGTTGGTGGGTGGTGTTTGTTCTATTTAAATAGTTTGTCACTTAAAAAACATCATGTTGAAATTCAGAAAAATTTTGGGGAAAAAATCGACCCCGACGTCATATGAGGTTCTATGACTGCTTTGGTTTTATTATTTTTTGAGGTTATGCAAAACTTATATCAATTTATAAATTTGCAGGTTAATCCAGAAAGTAAAGCGTCCATGGCAGGATTAAGAGATGGGGATCTTATTCTCAGTGTCAATGGGGAATTGATTGAGAATTTACAGTTACACCCATCAACAACTGCTTCTTCCTCAGTGCAAGCTCGTGGGAGCTCAGATTCTTCATCTGCACCTGCTAGTCAGAGTCCATCATCTCATGAACAACATCACAAAATTTTAAGTCAACTTCAAGGGGATCGAGTTCGTCTTTGTGTGCTGTCGAAAAAGTCAAAAAATGCTAAAAAGATCCAGAAAGCGTTGGCTAAAGGGGAATTTGACAAGCAACAGCAGAATCCCCAAGGTTTGTTTCCGACATTCGAAATGGTTGGTATAATAGTTAGCATAATATCACCATTTGCATTTTTAGGTTCTAGTTCCTATGAAAGAGGTCCGACAGCGGTACAGTGGGAGGACGGAAGAGATAATGGAAAAATGCATAGTAATACTCAAGCCAACACTGATGTACAAATAGACGCTGACAATACAAAAGAAAATGAAAGACACGAGAAAAATGTTACGATTACACCAAAGTTGATTAAAGATTCTTCAGAAAACAACAGTATTATTGTTGCTACCATTCCACGGACAAACGAGGAGGACAACGAGAGAGTGCAAAGCCAAATTGGTCAAGGTAAGATACAAAAAATACGTCACGAGACTTTTCAATTTCTGTTTAATTTACAAGCTCATAATAAATTAGTTGAAGGTTTGGTGTTAGAAAGGAAATGTTAATTTTGTCGACGTTTTGTTTATTTTAGTTGGTAAAGAAAGAGAGTAAGTACTAATTTAGAATCGTGTTTGGGGGATTTTTAGTTTTGAGTGTTTATTGCATGTGCAAAATAGTTTAGATTTTACCCCAACCAAACCAACACGGATGAAGTATGAATCTGGGGATATGCATACATATAACTTTCTGACACCCTTTTTTCTTTCCTTCCTTTTTTCTTCATACTTTACTACTATTTATTTATTTGCTCAACTACTCATTACTAAAACAGACATTCCTTCATCAGTAATGTTCATTCCAAGTGGGGAACCACCCTCCTCTAAATCATTGACATCATCATCCCCAGCTAACCTGCTCTCTGATATTATTGACGAGTTGCAACTGGCAGCTACAACCACAGCAAAATTTCTCTCTGACATGGAGGCCCATTTACAAGGTTATTCTAATAACGTTTATGATATTTACAAAAAATGCAGACGAGCAATTTGGTGGAAGACATAAAAAATCACACATTTTTCGTGAACAAAATATGATGGTTCACAAGTTCCCCTGATGCTAAGCATATTTATAGCTATGTACCTGAGACTCTCTGACTGAGGATGAGAACGAGGGCATTGCTAGCTTTTTATACTAATTCCTCTCTTTACTTTTACGCTTTATTTTGGTACTTTTAGTTACTAATTAATAAGAAGATGTGGTGTGACATTATGCCACTGACATAAACATATTTAAAAATAATTATCGTTAGTCTAGTTGGTTTGCTGTTTGTAGTAACAGACACATGACTTGAAACATAAGGGAACATTGTTAATGTTCTCGCTAACCAAAGAGTAATCTGATCCTGAGACTTGGCATTAACATTATACAATATGTCATCATCATCATGTAAGTGCATGAAATGAGCGTGTTGACTACATGAAAATGGGTCATTCGCGATTTCTCTCCTGTGTCCTAGCTAGTGTTCTTATCCTTGTCAGTAGATTGAAATTGCAGGTTGGCTATTAGTGCTTATGCATATACAACTGCTTCTGCTGTTCCTGTTAGGTTTGTCGAAGTAATGATGCATGCAATTTCCTTGCTCAAGGCAAACAAGATCCAGATCGCGAATATTGTGCGGTATGACTGACTTCTGTTTCTGTGCCTGGTTTTCTGCTATCTGCATTCATCATTCTCAACAGTGTCTACCTATACCTATGCACTTGTGTTATAAAACTGCTCCAGAGATTGCCAGAATGGCGAACGCATACGTGTATATTTATGGTCTTTTATGTACATGCAGCTCTTTTGGAGCTTTGGTGGATGTTATATAAACATTGCAAAAAGATGCAGGCGAATCTTTATCCAGTTGTTGAGGGTGTCATTTATGAGATGAGGTATGAGAAACTGCTTGAGAAATTGCGAAATTTTATATTCTGCATTAGCAATGCGAAGCAGTACGCAGCAGTTCCAAAAGTAGTCCGAGTATTTAGTTTGCTTTATTTGGTGTGTGAATTTGTGACCATTTCAGCAGCGGTGTGATTGCGGATATTTAAATATTTTAACCGAAACAGACAGAGTGTACAAGTAAGCATTTTGTTTGACTGATTTTATCAAGAGTGCGGTTTCATTGATACATGTGCGACTGATTAAAGTTTGATAGAAATTGAAATGAAATTATCCAGGCTGTGTGCGCGAGGTATCAAATTAGCTAGAATAAATTTCAATATCGAGTATCAATTATACTCATGTAAATGTAGGTACAAGTATAAATTCAACACCAATGATTAATGAAGTTAACGAATTGCGAGCATGTTCACTTTTTCTATTTCTTCTATTCATAAATACAAATTGAAGTCGTCATGTTGGTTGTTTGCCTGGTAAATGACTCTGCATTTTGACTTTTAAATCTCTTTTAAACCTGCTCATCCGTATTTTTACCCTCCATGTTTTTGCACCATTACGTTTTTGAAGTGTTTTTATCTTGTCAGCAAGAATTTGGTTGTGTACCTCACATGTAAATCCCTTATAATTAACCCGGTTTTTATTTTACTTATAACCATCCCTTCTTCTTCCTATCCTATACGTTGCAGCAAAGCCAAGTACCAAATTGACATTACAGTAGAACAGAAAAACAAAAGTTAGAAAATCATCATATCATGTAACGAGGAATTGCGAGGTTTTAAGGTTTTTCCAACTTTTTGCCTTTAACCAAATCGGATGTCGAAAAGCAGAAATGCATGAAATTCATGGAATAGGTCTGTACGTGGGCACAAATATAAATACATATCTTATTCTACCCTGATTCTTGTTGTTGATTAGGTGGACAAATTTGTCAAAGGAAATAAACATGTCAAATGAGAGAAAACATGCACACACTACATCATAATAATAATGATAACTGAGGCAATTGTATTGTTATCTTATCCGGGAACGGAACGAATGGAATTCTCAAATCAATAAATATAAGGGAAGCGAATAGTATCTTACTGCTGGTCATTTTATTATGTTGCATAATATATACGTTATATATGCCTATGTATTATCACAAGTTCTCCTTCCAAAAAATTCGCAGGTCAAGTAAGGTTATTAATCAGTGTTGGAAACTAGCGAATTTTACTGCTAATTACGAGACAATCAATGTGCGCCACATCACATCATATTCATTACGCTTACACATTTGTGGAGTCCAAATCAATAAAGCCAATCCTTGAGTCAGTGAAGTAAAAAAAAAAGTGAAGATGTGTCAACTTGGTTCTTCAGTTTGGTGTTGAGTTCCCTTGCTGGCTCAGAGTCTTGCTCTTGATGCATGCAAGGTATATTGCATTTTAGTATGTAATAGCTTAGTTGGTTTTGGTTCTCGGTGGGCTTATTTTATTTTTAGCTTCTTACTGACTACTTGACTCTGCATTTCCGAAATGATTACTTGGGAGAATCAGGAAGGAAGTTGTGCATGGTGAGGCTCTGGTTATATAATAGTTGGGGGAGAGAAAAGGAAGGAAGTTACACATTCTGCAGCAAGAAAGGAAGGTATTAAACGTATTCTTCGAAAACTTCTGCAACCAACAACGAGCACAAAGTACACATCTACCAAAGATATCTCATTTCGCTGATTCAGTTTTGGTTTGATTTTATATGGAATTTCGCCAAGATCTGGCATCTTCTCTCGATATAATACTATAATATCAGGAAAATAATTACGAGTGTGCACTTTTCTTGTAGAACTCTATGCATTGTTTAGCCGACAATTTGTATATTCCTATGATTTTGCCTGAAGTGAAAAGTTTATATAGTTTTTTTTAAACAAACTCAAAGAGCTAAGGTGAGATTTTTCTTAATCCTGCCGGTATTGAGTCCTTGAGTATCAAGAATAAGATACCAATAATTTGTTGACCCTCCAAAATATTTACATTCATTTTACCAAGCAAATAATAAAAATTTGTTGGATGTGTCATATTTGATTACAAATCAAATACAAAAGTTTTATATAACCTAAACTTTGTTGGTCTCATGCTTCATCAATCACATATCGCACATTTCATCGGCATGTGTTTGCAAATATCCGGTGTAACTTTTAGAATAATTTATTGTATGTGCCTGCTGCTTCAAAATGACTCATAATACGTCTTGATCTGTTCGTCTATGTAACAGTTTGTAAAATAATACCTGAGAGAAATAATAACCAAACTAGCGCGACGGAGTTTACAGCATTCTACGTTATTAGTCTACTCAGCGTATAAGTTATTCTTATCTAAAATTTAAGCATTCAAATATTAATGATTCATGAGCGATGGTACAAAATGTGGTACTGCAATCCGTTTACTGTATTGTAAAATGCATCAAGTGTTTTATTGTTTGTTGCTGTTTTCTTTAAATTATTGTGTATGCATGCATACACAAATATAACGAGACATTTGTTGAATTTGACAGGCTTATTGTTTGCTTGTTGTATTAAGTTTAGTTTGGATTCATTTCACAATTTGTGATATTGAAAACAAACAACAGCAATACGATTTCTAAACCTGTAGTAAATTATTGTATACTTTTTACAGAAGAAGTAAACAACATGGAGTCGGGACCCCAACCCCAGGGCTTGTTGCGCCAAGTATCGACGAACAGTTCTTTAAATTCAACAACCCCAACATCTTCAATACCTCAGCCTTTTTCATCCTCCTTGCTAATAAAACAGGAGGATTTGCAACAGATGAAGAATGAACACCTGAATGGTGGTACTAGCATTGGTGGTGTCGATAATGAAGAAATTTTGCCAGTATGGAGTCCACCTGGAGTTCCACCAAGCCCAAAATTAGGGAAAAAGTTTCGTCCTGTGACCTTTAATGCCAATGCGATGCCTTCGTCTCCGGTGCTTGTTGTAAGACAAATCTGAACATAATGTCAATTTAATGTGTTCAGCTAAATATGTTCAAATAAATATATATTAATTCTTTTTAGAATCAAAATGGAATTTTTAATTCACAATCTCCTGGAGGAGTGGTTTTGTCCCCACCGTCCCTGTCAGTGTCCAATAGTTTTAGTAGTAAAAACATAAGCAATTCTCAATCCAGCACGACGACCACAACTGGAGGTAGTAACAGTGCTACTAGTAATCTCCCTCGATACCAGAATCCCACAATGGTGCTTCTCCAAAAAGCTAGAGGTTTGTCAAGACTTTTTTGTCACATTTTGCTTGCTCCTTTATTTACAAAGTAATGTACATATGGGCATTTTCTTTGGAATTATCAATTTGCTCCTGATAAGCATTATCTTGGTGTACAGCTATATCTGTATGCATTTTTTTACCATCAGGCCAGGGGAAATGTTAATCTCAATCACCAGTGAATTATGATAGCACGTTATCAATTGATTTTTTTTGTACTTCCAGAAGGCCATCTGCCAAAAGGAGCGGCCTATCTACAAACTCAACCACCCTCACCTTCTGCAGCTACTATAGAACCTCGAATCTCATCCAGCATAAATTTCAACTTAAGCCAGCCTGCCCAAAATAGTAACATGTCTACCACATCTTCCGGCTTCAACTCATTTCCACCACCTCCTCCACCAGTTAAAAATCGGCCCTTTAAATCTGCCAGTTCTGCTGAGATTATCGACATACCCACGACATCAAAATCTACCTTAAATGGCGAGAAAGAGCAACGGGACTGGTACAAAAAAATGTACGAGTCGCTCCATGTTGAAAAAAAGCCTACAACCATTGCAAAATGTACCTATCCGGCAGGGAGGATAAAACGAGGTACGCATTCAAAATTTATCTTATACCAAAAATTGCATTTATAGTGGTACTCTCATCAGGATTTAATGACGATTAAGAGAACAAGAGAACATTATTGTCCTAACCTAGATCCACCCGCAAAGAGTTTTTGGGCTAAACGGACCCACTCAAATGGAACCATGTCAGAACCGGAAGATAATTTTGAGCATCCTGACGAAGAAGAATATGATTTCAACAAGTTTGGGAACAAGGTTCTATCTCCTGGCAGTGGGAGTGGCAGACAAGCTCCACCCGGTGCCATAAGATTTTACAATCCTGGTAGGATTGAAGATCTTAACCCTACAGGAGGAACGTGCACATCGGCAGCCAGAAAACAGAGGTATCATCGCCAAATGCAACCGGATTTAAAGAGACACTGGTAATAAAAATAACTTATACTGCTAACTATGTTCGAGCCTAGAAATGCAATGCATTCATTGTTGGATACTAGTAACTGTATTTGTTCTCGTTTTCTTTCTTGTAGGGCATTATCATCACCAAAATCTTCTGGTTATGAGAGCGACTCGAACTATATTATGCGGAAACGAACAGAAACTGATTCAGTAAGTGGGGTAAGAACTCCAGACCTACCTCCGCTCAGTCCTGCAGAACAAAAACACATGTATGCAGAAATTCAGAAAGGCGGCGAGGTGCCACTCCAAGGTTTACGTAAATTTGTGCCTGGTCCTGGACCACGTGATCCAATGTTTGATGATCAAGATGGATTTAGAACGGGTAAGCAAGCAGTGCAGATATATACAAACTGTCGTAATGTCAAGCCGGCCATAATTGAAATTAAAACGAATGTTTGTAGCTTCGCCATCCCAAAATATTCGATACTCAGAATCGACCGTAAACATTCACTATCGATTACCTGTCCGGATTGAGGAAAAAGAGTATGTCGGGGAGGAAGAACTTAGGAAAAGACAGCAACAAGCAATGAGAGCGTTCTATGAGGAACAACGGAAGCAAAAATATATGAAAGAAATTGAAGACATGGAGAGGAGAAGGCATTCTGACAATTTTGTGTAAAAACCTAAGTTATTTTCCTTATGAATTATATGTCCCGTACGAGTGCCGATGTTGATATTCTTGTCTTTGTTGTTACGATATTTTAGGCCTTCCCAAAAGTCACCAATCCCTCTAAATCGATATGAAGATGGAAATGTAATTGATGGCCTAGTTGATAATACTCCACCACGTCCCGGAAGTGGAGGATTATGGCAGAGAATGACCCCTGAGCCAATGACCCCATCCTCCGTAAAGAACAGCGGTAGCGGAACACCACTAGCAATTGCTAGAGCGAAATTCGATTTTATCGCTCAAAGTCCTCGTGAATTGCAACTAGTCAAAGGAGATCTGGTTCTTATCCGACGAAAAATTGATGGTAATTGGTACGAAGGAGAATTGCGACAACAAACAAAAAATAGCTATTTCTATCCGAATGGTGCGGGTACTAGTGCATTGGGAATATTTCCTTGTACTTATGTGGAAGTACGTCACTTTTTACAACCTTATATTCGCATTTTAATATTCAATAGTTTTATAGCCAGCATAACTATACGGTCTGCATTTGTCATGCAGATTCTACCTGATGACCCACTTTCCCCTGCAACTCATGCCAAATACTCGCCCCTTAATTCCAGCAAGCCTCATGATTCTGAAGGATTGGCCCGTGGTAAGAACTATTACGTAGTAATATTTGTCGTCTGATGGTGCAATTCACAAAAGATGAAAACCAGTGAAATTGTAATTATTTTGTAAGCAAAAATTCTTACCCTATTTGCAGTACTATTCAATTTTCGCCCATCGCACTCTTTCGAGTTGGATTTAGTCAAGGGAGAGGCAGTAATTTTAAGCAGGAGAGTGGACAAAAATTGGTTCGAAGGAAGGAAACAGAAAACTCCTCAAAAAACTGGAATATTTCCAGTTTCATACGTTGACGTAGTAAAAGAAATTAGCTCTTCTACTAGAAGCAGATCACCAGCGGTTAAAAAACCTATAGGACAACCAGTGGCTCATAGCTTAAGCTATGGAACTGATATGGTGGACGATTTTTCCTTAAAGAAACATCACTACAAACCGAACGAATTTGTGCTGCAGGACGACTCTGATTATGGCGAAGTATTTAGTCCGACTCCGAATAAGAATGATCGAAATGCGAGAAACCGAAGAAGAATGAACCAGAGATTGGAGCTTATTACTATTGACACCAGATTAAATAATGATCAACCTTTCAGGTTTGTTGATCAATTTTTCTATTATGCCATGCATCCCTTCCTATGCAAATGTGTATATGTGTGTTATTTTTATTAATTATAGATACCGATCGATTTATAACTATAAGCCAGTTCATCCGGACGAATTAGAGATACGTGAAGGTGATATTATCGAAGTTCTGGAGAAATGCGACGATGGGTGGTACGTGGGCTCCAACGAAAGAACAGGTGTCTTTGGAACCTTCCCTGGCAATTATGTTGAAAGAATTTAAATTATAGTTATTACTGTTGATTGAAATTAAGTTTTACATGATTTTTGCATGATAAACTGGAACAAAGACAGCTAGAATATAGCATAACTTGTAGATCTACCACCATATGTACTATTTAATTACTCACCACTATTTACAACAAGTCAGGAACATTATTATTATAACTTCAGTTGTAAGCATAATAATAGCCTATAGTGTAATCGGTCTATTAATGTACTTGTACTATCTATCTATATAGTAGTCCACACTAAATACTGATTTACCAAACTGTTGAAATTGTTCCTAAACTTTTATAGTTACATTATTTAGTAGGAAGGAAGGACTGTATTATAAATTATGAAGAAGTTCTTCTCCTTGTTACCCAACCATACAAATGTTTAAACTATCCAACTAATTAACCGTAATGCGACCTTAGTGAAATGAAAAGTGAGATATGCTATTATAATTACCTCAGCTTGATACATATATGTTAGGACTTCTGTATGACAAATTGAAACAAAGACAGCTAGAATATAGCCACTGTACTTATTACTCACTATTACTGCAAGTCGTGAGCATTTTAAGTACCCCAGCTTAACATTTAAATATGTAACGAAACGGATGTAACAAAGGCTGCTAACTATTGCCTTATTGTAATTTTAACTGCAAAATGTGTGCATCGTACAGTGGAATACTGCGATATTAATACGTATAAATAGACATGTAAACATAATGGTTTATTGAGCAAGAGTTTGAATTTGAATGGAAATGTGCTTAAACGATTTCAAAAACTCTGTAAAGTCCCTACCTGATTCTTATCTCGATCCAGGGCTACTTGGAAATGTTATTTGAAATACTTATTTGAAACGGGTTTTATGTACTTGTATAGCGGTTAGATTTCCATGCAGGCATGTCGTTTACTTAATTTGTCTTTGACCTAATGATCTGTATGAGTTTACTTTTATTTTATTATTATTTAGCATACATAGTTTATTCTATGAATTCAGTATTTATTAATTAATGTCAATTGAAACTGGAACTGGATATCTACTTGACGTGTGTACAAGCCTAAAGTCATACCGAAACTATAAGTACTTACAAATGAATTTTCAATTCTCATTTACATTACATTGTGCTTTTAAGAAATATGCAATTAAATACTTCGTTATTGTTAAATACCATTATACTATTTATGAAGCAACAAAAGTAATAAAGAAGCACTATGCAATATAAAAAGTGTAAAATAACTTAGAAATCTATCTTTAAACGTCCAGGAACTTTTCTTCGATTTCCGGATTCAAAATGGGACAGAAAATTGCTCCTTTGCTTTTCAAATTTTCTGCAATTGCAGCATCCACACTAGAGAAACTCATTTCATTTCCTGAAATACAAAGCAAAACCATGCAGTTTATTTATCATCGCATACGAAAAAATTCCTTGGTTAAAAAACCCTTACCCAAAACGGCCATCGAGTCCCCACAGTTCGTGGTTGCTACGATTAATCCTTTGTCCGGCATTGGCTTTAAGGCATCGTCATGACTAAAGCTAAAGCTGACGTCGTACTTTTCTTTGATTGTCTCAAGTTTCGCTTTACATTCCTCATCAATTTGATAAAATGGAAATTCTAGATGTTTTATCTGTCCCAAAACCTTGCTTCCATACGTTGAGAATAAGATTTCTAGTCCCATCACAACTCCTTTCAGAATATTTTTATTTGTTTCTCTTGAAAAACTTCCAGCAAAGAATCCAGTGCCATATTTCAAAAATTTAAAGGCAACTCGTTCCCCATTTCTTGACGCCATTTCAGCTACAGCCAAACCAGCGAGTACAACATCGCTAGCTACGAACTTTTGATAGGCATACACGTCAAAGAGAGATGAAACATTCCCGAAACCTGGTGCATAAATATATAGAATTAAGGGAACTTAAATTAATATGATGAAATTATACAATAAATGAAAATTTTTCACACTTTGGGTTGAAATATATCTATCCGCATGATCAGCTTTTGCTTCATCGTACGATTTTCTCTTCTCTCCGACGACATGCTCAAATATGAAGTCGTCGAGTAGTCCAACTGTATCTGGACTTTGTTTTTGGAAAAGTAGGACCAGCCTTCCGGTGTTGTATTTCCTTTGGAATTGAAGACCTGCGAGATCACAAATGTAAATTGGTCGAGGGGCTTTCATTTTTACTCTGCTTGACCCATAGCCTCCGTAATGTGTCGCAACATCTCGGCCAACAATTATTGATTGACGAACAAGGTCTACGATTACACATTTGTAATAATGTGGATTAGACATGATTAGCATTTAGGTGAGAACAAACTCACAGCCTTTGCATATTATGTGTACGTAGTTTAGCTAATTCTAGGTCGTATGTACCTTTCATAGCTAGCAGAATTAGCATATCTTCAAGTCCTCCTTCAGCGTAAAGAGTCTTGTTGATAGTACCGGAAACGTTTTGTTCTTCATTCCTAGAAATTTTTTGCACTGTTGCTAAGCTCATTTTGGGCCCAACAGTGAATTCATCTAAGGGCTTGTCCCCCCTTCTTGGCTCAAATACGGCAAATTTTGTATTTCCCAAAGCCAGGGAAAGTTTCTCAAGACCTTCTTTTATCCATGACGGTGCGTAAATAGCAACATTTCTGTACGAATGTGTACCAACATCTTTGGCTTTTTGGTCGTGCCGGAGATATATTTTACATGCATTCGAGAACGCCATTATAGTGCTAGATAATATAGGATCCATTTACATGTTGATTTTAGCAAATCGATACATCTGTACATAGTATGCAGCTATACCATTAATATGGTAGAGAAATTTACCTGGTATAAATCTCCCTTACATTACATATTACAAGCCAAGCACACAATCTTGTAATTTCTTACAGTTGACAGTATGACGTCGAAGGAAGTTGTGAAACTTTGTGAATCTTCTAATAAAATAGTAGGACTACGCACATTTATACAATTTAATTGACTGACATGCATTAAAATAAGATGTCAAGGTACCGCACTAAGTGAAACAAAGTGGGTGTGGCTCGCCAATTTTTTTATGAGCATGTTCCAAGCACGGCAGAGCTCGGAATACGCAAAAATATCACCAGAATTGTGCTCGGGGAATTTTGAGCGATAATTTGGTCATATTTCGCTTAGTGTACCGACTGCAGATAGATGTCTATGTCACAGGCCAGGTTGTACTATGTACTGATCCTGAGTGAGTATGTATTGAGATTATTTGAATTTGAGTATATATCGTTCCGATATTAATTAATATTGCACAATTGTATTATAGTTTAATATTTCTATTTCACCAGCTGAAAGTACAACACTATAAGAAATGTGGTAAGGTTTGGTTAGATACCAGCTATGTATATATGATGCAGTTATATCATAATGCTTGGATGAGACCGATTCATGACTCATGAATCATGAAGAAAGTAGAAATTTTGCTAAGTAATTGCAATTGCATGCGTAGATAGGCACTTACATATATAAATATAAAAATTACAAATGCAAATATGTGAGTATATGTAAATGTACATATGCAAATATATAATTTATAACATATTTGGTACACGTCAAACAAATCTGTCTTTACCACTTTCTACTTTATATATACAATGAAAGCTGAAACTGAGTATTTTAATTTTTTTCACACTATTCTTGAAGAAAACATGAATGCAATTTCGAAAGCTTGAAAAAATAAAATAAATTTAACAAGTTAGCCAGGTCACTTTATTGAAAATACAAAAAATTTCCATTTTATTTTTAATTAAATATTACATGGATTTATTTATTTCGTAAAAATTATAATTTTAATTGTTCATATATAATTTGTTAAAGCTGTTTGGAATAACCTAAATAGTAGATTCCGGTGCATGCCTCATTGGTTTTGAAGGTTTCTTACAAAGAAATTTCCCAATATATCAATTGTTTGTTCAACACGTTGGAAAACTAAGGGGTTACTAAAATTTCCCATTGAGGTGGCAAATCCGTGACACATGTCCGTGTACCGCCGATGCCCAGAATTATCTCCAAATTTCATCTTCAGTACATCATAGAACGGAGTCTGTAAATTCATAAGGAACACTGCACTTAAAAATCTTTCTCACGATGCTTCACTTTCTTAACGACAATAAATCTCGTTCATTTATTACCATGTCAGGATCGTCCAAACATGGGAACAAGTACATGGGAGCTTGAACGTCTTGAGCCATTTCGTTAGTTACCGACGACGGATGAACCAAACCTGCCGCTTTTATTGGCAATTGACTTGCCGCAAGTGTCGAAATTTTACCTCCCCAACAAAATCCAAATATCCCAACTTGGTCAATACCAAAGGTTGAATTATAAAATCCTAGAATGTTTTGAACATCATACTGGACAATTGTGTCCCAATTTGCCACCCTTTCTTGCCAAGCTGCATAATCTTCAGGGCTGAACATATAACATATCAAGAGTAAAATACACTATGCGCATTTAAAGAAATATGTATATCTACATGTAATAATAATATATTATTCACTTACATTGGAGGCCAGAGGGTGTGGTCCCATGGTTCGCCTCGATAAAAGTCTGGCACTACAATTCGAAAACCGTAAGTTTCAGCCATCAAGTCGGCAAACAATCGAGTGTTTGCTGTATCTCCAAAAATGTCATAAACTGCAATTAGCAGTCGTCGGGGTGTCATATCCGGGGTTTCGTAAATTGATAAGTTTCCCAGTTGGTACACTCGACCCTTATGAGTATAATCGATTTCTTGCTTTAAAATTGGACATTGTTCTTGTCGACCTGTTTGGTAAGCAGGATTATGGCAGTTGACGAAAATGAAGAGTGTTACACAGAGTAAAAACGACGGCAATATAATATTTTGGAGACCCATGGTGAAGCAGCTTCAAGAGAGTGGGGTTTGAAATTAGACTGCTATAAAATTGGATTTGCAGTCGCACCTTTAAATATTTCACCTCAATTAGCTTTTAAAAATTTTGCATTAATTTGTCAGGATAAGGAGTGATTGATTAATATTAATCCATCTCTTGACGATATATGTATGTGCATACTGATATATATATCAATGCATATGGGTGATAGTATTATTAAACTTATTAAAGTGATTTATCGAAAATGGGTAATTCCCAAACTAGACTTCGAATTGGTTCAGATTTATGCATATCGTATTTCATTGCATTGTGCTATGCTGGAAATTCCACAAATCTCGCGAGACGATAAGTCGATTGTAGGCTTTGGAGATTTAGGCCAACATTTTTATTGATTTAACACGTGTGATTAAAGTTGGGTACGTATATGAAACAGTTAAATAAATGACTAACAAGGGAACCTACCAAGGTGTCAAACGAGTTATTTAAGGGTTGACACCTGTGCCAAAACGTGCACTATGCTAGTTTTCAGTAAAGTGAAGCAATTTTCGTGCAAAATTTACCATTCATCAATTTGTGACGTTATTGACAAGCGTATGACAATGGATCACATTTAATGACAAGTTTGTGTAGGGTTCGGCACTTCAGTCTTACATAATAATACTCCTCATCGCTTATTTAATGGTACACATACGAATACTGGGTACGGAAATCCATTTCTACGAGACGCTCACAATTTTCCTTTCTAAAGAACGTCCGGGAATGAATGGGAATGCGCGCTCTAGCGAGTATATTGACAAATCAATAAACCCGCGAACTATAATAATTTAAATTTCTGAAAGCCCACTTCATTAGGGTCAATTTGGTATATCACTCTTAAATTTCAAAAATGGATAAGGGTAGAAGAAGCTTGTTTGAAAGGGAGCTGTTAGCAAAACGAGTGATGGAGTTCTACAACACGACAGCCAACCGAGACTCCAAGGTGACCTGGAACTTTTTTAAGCAGGAAGGAATTCCAAGTTCAAATGTGTATTCCTACATAAAAAAGTTCAAGGATTCCGAAAATGTGCAATTCAAGAAGCCAGCTGGTCGTCCGGCGAAGCTAGCGACCACTCGAGTGAAAAATAGAATTGAAAAAATTTTCAAAACCAAGCCATCAACGTCAGTAGCTGTAGCTGCCAGGAAAGTCAAAATTTCCAAAAGCTACCTGGGGGAAATTAAGGTCCATAAATTAGGAATCAAAGCAAGGACCAAAAAACCTGCACCAAATTACAAGCCCGTACAAGAAAGTCGGATCAAGGATTGCTGTCAAAAATTGTTGAAGAAAATGCGTGGAAAAGTAGTGATCCTGGATGACGAAACGTATGTTCCGGTTGACCCTTCAAATCTTCCAGGGCGTCATTTTTTTCATAGCTCGGATCCCTCTGAAGTGGCTTATGAAGAAAAAGTACGAAAAAAAGACAAATTTCCAAAGAAATATTGCATTTGGCAATGCATCTCCAGTCACGGACATGTATCAGACCCGGTAGTTCTCGAAGGGAATATCAATCAAGATATTTATCTGAAAAATTGCGTCAAGGCTGGATTGGAAGCATTTATTAATAGGTTTCACAAAAATGATAAAGTTTTGTTTTGGCCTGACCTCGCCACTTGTCACTATGCAAAGAAAGTGACCGAGTACCTCAGAAAGAAAAATATTGATTTCGTACCAAAAGATATCAACCCACCTAATGTACCCCAACTCCGCCCAATCGAAAAATTCTGGGCACGTTCTAAGTCAGTATACTCCCGGCTTCAAGATGTGCCTGACACCTTTCGAAAATTCAAAGGACGATGGAAGAAAATCACCTCGGAAGTGGCAAAAACTTCGGGAAAAAATTTAATGAAAAATCTTCGCAAGAAAATCGAACTAGTCGCCAACGGGGGTGTGGCGGCCTTAGCTATTAATTAAATTATGTAGGTACGTATTTGGTATTATACATATGCAAAAAGTTTAAAATTCCGATAACTCATTGTGATTTTATGACCACATTTTCAGACCATTCCCATTCATTCCCGGACGTTCTTTAGTTCAACCAAATTATGGCAGAAATAATCAATGCTTGTGAGTGGTAAAATTATTTGTAGCCAAAGAAAGCAGTATGGAGTCTCATAATTCCAGAATAAATATATTTTTACTACAAAAAAATTGTGTCGCTTGTGGAAGAAATTAGTTTGCATAGCTGAAAATTAAATTTAAAATATATATGTAAATAGGTACTCACATTTTAAAGTACGCAATATTTTTTAAGACAGAAAGCCTATACAAAAATCCGAAATTTTAACTAAATTTTTATATTTGTGCCGTGCCAAATTGGATGATGATAAGAAGTTAACAAAACATTGATTATTTGAATTACTCCACCCTGAATTGATAAATATCCAGTATCGTTAATGGAGATTGATTCCCTTGATTATACTTAAACGATTTGCATACAGATTTGTCAAACCCGGAGTGCCATTGTTTTGCGGCTGGTTTATTGGCTCCATCATCATTATATTTATGTAGCATAATAAATGTTGATGTACATATCCATTGACATGAAATTCCTTGCGTTTCTTATTTTGGGCGAATGTCTCATTTTCTGCTATAGCAGATTATACATATATGTATAATACATAATGTATGTATTAGCATGGAAGGTGTTGCCCGAGTACTTGAAGTTATTTTATGCAAACCCGATGTACAGATATAGTAGTTCAGTCAACTTTTACATGAAGGCACAACTTTTGAGATTTTGGCCCAAACCATGTCCCTCACGGAAGTTCCCGACTATGTACCGGATGTAAGAAACTATGGTATATGATTATGTCCACGTTCAATTAAAAAAATACGTAATTCTACTAATTTTTCTGGGGCTCTAACGATTATGCATACCACATGGGGTAGATTATGACCTTCCTCTTTCTAATGCAGGGGATCATACCCCGAAATATTACGTTTTACGATACCAAATTCCAGTACTAAAGCGACCTCCACTCAAGAAAAACTGGTCAATCTCTACCCATTCAAAAATGTCTCATATTCTGAGGTAATCGAAAGAATTCCAGCAGCAGAATTTCAGATGCAAAATCGAACTTCTACGGAGCAATTACCAATCAATCTGGACAAAGCAAAGGATATATTTATATAAAGAAAAATAGCATCATTGAGCATAAATGAAGCCCAGTTTTTGGTATGGCCAAACCATTTAATGTTTTATTCGAAAATTTACAATGAATTGTACAATATAAGGGGGATTTTTCGACCTAAAGAGGGAATTTTGCAAAAAACAATTGTTCCGACCTGTTTGGCGAAAAGAGTAGGTTAAATCTAATGGGTGTTGCATGCATTGTAATTCCTCACCCAGTTAATGAGAAGTATATAAATATTATACAATTTTGTATACCTAAACAATTTTGAAAATAAACACCGATTGTGTTACATTCAGTAATAGTCTGCACAGTCATGTAACATGATACATAGTACAGATGGACCAGAACAAGACACACAAATAAACATATGTACCGACAAAGATGCCTAACCCAAAATGACTGCAACTTAAAAACACCAGCCAAGAAAGAAAGCCAAGGCAACGTTGAATTTAGTTACGGAATAGCAATGAAAATTAAGGGGAGCATTAATGCTGTCCTACTTTTACTCTTATTTTTGGGGAGCTTGTTGGGAACAATTAAAGCAAGTGTCATCGACCTCAACACAGTAAATGGTAAGAAAGTTTTCTCTTTACGGATTCATGCAAAAGCCTCAATTTGCTTTCATCTCAGATCACAGCAGCAGAACTAACTTGATAAAAAGGGGATTGATTCCCATTAATGCGGTACCGAATTCAGAGGAGGACGAAAACAATTCACTCGATACGAAGGTTGAGGAAACTAACGATATGGAATCTACAACGCTAGCAGACAATTCAGAAAGTGCAGAAGACAGCACCGGGAACAGTATGTACATACATTCACGCTAGCTAGCACTTGGTGACATGCTAATCAATGATGGAATTTTACTAAAAAATATTTATAGGCTCGGAAACTAAGAAAAAAGGACGGTTTTTTCGCTTGGTAAATCACCTTATAAATAAGGTCCATCAGAAAAAACAAAATTTCATACAAAATGTAGTCAAACCAATCTTGGGATTACCCCGCCAAAACGGGTGGGGCTGGCGACCTCCACCCCCTCCTCCTCCTTATTATCCCCCCTATCGCCCTCCTCCTCCACCTCCTTATTACACACCCCCACCAGTGCCGACGCCCGAACCCACCCCACCTCCCATCACTCCCGAACCCACCCCTCCTCCCACCACACCCGAACCCACCCCTCCTCCCACCACACCCGAACCCACCCCTCCTCCCACCACACCCGAACCCACCCCTCCTCCCACCACACCCGAACCCACCCCTCCTCCCACCACACCCGAACCCACCCCTCCTCCCACCACACCCGAACCCACCCCTCCTCCCACCACACCCGAACCCACCCCTCCTCCCATCACTCCCGAACCCACCCCTCCTCCCACCACACCCGAACCCACCCCTCCTCCCACCACACCCGAACCCACCCCTCCTCCCACCACACCCGAACCCACCCCTCCTCCCACCACACCCGAACCCACCCCTCCTCCCACCACACCCGAACCCACCCCTCCTCCCACCACACCCGAACCCACCCCTCCTCCCACCACACCCGAACCCACCCCTCCTCCCACCACACCCGAACCCACCCCTCCTCCCACCACACCCGAACCCACCCCTCCTCCCACCACACCCGAACCCACCCCTCCTCCCACCACACCCGAACCCACTCCTCCCACAACCTCAGAGACTTACCCCACGACAACGCCAACCACAACCTCACCTCCCACAACCTCTGAAATTTATCCAACGACACCGCCAACTACAATAAATCCTCCATCAACCTCAGAAATTTACCCCACGACGCCACCAACCACAACCACTCCTCCCACAACCTCTGAGATTTACCCTACCACTCCACCAACCACAACCACGACCACACCTTCACCAGGTTATTGTGATCTGAATGCCAAATGCAAACCTGGCGAACCTCTCAGGGAGCTTGTTGGAATAGGGCCGTACAAATACACCATTGACAGAATTAGTGACAACTCAAAGTTTGTTTATATTGGAAGACCTGGGTCGATAAATGACACTTTTGAAATAGCTAGCGAAGGTATGAAAATATCTTTAAAATTCCTGAAATTTTGTGGTAATCAAATCCCGCATTCCATAGAGTGCCGAAAATGGGGGTTGAGCCTTGGTGAAATATATACGCACATTGGACTGCAAAATATCGTGAAATTTATGAGTAAGCGGTAAAGATACAAGTAATTTGTCGACTGATATTGTTTTTGACACTAAACCGAAACACACACAGAGCAGCATTACAAGAACTGGGACACCACATTTTGGGTATCTGGCGAGACAGACAAAGCTCGTCCAGGTCGATGGTTGTATACCCCTGAAAAGAGTGTAGAGTTCAAAATGCAGGCATTCTGGGGATTTAGTTCAAAAAGTTTTGAAACAGTGGTAAGCACATTATATCCCTATTTGATATTTATAGCATGTGATAATTGAAGCGAGCAAACGATAAGGTACATAAAAATCATTTTAAAGGGCACAAAAGATGTCAATGCAAACAAGGTGATGCTTCACTGGACAGATGACGCCATTCTGAAAGAGAAAACCCTGACAATGATGGACATTGAAGGAGACAATGCATATTGTACCAAGAAAAGCTTTATTTGTCAATTTGATAAGTATCATGATTGTTTCAAATCTAGTGACGAAGGTTTGTTTTAAATTAATGGTTTATTTTGGACATTGAGAAAATTATAAATTATGAATATGTACCTACAGAAAAAGCGTTACAGGATTTGGATTTCCACCGAGATGAGTTACAGCCACTTATAGACTTGGGGGATAATGTTAATATTTCAGTTAGTTTATTTCAGGTAACTACAAGTATTTAAATATAACGGTCGACTACTGTTTTAGTGAATAACCCTCCAAATTGAAAAAAATGGAGTAAAAATTATGAAATTCTAGAAAAGCTTAGCGGATGCCAAAAGATTATGCGAATCAAATAGAAAAATAATGTTGGACATGCGGCTTAACAAACGACAGAGCGTAAAACTTAATGCGGCAATTCAGCAGTGGTTAAAGACGAAAGGTTATTAAATTAAGTGTGCATATAACAATTAAATATGTACGAAATACAAAAACACGAATTTTAGAATTTCATTTAAATCCATCTACATTTGGATGTATGTCTGTACATACGTAGGTCTCGCTGGGGGAACCACGGGGTTTTGGGTGGGACCAAATAGCTTATTTCGACCAGGATGTTCAACATGTGTCCTCCCTTGGGATTGGGTGTCGAACCTCATTCTGGACCCATGGAGAGACCCTGTGCTGACCTGTGGCAATGATCACCCAAGGAAGGGGAAGTGCCAGTATATTGGGAAATGCAGTGCTTTCGGGGTTTTAGAGAGAGAACCAGCAGTGTTTCGGCTACAAAAAGTTCCTTGTACATAAAATTATACATACTTATTTAATTGTACAATTTATGATTCTTCTATGCCAAAGCACTAAAATTTTGAACCACTTTCCATATTTATGTAATAGGCGATCTTCCTCAGTGGACACTTTGCACTCCAGGAAATCCAGACCCAAAACCTCCGACACAAAAGAACCTGACCGCAATTTGTGATAAAGAATACTTGGCTAACAATGGAACCACAATTTGGAGGTACGAGGAAGTCCTCGAAGGAAATTATACCATTCAAAAAGTCGGGGAAGACTCCAAATTTGTATTTCATACTATTCCACCCTCTACAGAAATGACCTTCGCTACAGCCATGTCAGGTTTGTACGACGCCATGATAAGTTATTCTTTCACTCGACTCAAATTTTAAAATACTCCTGTTATGTATGCAGAATGTAATCGATGGGGTTTAGAGATGGCAGCTATAAAAAGTCCTTTCGATCATAATATTATTGTGAATTACATGAGTGAGTAAAGTAACACAATTGACTAATACTTGCAATTTTAGCATGATAATGTTTATAAAAAATAATATTTAACAGAATCGAATCAAGATCCATTCAAGGATGACAAAACCACTTTTTGGATTGCTGGCACGGATGAAAATCATGACAGCTACTGGACCGATAGTTCTCCTAGTCCAGACGAATTGCCCTTCCATGTTTTTTGGGGTTTAACGCCGAAAAGTTTAGAAACAACAGCAAACGCCACCACTGAAGCGAGCAACGTAATGATCCATTGGATTCAGGACACGATGATAAGGAAGAAAACACTGGTGATGATGGACGTAGAAGGTGACAACGTGTTTTATGAGCAAAAAAGCTTCATGTGCCAATTTCTTAAGGGAAGCTTGTGTTACCTCAATAGCGTGGAAGGTAAAATAATACTCAGATATCTGTCGTACAGTGAATTGAGACCATTTACATGTGCATCAAATAATCTTATAAACTATTGTAGAAATTTGGTTTGGAGAATGGAGTTATAAAAGTGAAGAGTGTGAACTGCTGCTGGATCTTGGAGATGGAAAGGACATTTGTATCGGCATTCCAAAAATCAACGTTGAAGTCCCAAGATTTTGCGAAAGTCAAGGTAGGCAGGTATTGGACATTAGTGGTATGACCAAACGGCAGAGCGAAAAATTTTTTACTGCATGGCAAAAATGGATCAAAGCACAAGGTTTGATACGAATAAAACACACTATCATTTGCATTATCAGTTGGATGGGGTCGTCCAGTGACCATTTTCTTGCGTCCCCGCATATAGAACTCCTCGGTGCCACGACTGGCTTTTGGGTTTTTGCTAACGGTCTGTTCCGACCCTCATGCACTGTTAACTGGGACTGGGTAAATAACGTGATTTTGGATCCTTGGAATGACAAGGTCTTAAAATATGGAGACAAAGTTCGTAAAGGAAATCACGAACACTATGCGAAATGTTTGGCAATGGCTACGTTAATCAAGGAGCCAAAAATTTTCCATTTGCAACGCGTTCCGTGTAAGACATGCACAAAAATTTTCGATAACTAAGGGTTTGCAAATTGACCGCTCTCTAAATAGGCGGATTGCCACAGTGGGCCATATGTGGTCCAAGTGGACCCTCCACCGAGAAACCAACTACCGAAACCCCAACTACTGATACCCCAACTACTGAAAATCCTTATAACGCTACGACTCCAGCAACTCCAGCTCCTCCTCAAACCATTTGCACAGACGAGGATCTTTCAGCAATAGATCCACATCCTGCACGCAATCTTTCACTAATTTGCAGTAGAGAAGGATGGCAGAAAGAAGATTGTGGAAATTATAGCATAGTAAAAATGGCGAATGATTCTAGATTTGTGTTTTTCACTATTCCACCTGCCGTGGATCTCGTCTTCAATAAGGCAGCTAAAAGTTAGGAGAACACACAATCGTTTTTATCAAGTCAAGGTTTTAAATTGTTTTTTTTTGTTAGTCTGCCACAATTTTGGACTCGAACTTGCAAATATTAAGAGCCCCACGGACATAGCTAGGATTGCAACGTTCATTAGTATGCAATGACTCTATTTTTACAAACCCCAACGACATTTGGACTACTAACGTTTGCTCAAATTTTTTAGAATCACAAACTGGTCAATTTAGCGAAGAGAAGACTACGTTCTGGATCTCTGGATTGGGTACCAACAATGGTCACGAACAGGAATGGCAGTACACTTCAGGTTCAGAAGATGATTTTAACTATCATACGTTCTGGGGGCTCACATCACAAGGCATATCGACCAGAGAGGTTCGAGATGATTAATCTGCCACTTGTTTACTCAGACATATTTGCACATTTATAGATAAATATACAAAGAGGTATGCATTTTATACTTTTAGGAAAATTCCACGTGTACCACAAACAATGTAATGCTGCACTGGACGAAGGACAAAGAGAAAGCACTCGTCATGACAGACGTGGAAGGCGACGAGGATTCCTTTTACGAGCAGAAAAGTTTTATATGTCAATTCTTAGAAGGGACACGCTGCGACATGGAAAGTTACGAAGGTACAAGTAAATAAATGTGTTATTAAGGAATTTCAGTATCATCAACTAAGTACATTATTCGATTTTGTTTCTAGAAATCACATTTCACTTGAGGAAGAACGAGTGTATAAATTTTGCAAATTTAGGAGGAGGACTTGATATATGTATAAGTTCTTATCCGGTAATTGATTAAATGTTTAACTTGAATTGCCCATTGACGGCTGACATTCTCCGTATTTTCAGAGACCTAACCCAGAAGTTCCAGACTTTTGTGCCGACCAAGGAAGAGAACCGTTGGTCATGACACATATTAAAAAGAGTCAGGCCAATAAACTTTTCACGGCTTGGCAAAAGTGGTTAAAATCAAATGGTCAGAACAGCCCTTAACCTTTACGCTTTAAACATTATTATTTCCAGACAAAATTCTGAATTGCATTTTTTGTACTGTACGCACAGAACTAATCGGTAGCACAGGGTTTTGGGTCGGTTCGAACGACTTGTTTTACTCCATGTGCGAATTAAAATGGGAGTGGGTGGAGAACGAAATTCTGTACCCATGGACTGACAAGGTCCTCAAATATGAGGAGAAAGTGCGAGCCGGAAAACAAAAGAGTTCTGGAAAATGTCTGGCTATGACTACTTTGAAGAAAGAACCAAAAATATTTCATATAGCTAAAAGTCAATGTAAGTTTGATTTAATGGTATTTGTTAATAGGGTAATAATGACATCAAATTCTACTCGTAGAATGCAATTATGAAATATTTTATGCGCAGGCTCTCTGCCGCAGTGGGTATTATGCGGTCCTCCCAGCGATGATGGTTCTACGACGACACAAGATCCAACAGTGGGATCGACAACAGATAACCCTGACGAAACTACAACAGAAGAACTGGACCCAGACCCCGAACCTGAGCCAGAGCCTGAACCTGAGCCTGAACCTGGTGGCGACGCTACAAAATAATACCATTATCGTCTCTTAACCATGTACAGCAGTTTATGCATTTACTTGTGTTTTGTACGAAGGAAAGAGTTAAGCAAGATACAAACAAATGCGCATATAATTTTGTTTATTCATATCTTGGCGACTTGTATATTTACATATTTATGTACATGTTACATACGGTGGTTCGCACAAACTTGGTATCCAACTTCTCAAGAATACCTGTATAAACCGTACTTTATTCCACATGTAATCTGGCAGATGAAACTTCCACTTCGAAATTGTCACAACGATTAGAGCTAAATACTTATAAATACAGCACGGGTTGACTACATTCTGGCAACTGCTTATTTCCTTTTATTTCGTTCATGTACGAGTTTACAATGAAGAGAAAATAGTAATTTAATCCATTGAATATAATTTTTGGCAAACTTTGAGGCAAATCAAGTGTTGAAATTATGGTGATTATAGTATCGACAGTGCACATTATAAGTCCAATGACATTTATGGACAACCACGTCGCACACTTTGAAATGTTGTCCTTTGATAAAATTAAATACACAGAATCAGAATAATATACACAAATTTCTTCAAATTGAGTTTTAAATGGCTCTAAAAAGTTATCAGAAACAATGCATACCTGCTCTGTTCCAGTGTAAAGAATTGTGGATACAGCAAGCTCAATCGTGGCTCCACCAACGAAAATAGCATAAAGCACGGCGTCTGAAACCAATACGAGAAATAAGATGCAATCAAATCTTCCATGCTTAATTACAATTAAATTTAAAAATGGGTAAAAAAAAATACTTACGGTCTTTGCTTCGGTCTGGATATTCCATATCCATGTACACCCAGGTTGGAGCAGCAAAAACCAGGACAAAAGTGCATACTACCTTTGCAATTTTTTGTCATCGATATATGTATTTAACAAATCCTAATGATTCACAATAAGTAATTCACAATTTCTTACCATTTCAAAACGAGCCACATTCCTAGCCTGAGCTTGTAAATTGTCACCACAGCACATTTTTCCTTCCGCAGCAGGAGGAGAAAGTACGAAAGTGAAAGAGATTGTAAGAAATAATCCATCCCATAATATTCCACTAATGAGTTCTACCCGTTCTACCCGTACATATTAGCCATGCCATGCATATGTAATCCAACCATCTGCACGCAAGATGTGTAATGTGCTATTCACGTAACGGAAGAGTGTGTATGGTTCGATCAGTTTTTTGTAATAATCATGAGCACGGTCATAAACAAATGCTCATCACATCGCCAAAATGAGAGTTCGCAAATAATCCCCTTATTGCGTATAACAGGCTCGACAGTCAGGTTTTTATTTATCCTGGGATGTTTATGCAAGCAGGACATTATATACAAATGCTGTAAGGATGGTCTTGTTCCTTGATTAGCTATGCACATTTGTATTATTAGCGAGCTGTGTATACATTAGCTGCGTACATATGTATGTAAATAGGCAAGTGAACACACTTGTAAGATGATGAAAAGGGTATGATCACACTTTCATTGCTTTCACCATTTAATGTGACCATTTTTTTAACATGAGCTTATCGATCGAACTTTGTTGGTACAATTATTGGTTTAATTTGCTTGACATCAAATCATGTGTGCACAAGTATGCATTACATGTTTCTAATAGTACTCTAGTTTTCGTCATGGTCTTCAACGGGATATGCAGCGATAAGTTAATTGGATCAGTTCTTTCTTGTATGAAAAGATAAACATGTGAGTCTCTTCATTTAAAGCTAGGAAAAAACAATGCGGGATTTGGAAGTTATAGGAAATCCAACTGTTTGATCTAGTTAACCTGGAAAGTAAATCTTTAATCTGGGGGGGAGAGGTCATTATCAGAAACAAACTGCTGGTAATTATTGAGCCAAAGTTTGCGCCTCCTTGATATCTTTTCGGCTGATGCTAACTTTTCCTCGTATAAGTAATCCTTATTTCACAAGGAAATGTATTTGGGTCCATCCTCAACCGTTCCCCAATGCATTTTCAGTCCTTGTGACACCTAGTACTGTGAATATTTACGTGCTATTATTTAATTCAATGAATAAATTTTTTTATTAAATTACACCACGTCACCAATTTTGTAATCAAACCTGTTTGCTGGAGTAAAAGTTTGTAATTCATTTCTTCTCCAGTGCAAGCTCCCCATCGTCATAAACACTTGCTGAGCTTGGTTAATAACCAGCAAATGAGAAATAATGCAAGTACACCTTCATTTTTATTAACCTTTGATGAAATTCTAAAAATATAACTTCCATTCATTGACGCTTACGGGACGGATACTATGAATAAATTGCTGTGTACCCTTAGTCTAAGGTTGTCTCCATCCTTAAGTTTGTACATCATAAATAAATATGCATGTATATTTTGCCTTAAGCGGATGCTGTGGTTGATCTTTGAAAAAAAAATATTTTACTAGGCATAAAAACTAACCGCGTGCATAACCACTAATTTGTGGTCCAAGACTGGTAGAGATTGGATGGATGTTCGGTTATTCCTTCTTCTAATTATTATGCAAGTACATGTATGGCCGATAATTGGATCAAGTAAATTTTTCCTTATACATTATGTATGTGTATGTAAGCACGTAGTACTTCTAGTACCTTTAAATTACTTGATTACTGGCAATTAATTAAGTATGCTTCTGTTTGGCTTGCCAATAACATCAACCTCATCATGTACATATGCATTTACCCATTCGAAATTCAACTTTAAAAGGTCATCTTTGAAGGAGCTTTGGTCACACAATATGCATATCACATGCATCCATATCTGAACAATTTAAAAATGGCGATATTAAAAACAAGCCTTTAGTGTAGGAAACTATTGATTTTCCTAAAAGCCATAACGCCATGGAAAGTATATTCGAGCATAAGGCGACCGTTTGTAGCGTTCCATCAGTTCAGTCGAACTCTGTCAGATGGGGGAAATTGAGCATTTGAGACTTTGTGTTCAAAATAGTTCACATGTATCATTCTTTCCCACTTGAGACTGCATACTCGATACAGCAAGCTCTCGCTTCATGAGTTACGAATTAAAAGTCAGTTCTCTACTTTTTCGCTTGTATAAATGAAATAAAACTTTACGAATTTAAAAATAAAACAAGGTTAATTACACTCACATAATTTTCGACCAATATGCCACGCTTTTTTCACGGAGCCATTTAATATATTTTTTGGACAAGTAATAAAACTTATAAAAGTCACAACTTCTTGTTACAATGATTTGAGATTGTCGTCTAAATCCTGCATTTGATTTGGAAACGAATTTGGACTTAGCGAATGGCTGGAGAGTGACCATTTCCCCCACTTCAAGCCAGCGAAAGGCAGGAAATGCTCGTAAAGAATGAAAGCAATGTCCGAACTCGGTCCTATCGTAATGTGGTGCAGGGATTGGTGAGGGATGTAAATGAAGCCATTTGAATCAGATGCAGGTAGCCGGCTCAACTTTCTCCCCTAATTTATGGCCACTCGGACGTCTACTGGACGCTTCTGATCCCGAATCAGGGAGTGATATACTGGACGGCAGAGCAACTCTGACTTCCTTCCAGCATTTTACCCCACGAAACTACAAACATTTCCATGTCAAAAGCCAAGAAAGAATTCTATCCAGCTCACTCCCCACTACTGCACTCGCAGTTTAGCACATTTTATCCCTGGGTAGAACTCGTAGAAGAGATTCCAAAAAGAAAAAAAACATGCAGAAAATGCAGAAAAATCTACTCTTGTGTATATATTTTAGTCACACTCGCAGGCATGTGCGCATATGTAGATAGTCTATATATTTAGTGTAATAATAAGAATAATATTCTTGTCACGTCGGGAAAAAGTTGCATTTGCAAAAAAATACTCAAATACATATTTTGCATTTCAGATTTATTCGGTTAATTCGATTTTGTAAACACTCGCAAGATATACAAATGCATATATGTATGTACTGGGCCTGACTAGACAAAAACTGTGGGTGGTCGCTATATCTCTGCTACTTTGTATGTATCTGGGAGTGCTGCAACTCTGCAGCAAGTCGGTGCGTATAAATTTGCAAGTTAATCCAAGAAATGTAATGGGATTAAAGGTATGCGATGAGATTGAAAGAAAACGCTGTTGAGTTGAGGGAAATGGGCGATTATATATGGATGTATGTAAAAGAAAGGAAAATGCCGGTGGCCGGTATGGGAAATACAACGCATACACTTGCCCAACAACGTCGTGAATAATTAATTTTTAATCGCGAGATGAGCAACACCATGAAACTCGTAAGCAATCTGTTAATTACTTTTATGCACTGCACCACCATCAGGGAATTTGGGGAGTAGACTTTGTTTGCAGTTTTAATAAGTTGGATTGAAATCGAGACGATTAAAGCGTAAACATCATTTTTCAGGCTAATTTGTAATGGTCGTTAAACAAAGAAATGGGTTTTAAAGTAGTGTAGTAATTTAAGGTGAAGGAATTTAAATTTTCAAGTTTTCCCATAAAATTTCAATCATTTTCATAACACGTTCTTACTCATCACGCTATGCATCACTGACATCACATTGTTTGCATATACATAAATATTACATGTAATCCTAAACCGGCACTATTGTTTGCAAGTCCAACCTCTTTCTCCTGTAATCACCCTGTGATTTGGCACATGTTAAACATCAAGACTCCCAGCCCTCCAATAATAACAAACGTCCACATGTGTGCATACGTCAAGAATAACGCAACACATCAGAGATCCATCAGTAATGAAAAGTCTACACTTTACCCATTCCACCATTTATAAATTTGGTTGTTGTTATGCAAATTGCGCCTATGCAGCTAAAATAGTACTGGCTGTGTACCACCTCAATTACTGCGTTTATACGTATACGCACGAGGTTTTAGACTGCATATCTAAGAATGTATGTACATGCTATTTCTCCTCTTTCCCTACCAAAAAGCAGGCAAAGTAATTGCACCTTTGTGACTCGTAATGTAATAAACGTAATAACAGGTCGTTATTCAACCCTCTAATTCATAATTGCCAGGTGTCACTCTTCACCAAAATTATACCAGTTTTAGCTCCCTCATCGATTGGCTTCTACATTCGGGTAAAATAAAATGCTCTTTTCCACAGATTTTTTAGTCGTCTCATTTCGTTCGTACTCACTCATCTACCAAGCAACCATTTTTATTCCTTCTGGTCATTTAAAGACCCGAGATGAGACGAAAAAAACAAGGAATTTTTAAGCAACCACTGTACACACACCGCCACATTATTAGATTGTACTTATTAAAAATCTAAAATGTAATTCCATGACATGGTAGTGATGCGATGGTGTCCAGCCAAGTCTATTTTTTTACAAGAATTTTCTTCTTTTCTTTAATGCATTCGTCTACAAAGTTACGAGCACCGAGTTTGACTGGAGATTAGAGAAATTAATATTTTTCTCTTCAAGCTGGTGGTTTAGGTAGAACAGGTTTTCTTTTCGCCTTTCTTGGTGTCCAAAGCTTGTTGCTGCTGGTCTGGAGATACGTGAAGAAGAATTTTTTGGAACTATGTATGTACGTTGTAGCTTCGATTATGTGGAGGTGATTTGGCCCCTAGTTAAAAATGTAAGAGATGGTGCAAGAAAAATAAGAAGAAGACCCCCCACCGGCCTTTGACCCTTTTCACGTAGGAACACAGGTCAGCTGGATGATGATGATGACGAGTACAGCCCTTAATACCTCAAGCTGGATGAAATTACATAAGGACACAACTGACACTGACAAATTCCTCATAATCATACGGCCAACCGGGTAATCATCCCTTCGTCACGGTAAAATAAAATAAAATAAAATCTGTGCATTTAAAAGCATACCTTTAAACAAGTGCATATTTAGTTATAAGTAGAATTTAAAAAAAACTAAACCGTAATTTCTTCGAACATTGATTATGTGATTGATGAAACATGATTGAAATCTAGTTGGAATGACAATTGTCACCCTGCACATTAACCAAGGGGAGCTTATCTCCCATTTCCCTTATTACTGCACTTGAGAATCCTAATCTGAATCTTAATCGGGCCAAGATAATTGTATTTTTACTGCCAAACGATACAAAAATCTCATCAGGATTAAAGTTGTTAACAATAATTGTGTCTGTAGTACTTGTGGAACTGCGGGAAGGAACATTAAGGAGATGAAGATAAAAGATTAACTCGCCTGGGTTTAAGTAGCCATTGAAGCAGTCAGGTTAATTATTGGCATGGGGAGACAATAGGATTGACATTTTACACGACAACACAACAACAACAACATAACATTCAGTCCAGATTATGTATGTAGTTTGAACCCTGGCCAACAACCAGTGCTACATTTTATCTATATGTATAACACTCACAATTGTCAGACATGTGTATTTATTTATATGTATACAAAAACATGTAGCTACATATGTACATATGCAGGGAGGGAAGGATGAGAATGGTTTAAGTTTAATCTTTAGTGTAATCCGGGTTCTTCTTCTGGATGGATAACGACGATGAGGCGACCATTGTTTCCTCATCTCGTTTCATCATCAACCACCACAAAAAGAAATTCAAGAGAATTGTGATTGCAAGAGCAACAGCTTTTTATTGTTTTTATTGGTAATTATTGTGGAACAAAACAACCAGTAAAAACCAAGTAGTTTGTTGTACTACATTATTAAAAAAAACTCTTTTACATGCTGGTAATTTAAAGTTTGGGTAATCATGTTTGGATTAGAATAATATTTAAATCCTTGCTGACCAATGTGAATTTACATTATTGTGGACAAAAAAAAAACAAAACATTTGTTGTAATAATACAAACTAAATATTACTTTGAAAATGAAGAATTTAATTAGAATTGTTGTAAAAGATTCACCACCTCAGTCATTCACTGGCATTCAGAAACCTATGTTGCATGTATTTACAAAGTAGAAATACAATCTTACCCCATTTCCTTTCTTCCCTAATATCCAAGGGTAGAAGGTAATTCATAATTACTACATTGTGTTTTGGAGCGAGAAACTAATGGGAAAATACCAGAGGAGAGCGGAATGAGAACATACCCATTAAACTCTTTTACACAATAGACTTTTAGCCCGGCCAAAGCCACTTCTTCTGGAGAGACAAGAAGAAGAAGTAGAGGAGTTAAGTAAGTGAACCCTACACACCGTAAGTGCAGGTTTTGGTCGCTTTTACTCCGTAAATTATGATGATAAATGATAATTACGGCTTCTGCTCCAATCCAACAAAAGAAGGGGAAGGATGAGTTTAGAGTTGGGGAAGTTAAGGGAAGTATGTTCGTACGTATGTACTTATTTTTAGGAAA